TTTTAATTGAATCTATTGTAAAAAGTGATGGAAGATAACAATATAAACAATTGGGATCTGAATTTAAAGAAAAAGTATTATCTCCATTATCATGAGCTGGCTTAAAAGAATTATTCTAATTAGTTAATTGATAAATAACAACAATTATAAATGTAGACCCAATTTACTTGGGTTTGCTGTGAGTTAAGTATGAAATAAAACTAAAGAGAAAGATAGAGTGATAATAGACTGGGTTAAGAGCAGCAGTGATATTTTATTCAATAGCCTATTGCTTATGCTAATTAATTTTGAATGATTCGTGCTATGGCATTAATAAATTCCATGATGCCACCCATTGTGCAAGGTGCAGTGGCGCCCTCTCCGGATATCCTCCCACTTTTTGCTGCGCTTGTTTCCCCACTCTCTTTTTACACACTTGCCACTCGTTCATTTCAACTTGCCTATTGTCTGACGTAGCTGCTAATCAAGGCGCGCTTATCTAGCCGACTTGTGTGTGTGTGTGTTTGAGTTCTCAAGTGTTTCGTAGTGTGTGCAAGGCTCTCTCGCTCTCTTCGCTTATCAGTTTTGATAGGTCAGTTGGAGTGATGCGAGGCGGAGAAGGAAGAGTGTGTGTGTTCATTTATGTTATGCGAATCAAATGCTGTCATTGTAGTTTTATTTGTAGTTGTTGTACTTCACAGAACCGCTTTTGCCTTTTAAAACGTCAAATGCCATTGAAAATGGATATTGACACGTTACGTTATGTCGCTATGCTGGGCGTTTTAGCCATTCGATTACGAGTCAATTACCAACAACATTGCTGCAATAACAACAATCACATTAATAATAACAAGTGAAATCGTATTTGTAACATAATTCCAATTGAGCTGATTAATCCACACAGCGAATGTATTTACACTTTTACTCATTAAATCTAAATACATTTTTCGTGTTATTTATTTAACTTTACTTTAACAACTGTTAACGTATGTGTTTATAAATTTAATTTAAGCAATAACAATGCAAAGAGTTGTCAAATCTGGTTTTTGGTTATCGAATGTATGTAGAAATAAAGAAATATTTTAGTTTCAAGTAAAATTTCAGGTGAACGTCAAAAAATTTGTTGGTTCTTGTTGTTTATGTAAGCAAAGGTCTCAAAAACAACCCTTGACAATATTTCTCAACGTGAAATAAGCTTTATTATTTTGATTTAATTAAAAAAAATAACATTTTTATAACAATTAAGAGTATCTCTTCTGATGTTTGAGTTGCTTGTATACGTTTTCAATTGATTTGCATAATTGAAATTCAATTGCTCGTGATAGCAATTATAATGAAATTGTTTGTTTATATAAATAGAAATTGCAGCAACAAATCAATTGTAAGCCTTCAGAAGACGGAAAGAGAGAAAAACAAGTGCTGCATAGCGTCTCCAGCTGATAAGTCCCCCCCCCATAAACACACACAAAGTAACAATTATAGACACCAGCACTTATCACTCGATTTTCTTTATCATTTGTTTATTTTTAAGCGCCATTTGCTTTCTTTGATTGCTTATGTAATTTCCCCCAAACTTTTTGTTAATACCTAAGGGTTTTTTTTTTGGGGCTTCTTGTATAGGTGGGTTTTCTGAGCTTTAATTGAATTTACAATTATGCGTGTTAGTCACAGTTTAGGAGCCACTGAGTCACCTGGATTTCCAATCAATATTCCGTCAAATTATGAGATGTTCCTTGCGGTTTTCTCTTTCTCGCCTAGGTACACCGAAAAAAGGAAACTCGACATCAAACCAAATAGAAATTGATATTATTTTGATTTGATTTTTATATTTATTTATGTAAATGTACAGTATAGTGCTTCTGCTTTTGGTAAACAGACGCCATTCCCTAGCTTGAAAAACATCAAATTTAAATGTTTTAAAAAACTGTATAAAATTATGCGTACAATTATAATACATACATTTTTCTTTCTGTGTCACGATTGTTGTTGTCGCTAATGTTGTGGGATTCTAATTGGGATTTTCCGCTGTTTGCGGTTTCTGCTATTGCCGTCATCAGCGCAGGTTCTTTGTGTTCTCTGTTCCCTGTTTTATTTCTCTCCTTTCCCCGCCCTTTTTTCTTTGAGTCGGATTTGTGTTCAATTTACACTTGATTTATTTATGAGCCACACACAGATACAGATACGAGTGCCACCAGACACTCACACACTGTCACTGGGGGTGTGAGTAGTGAGTGAGTTTGGTCAACCCACTTTGTACATAATTGTATTTTTAGCGCTTGGCTTATTTTTAATTATCGATTTTGTTTCCCACACGTCCAAACGCAGCAAACCCAAATAAAAAAATTTGAATATATGATTTTTCTTTATTCAAAACTCAATATAAATATTTTAGAAGATAAATCTATGAAGTTTCTATTCAACTTTTAACTTGTATACATACACTCGAATATCGAATGCTTATTGAGCTGTACGTATTAACCCCTTGCCGTCAAGGAAACCGCTTTGCCAAACCCCAGCTGCGATTTCCAGCCGAGAGCCTTTTTTCTTACACTCTGATTCATAAAAAAATAAAGGTAATCTTTAAGAACGACCGGCAACGACAAAATGAGAACTCGTTTTCAGACGAGGCCACAGGCAGTGGCAAGAAGCAGAAGGCGTAGAAAGCCAAGACCCGACCCCAAAAAGTAATGAAAACAAAAACAAAAAAGAAAAACATTACGCGGAGACCAACCAAATAAAAATGGTTTTAAGTGGGGAGCCAGATATAGCGAAGAAGTGGAGACAAACGGCGATCGATCGATGGACATTCAGCCATTTATACGTTAATACCCGTTCATATGTACACAGAAAGATACACTTGTGTGTGTGTGTGTGTGTGTGAACCAGTTTTGCCCCCAGGATATTAAGCTATAAAACAGTCAAAGCAATAACAAGAAAATCATGAAAAATAAGACTTGTCGAGGTAACGAATACTCCAGTAAAGCTAACCAACTAGAAATACCCGACTAATTAGTATTTGATACATGAGAGATATTTTGTTTTCATTTCGCAGAAGAAATCCACCATGAAAGACCAGTGCATCGTCAATTAATATAATACCTTTTTGGTGAACCAATGTATATGCAATTGTATAGTGGCTCTGTTATGGTGGCAGAAGGAACTTGTAATCGAATCGAATTCGAACTTGTTTCTGATTCACTTAGCCGCCTGCTGAATCCCCTTGGCTCTTGCCCACAGCAACTTACTCTTTAATTGTTATCGGCGGTTTTTAGTCTTTGTGATTTTTTTTATTACAGACCCGCTTAACGGTACAATTATCGGTTGAGTGTATGTTGTTATTGCCTCTCTTTCGACTTCGCAAAGAAACTTGTGGGCAGATAAGATTTTCCGACTCCCGTTCTCGCAGCTGGCAAATAATCGCCAACTGGCAGACTGAAATTAGATGAAAGTTGAAATTATGGAAACTGCAAGGGAGGGGAAGGTGAAAAGGCGGTCATGGAACGAGTAGGAATACCCAATAATTTCCTGTTAATAGACTTGGGTGGAGCGGTAACCAAGACTGAGATTCAACTTCCCATCAGATAACCAATTGAATATTGCTATAACTAACTACGTTATATGCTTGAAAAGATTTGACAACATGCAATTTGTGTCATTTGGTATTGTGTAAGATCGGCTGCATTAACTTTAAGATCGGCTGTGCAAAGTGAGTTTGATTTGTGTAAAATTGGACACTAGAAATTATACTATTAACACTATTATTAGTTCGATGATGGATACTAAAAATACCACAGAACCATTTTTAATATTGAGATGATGTGGAAATTATTAAAGCTTACTATTTACGATATAAACAAATTAGAGTAAAAATCTATTTCACTTACTTTGAAAGCCATTTCGATTTATTTACTCACTTATTTTGTTTATATATTTTCGTCTTACGATAAATATATAAACATGCCGATAGTCATTTCTTTATTAAGTTTTCATTCATACTTTGTATTATTTGACATATTAGACTGATTTTTTGCCTTAATTTTTTTCCATTTGCGATATATTATCTTTGAGAACGACACTTGCTGTAAACAGCAACAAAACAGAATGCATCGTAACCCTTAGCACAATTAAGTAAATATTGTAAAGCTGTACTACGAATTAACCCCGACGACATTGAACTAAATTTTGCAACAATAAAAAGCATGAGAACATAAAAGATCTTTCAGAGGCCACACCCATCCCGAGCTGCAACAAAGCAAAGCCTTTTGTCTTAATCAAACATATTTCAGTTGTCTGGCCATGAGTCACTCCACTACAATCCAAACCACTCGACACGACTTCCCCAACTCCCCTTGTAGTAATAGTTACGGCTGAGCGAGCTCTCCATACATGTGGCCATAACCAGCAGCTAGTTCTCTATTCCCTTTGCCAAGTCCTACAGTTAAACAGAAACTTACCTGGCCTACACAGCTCGATTCGAATCGATTTTTGTTTTGTTTTGTTTGGTTTTGTTTTGTGTGTGTGCCGTTCTACTTAAAAATGCAGAAAGTTTTTGTGTCATTGTCCTGCGTGTTTTTTCACGGGGACAAGAATAAAAACTTATTTATGGAACTGTTGTAACGAACACAAACAGGATTATAATTACTGTTTTGAGGGAAAGGTTTTTGAACTTTTGTACTTGAATTTCATGTCGTAAATTGTTTAGGTCCGTATACCCGGAGCATTTTGGTCATTTAAAATTAAATGTTGCGCAAATATTTATCCCTTTCAAAACATATGAAGGAGGAACAGTATGTACCTACATATCTAGTACTTCAATAACTGATCTTACTTGCAATCGAAAGTTAGCTATTTGTATTTTTTAAGTTGCTTGACATTAAATGCTGGGTGCTTATAATATATCCTGTGTTAAGAGATTTAAAGCGATTTAAATGAGAGGTTGCTCATAATCCCCAGACCTATGAAATGTTTATTTTATTGCAATCAACTTGTTACTTATCGATTTCCGTTCCCTTTCTTTGCAGTGGCGGTGGCCCACAAACGACAACTGCCGGTGCATCCGCTGGTAATGTGGCAAATGCCACCACAGCCCTAGCCGGTGGTAAAAGCTCAAGCAATAACATGTATTCCACCCGCCAATCTGTAAGCACCACAACCGGTGTACTTATGGTCGGACCAAATTTTCGTGTCGGTAAAAAAATTGGCTGTGGTAATTTTGGCGAATTGCGTTTAGGTAAGTACAAAAGTATTTTTTGATTTATACAATCAATCAATTTTAAATGTTTGAAAATCATTTGTTAATGATGTGTACAATGTTCATGGATTCTTGTTAGTTTTATTGGGTTAATCATATAATCTAATGTTATCTAAAACTTGATTTCTATAAGATAAGCAGTTTAAGCTACCGAATTTAATTGCATTAAATTCTAAAACTTATATAAATTTATTTTTGTTTTTAATTTCTTTCGGCTGAGCGAGAAATAAAAAACATAACTAGAGCTACAGGTTTTAAAATAATTTCGATTATACATATGTAAATAGAATCTGGATTTTAAGTCCTGAAGGGCAAGGTATTTGTACACAGTTTTTCTAACCTATCATCGTTCGTTTTTTTTTACCGACTGATTATATTTCTGATCATCTATACAAGAAAATCAATAACCGAAACTGAACCAGGAACGGAATTCTACTCAAATAACTTGCTAATGATAACGATAAAGTTTATGATTCACAGCCAGACTGGGTACCTCCCGCCACCCCGTTTACCATTTCCCTTACCCAAATTTTGCTGTTGGCATGCAAATAATGTCGCGTTTGGGGCTCTCGGTGTTCCCTTTCTTCTTACTTTTTCGTTGGCCACTTCCTTTCGGCGGGCATTCCTTACCAGGTCTGTTAACCACAATGAGAACAGATCCCCACTCCTTTTCACTTGCTACGAGAGTGCACAATACAACAAAAAAATGCCATTCCATTCCGCCATCTGTTTTCTTGGCGTTGTCGTCGTTTTGGCTTTGTTTGCTAAATGCGCTTTTATAAAGTTGTTTCATACAGGTCCCGCCCCTCCTGCCGTTGTATGTTTTTTTTTTCCTTTTTTTTTTCTTTCTTTTTTTGGGCCTGCCACTTCCTTTTGTGCATTTGTTGTCATATTGCCAACAGGTAGTGCTATGTATACTGTCTAGCTAATTTTCAGCCGGCGGTGGCAGTGCTGGCAAAACTGTAATTATCATGCTCTCTCTTTCTCAGCCCCTCATTCCGTCTCTTTCAGCAGGTCTGAGTCGTGCTTTTTCTTTGTTCCTCCTCAGCATCTCGAGACTTTTTGTTGCATACGTTTTGTTGGGGTTTTTTGCATGACTCATTAAACGACAGTCAGCATTGACAAAAAACAAAAACAATCACTACTGAAAAGCTGTATTTAATTGGCTCATTTGTATTGCTTTTTCCGATTATTATAATCCCACAGTTTGACATACATTGCTTGGATCTCCTCGGCTATGTTCAATTAAAATAAAATTCGTTTCTGTGACGTCGCACAGGCTATTTGATTTTGCTTATGATATCATTTTTATTAATTGTGGTCTAAAAATACATTTTGCAAAGTATTTGTTTGTTGATTCTTTTTTGTTTTGTTTTTAAATCAGATTAGTGCTGACGTTAAGATAAAAGCAATGTGTTTGGGCTTTTTACTTTTGGGCCATATTCTTGCCGCAATCAAAATGACATAATTGTGTTCTTCGTTTTCAAAAGGCCTGTTTCTTTTGTGTTTTTCCCAAATTGAAAACAGAAGAATAAACATATATTAGAGAAACAGTTGGGAAACCAGAACGTTGACCAACCTAAATACTTTTCTGCCTCTTTTCTTGGCTCATTTTTATGGGCGCCTTGCGTGGGCGTTTCTCGTTTAATTTGGGAACTTTCGTTTTATTTTTGTTTAGCGCAGCACGCCCTTTATAAAATTTATTTTCTTCCTCGTTGTTTTAGTTTTTCTGTGAGCGGTTTTATTGTTTATGGCGCGCAACTTGTTTTCAACGAATCTTTTTGGGGTTTGTTTTCCATTTTATGCGGTTTTTGTACTATGATTAATATTGTGTATTGCGTTAGGTCACGGTATTTGTTGATTTGCTCATTGGTTGGGTCGCGGGGATTTTGGTCTTGTGTCCTCGTGTTTTAATAATCAGAATAAGTATTTTCCCCCATGATCATGATCTACGAATGTCATCTTAGTTCTGAGTCACGACCCAAACCCTAAAACGTCATCATAATCCCGCTGGAAAGTGATTTTAGAAAAAACAAACATCTGCAGTCGGCACATTCAGTAGAAAATCAACAATTTTTTTTTCCGACAAACTAGCAATCTTTACAATTTTGCCAATGTGGACATCAAATTTCAGGATCAACAAATTAGTGTTAACTTAGCATTTTTGTTTCGTCGGCGAAAGCTTGCTTTTTATGCAAAGTGTTCTAGAAAATCCGCAAACTAATGCTCTTAAGGGGGCGTGGCGGGTAAAGGGCATTGCTGGCGGTATTTTGTAGCATGTAATCAAAATCATGCGGCTTCCTATCGCCATGTTTTCGTATCTATGTGTGTGTGCGACGACTCTATCAGCGCTATAATGTTGTGTCTGCTGATAAGCAGCGTCTGTCTCACCCATCCACCCACCCAGTAAACTCATAAACCCAACCGAACCCAAACCACCCACACACTCGTGGTGGTTTCTCTCACCGCCATTCTCATGACATAATTTCGCACATGAGCGCACTGTTCGTTGTTGACATATTCTCTCAGCTTCTGTCTGCGTCTCCGTCATGTCGTCACATCTAAAATGCAATTCACAAATTATATTCGGCCTTGTTCTCAATTCCACTTCCGATAGATTTTCTTGAATTCCATATCAAAACTTATATCATGGATAATCTAATTTTAGGCATAAATTAACTAGAAAATATCTAAAACTAAAAAAAATTGTTTAAAATTAAATGGCCCAAAAAGGAAGCTACAAAAAATCTATCAAACCAATTGAAACCGACCTTGTGTCGACTTTCTGTTAAAATTTGATAAGAAAAGATTTGGTAAAAAAATGATTAAAAGTGTTTTTTTTTTTTTAATTAGAAATGTGCTTGAGAACAAGGAATTATAATTATATTGCAGGTTTCTTACTTTTATACTTTTTCCCATTTGGCTAGGTCGTCGAATGTGTTGCTTTGGTGGTGGTGGTGTCGGAGGGCGTAATGGGCGTGACACTGCTGACAACAGTGGGGCAGGTAAAAGCGTTGAATGCATGCAAATCGCGATGGTCTTGAGCATGTAAATTCACTTGTGCATAGAAGTCTCAATATTTGAATCGTTTAAAGTTTTGGTATTGCAGTTTGGGACTATTATTATTTGTTTTATGATTGCATTTATGAAAAAATTTAACTAATCCCTATTTTCTTTCTTTTCCAGGCAAAAATCTTTACAACAATGAACATGTAGCAATAAAAATGGAGCCTATGAAGTCAAAGGCTCCGCAACTACACTTAGAGTATAGGTTTTATAAACTATTAGGATCACATGGTATGTAAACTATCGATTTATAACATTGCAGTACGTCCTACGATCCAACCCTTAACCTTTTTTCAAAGCTGTCGTCCCACCAAACACTAACTTATTGACTAACAAACCAATGTCCACAGACCTCTGCTGGGAAGATAATCCGAAAAAGTTCTAAAGAAGTGCATATTGTACTTATAAATTGAATTTTTCCAATGCTGGTCTAATTTTCCTTGTCACTGTTCAACTCTACAACCCCTCTATATCTTACTAACCTAAAACTACTGAAAGTAAATAAAAGTTTTGCACCGTTACCACCACTTGATTAGTTTCATATATAAACGAATATATTTATAATTTTTGTATAACACTTCTGGTTCCTCGCAAGTGTTAAACGCATTGCGAAAAAAGCATACGACGAAAAGAAAAACATGAATAGATTTTCTCAAGCATATTTTCGGAGGTCGGTGCGTGAAGTGAAAATTGAAAACCATTAACGAATGAAAAACAAAAACTGTATAAACACGTCTTGTATATTGTAAGCTCAGGCTGCAACTGCAACTACTGTTATACTCGCTTATGTAAAACAGCTCGAAAATCACTTTACAGCATATTTAAATCTCTATATATATTCCCTACTATATATATATATATCGATTTCTGAACTATTACCCAACTTTTGATTATTTTTTTTTGTTTGAAATTCCTCTGTTTTCTATTGCTTATTCTTGTTTGTTGTTTATATGAATATATTGCTCTCTGTTCCCCTCCATTATTCATCAACTTCTACAACAATAACTACAACACCAAATACCCAAAATGTTCGCTATAAATTATTAAACAAAAACACCGATAAATTTAAATTTAAATCCGAATCCGATCATCATGCGCTGCTCTCTTTCTATCTATATATTTCTCCCCGTGTCTGCTGCAATCACCACAACATTACAACCAACTCGAAACTGAACTGAATTGAACCAACCATCAAACAACCAACTACAAATAAACAATTGTTGCATAATACATTCTTATGCTATGTTGCTGTAATAATGAACCAACCTCATTCACCATCCCCACCGCCATATTGGACCCTAAATCGGAATTGGAATTGGATTCTGTCTGTATCTGACCGAAATGCAACATCGAAATCAATATCAAAATGCAGCCGATAACGCCCCAGATGGCATACCACGCATTTATCATTTGGGCACTTGCGGTGGCCGTTACAATGCCATGGTTTTAGAGTTATTGGGATTATCATTAGAAGATCTCTTCAATATTTGCGCCCGTAAATTTTCACTTAAGACTGTATTGATGATAGCGAAACAACTTGTAAGTGTGGCATCTTCCAAAGGTGTTTTCGGCGAACGTTAAGCGGGTTTCACTTGACTAAAAAAAAATACTTAAGCTATAAAATAACTAACTTCCTTGAAAAAAACATTACAAGATTTGAAAACCAATGATCAAAACAAACGGCCATTTAAACTGCAATGCAATGCATGTGAGAGAACATTTTAAAGTTTTTTATTTTTCACATTTTTCAATAGTAAATAGTGCATAGTAATCGTTCTGCCTAACGATTATACCTTGTGAAACCCGCCAGCATCTCGTCCATAAACCGATGTTTTTAATTTATAATTTTTAATTTAAACCAAAGTGTCTCAACGGCTAAGATATAGGCTAGCTTTTTGTTTTCTTGAGTTAGTTATTTAGAATTCACGCAATGAACGTTAGCCAAGTTTTTAGTTTACTGTAGATATGTTGAAAAAGTAGAATAAATAATAATAATTTTTTTGTTGCAATTTATATCGTTAAACGGATCTGCAAAAAACTTTTGAAACCACTAAAAGTAATACCCCGAAAGCATGTAAACAAAGCGTCGCATATAGAATTAAATTAAAGGTATACAATTAAACCCTTTTTTGTACATAAAACAATCTTAACTTCTTCGTTTGTGTATGCAAGTAAAAAACAACTGAAATAAAGCCATTATAACAGTTTCGTTGTTAAACTTGTCGATACTTTTACTTCACTAATTTTTTCATTTATTAAACTGACTTTTGTATACGCTCTATTCTCTTTGATGAAAAACGTGCAATGTATATATTTAACTAAAACTACTAACACAGTTGCAAAAGATCTATTGAACCCGCTATCGGAGTTCAGAAAATCCCAAGAACCTGTTATACACACCACATACACAACCACCTTCAAGGACTACTCTAGTATTAAGATTAATTGTAAGCACACACAAAACTGTTAAAGTTTTTTACTGGTTAGGTCAAATGAGGTTCGGAGGAGGAGGATGAGTTGGTAGGTGAGTTTCCATCTCCAGGTTGGTCGTCCAGCAGGCTTTTCCTTGTGTATATGCTTCGAGAATCTCTATTTTTGTTGTTCTTGTTGTGTTTAGCACAGTTGCCGATTATGTATTTATATTTCGCTCGATCTCTGTCGAATTAAAGGTGGTAATATCGTAAGACGCGCTACACTAACCTCCAAAACATGAGCCTATGAGCCGTAACTCCATCGCTCTCTTCACATCACTCTCCCACTTTATCTCTCCTTTTTGTTGTGCCCGACCCGTTAAATTAATAGAAATCCAGCTTTAAAAAAAAAAAAAGTTATATACACAAAAAAAAAAATGTTTTCTATTTTGTATCTCTTATCTTTCTTTCTTCTCTCTCCCATCTCTCTCTTTTTATCTCTTGGTCTCGAATTTTTGCATAAATACAACAAAAACAACAACAAACAACCAATCGAACAACCAAAATACTTTTGTGCGCTGTCCAACACTCGAATAAATAATAAACACTCGCTCGCTTCCTCCAAACAAAATTATATGTCAACCCAACCAACCAACCGACAAAAAAAATCGACCAATCAATCAATCAATCGATCGATCAATCGATAGCAGAGGGTGTACCAGAAGTATATTACTTTGGCCCATGCGGCAAATACAATGCTCTTGTTATGGAGTTGCTTGGTCCATCACTCGAAGATTTATTCGATATTTGCGGCAGACGTTTCACTTTGAAGAGCGTACTTCTGATAGCTATACAATTAGTAAGTACAACCACAACAAAATCCACGAAAAACAAAGTTAAACAACGCAGCGAAAACAACAGAAACCTGCAATCAGTAAAGTTTTCCTAAAGCACGCGCATAGATCTGCACATAATCACATTCACAACTCTGGTAGCCAAGGCCAAAATTAACCAACACTAGTACTAAGATCAAGACCGAAACACTTTGTTTGTTTTGCGTGTGCGTGGGTTGGGGTGTGTATGTGTTTTTACTAGGGTTGCTTGGATCACAATTATATTATACTTTTAACTCTTATTTACTATTTTTTAGATTTTCATTACTAACAAAAAAACAAATAGGTCACTGCCTTTCTATCTCAACTCTCTCCGACTCACTATTAAAATCATTATCGTAGCCGCCTGGTTAAGGTTTAATTTGTACCTAAGTTTTAAGTTTTTTTTTGCATTCATTATAAGGATCATTCATGTGAAATGCTTTTTTACAAAAATAGTTCTTAATTATCAGAAACGAAATTCAGCTAAACCAAAAACAAACGTTCATTGTAATAAAATTAAATTTGCATGTACACATCAATTTGTAGTTTAACTTAGATAATTATTAGTTTTTTTAAATTTATGATTTATCAGCGAAAACAATCAATTAATAATCCGTTCCGTTGCCATCAAAGAACAACCAATTTACGGTAAAAACATAAACAGCTAGTTGAGACACTACAAAAAATTTAAATGAATATGTTAATTAAAATGTAAGCCTATTTTAAAACAAGAGCATTCCATAGGCTTAAAACTATAACTATTAAATGCTCTGGTTTTTACATTATAATATTATAGAATAAACTAATATATTTTTCTTAACTTTTCTCAAAAATTTCAAATATAGCTCCACCGGATCGAATATGTTCATAGTCGGCACTTAATATATAGGGATGTGAAACCAGAGAACTTTCTCATTGGCAGAACGTCAACAAAACGTGAAAAAATTATACATATAATTGGTAAGTCGGCTGTTTTTTTTTAATCCTTTTAATAAAACTTTTGCTAATTTTGCTTCTCAACAGATTTCGGTTTGGCCAAAGAATACATTGATTTAGATACAAATAGGCATATACCATATCGGGAGCATAAGTCCCTAACTGGAACGGCACGTTATATGTCAATCAACACGCATATGGGGCGTGAGCAGTCGCGACGCGACGATCTGGAGGCATTGGGTCATATGTTTATGTATTTCTTAAGAGGTTCACTGCCGTGGCAAGGCCTGAAGGCTGATACACTCAAGGAGAGATATCAAAAAATCGGTGATACGAAACGAGCAACGCCCATCGAGGTGAACTATATACCACTCAGAATATATCACTCTGTCAAAGTGAATGTTAAATTAATGTCTTGCTAAACCCCGACAGGTGCTTTGCGATGGACATCCGGAAGAGTTTGCGACATATTTGCGTTACGTGCGGCGGTTAGATTTCTTCGAAACTCCCGACTATGACTTTCTGCGAAGACTGTTTCAAGACTTATTCGATCGTAAGGGATACACCGACGAGGGCGAGTTCGACTGGACAGGGAAGACAATGGTGAGTTATCGTTTCGTCGACTCCATTAAAATGACACTATTTAAGACACCCAAAGAACACTTAACCCAACGAAAACTCCGCCGAATTTAACACCTTAACCCTAATCTAATTTATAGGAGACATAGGGAAAGCAAACCTTTAGATATATGATGTCCATCCCAGTAACATATCTCGAAAGCACTCTTAAGTTAATTATCATGTAACTCTTAAACCATTTCTAATGATGGGAAACATCAGGCATGACAAAAGGCACTCACCTGAAATAGCCATATTAATAGCACCACCCCGAAAACCACTGTGAATGATACGAATTAACCCAAATATGATTGCAAGTTCCTATTCCTATGGATAGCCAGTTGGTATGATGACCTAATTACTGAAGCTATAACATGGCTGGATCCTTGTTATACCGCCGCTTTCCGCTGCTGCACAGAAGATGGGGGCTCAGTTTGTTCTGAAGTTTGATTCATGTTGCCAACGGCATATGTTTAATATTTCTGCCTTCATTGACTTTAATGAATTATATATTTTTATAAAGCGTCCTTTCCGCTTCCAAGTTAGGATATTAAATTAAAGAGCAATAGAACCAGTAAAAACCCAAACACAACTCCGAAAAATGCAATGTGTTTTAATTTCTTAAGCATACTATTTTTAAATGTCTTGGTTTTGGTATTGAAGTCTTTCTGTGTTTTAATTTTAAGACCAAGGAACAGCTGGACCAAATGAAGGTCATAAAGAATGCACCGCCATCGCATTTGGCCAAAAATAAGTCTGACAAGGTACAAAAAGTATACAAATGCGGAAATATATATTTACATCATTGTTGCATAACTAAGTATGACGCTCGATCGCTCACTCAGTGTTGGTAAACACTTGTTCTCCGTGTGTAAGCTCGTTGCTTTAAGTGGTTAAGCTAGCGTATGTTAAGTACAAAATTAATGAGACTAACTTAAGCAACCAATTGATGCCATTTTTAACAGCACTTTTCTTCTCTCCTTGATCTCTTTTCTCTTTTTTCGGTTGTCAACACCGTTTCATGTGCGTGTAAATCTCTGTGTGTTTTTAAAACAAAACTACTGCTTCATCTATATATAAACATGTTATCGAATTTAAACAAAAAATGCATTCACATCACTGACATAAAACAGTCAACGCCCGTCGGATCTCTGCAAACTGGCCATGAAGTCATCATTTCACCAAATAAAGATCGTCATAATGTTACGGCTAAGGTAAAGTATACAATAAGCAATGTTTTACTATCGCATTCCAAAAAAGAAACCAATTTGTACTCTATATCACTGACAAAATTTACCTCGATTACGTTTTAAAAATATCTATAAGATAAAAGACACTTATCCTCGTTTTAAATTAGCTTTAGCAAACTTTTTCTCTTTGGTTACTCAGTTCCTTACTTCTAACATTCGTTCTTAACTGCTCTTCTTTCTCTACTTATGCTCAACGCTTTTGTTTTGATCCCACTCTTCTTCCCTCCACACAACATTTGATATGTATAAAACTATAGGACGTTTCTTATTTTGATTTTGATGACGAAGTTGATAATGAGAATGAAGAATATATAATACTTCAGGTTAGACGTTGTAGACTTGAAAAATATCTCTGTACTGGTTAGTGTGAATTAAAGTGCTCTTCTACTCTATATATAAATACACACACTTACGTCTGGTTTTAGACTACATTGCTCATTGCTAGGTTAACAAACGACTCTTATATTTTTCGTTCTTAAGCTTCGGTCAATAAAAATGTGCTAAGTTTAGAATTTAGATCTCTGGAAATTAAGTTTAATTGTCTGCTTTACATGAGGCTGAATATTTCCAAGCTATTACTTGTAGAGGAGCTCGACTAACCTAGTATAAAAATTGCACAGACATGCTTGAATCAATCGGTGAATGGGACTTGTAAGAGTCAATTCTAACTTGGTCTAATGTGCGTTCTTAATTCTGCTCTATTATAAATTATTGATTTTGTTCGCTTTAATTGTCTACCTACCGTATGAATTAAAACTATTTTTTTTAGTTATGTTTGTAGCACACTCTTGACTTGCTTTAGTTTTATTTAGACTCACACACACTCACTAAATTAAACACACTCGCATATAAATTTAGAGCAGTCTGTCTCTTTGTTGTACAAAAAAAAAATAATAAATTTTGAAATTGAAATTAATTATTGATAAATTTGCATCAATCCGTTTCCAACAATTGCCCGCTCGCTCGAAAAACTGAACTGAACTGTACCCAATCAAAAAAAAAAAAAACAAAAAATGTAATCAAATCCAATTGTCCAAATCCTTCACCACCACTTCAACCACCACCACCATAACCCGCCCAACCACAGACAAATGCCAAAGGAGGTGTTGCTGCGTGGCCTGATGTGCCAAAGCCGGGGGCAACACTGGGCAATCTAACGCCGGCCGATCGGCATGGTTCAGTGCAGGTAAGTTCGCTGCGACAACCGGCCAGTGTTGTACAACCGTTTTTTCTTTTCCTTCCGTTTCCGTTCCGTTTTATTTCTGTTTTGTCGATCGCTCGCCCGCTCAGTCTTCAGTCTGTAATTGTACATACATTGAAAAAAAAACGTAGCAATCCAGCTCCTGGTCAAGACATAGCATAAATATAAATCAATTTGTATTCGCCTCATTATGTTATTGAACTCTTGTTCGATTGTGATTTTGTACATAATTGCCTAAATATATTTCCTACAATTATTACAACGAAACATTATCTATCGCAGACTGTTATATTTTTGGCCTTTTCAATTCTAATGTTTTCACTTGATTTACTCTACATTAGCTCAACAAGGTACTGAACAATAATCTCTCCTCCCAACGTGTGTTATTCCTACTCCTCTCCACTATAGTTCATTCCACTTCCGTTCAGTTTGATTTTGTTTCTTCAACACGTTTTGTTAGATTTCTTCTTGGGTATTTTTTCTCGGATCTTCCTGATTTATTTTTGAACCTAGAGTTTTCCTTCGATAATAGTGGAACAGATTGTTACTTGAGGATCCTAATAAAAACTGCATGAGAGAAGAAGAAGAAACGTAGCCTTTCTCTTTTTGTGCACGGTGCATGTTTCAGCTGTGCATTAACCAACACTGGTCTAGCCATAACTGTACTTGACTGCATGCCACACACGACATATACTACTCTAGTAAAGCATGGATCACTTACCCCACACCCACAGTCGTAGACTACTAAGTAGAGTTATTATTTTGAGAACTCGGCTGGAGGAACCTCATTTCTCATAAAGCGACATCATTGGCATGCTTTGCGATATGGAGAAACCACTTCTGATGTATCGAATCAAATTCGAAACCCAAACAAAACTTATTACAGAGATTGCCTGAAGATTCGAGCTCGGATGATGATAGCCCCTTTGATGCTTATTATGACAAAAGCGATCCGGATGACGACCCTAAGAAATAAGACACCACACCAAAGACCTACCAACACTACTACTATACTTCCTAATACCACGGCTTCTACTAAAATCTAAACGACATTCTCCTTCGACAAAAGCCAAATCGGGTTACCTTTCCTTTTATTTGCGTTTTACAACACTAGCGCGAGGTATTTGCTATATTAACTTGTTTGTCATCCGATCCTAACATATGTCGTGCGTGTCTTGTACCCGTCCAATATCAATATGTGAGTGTGTGATTTGCAAACTGCAAACTGCAAACGATTCCTGACGTTCCAGGCAATCTCCGTAATAGGCTGAATAAGGGAACTACAAATCTATTCGATCTAAAACCAGCTCGATTTGTTCAAAAACATTGCAGACCAAAATTGTTTAAAAAAATTTTCATTTGGTTATGTAGTGCTACCGAAATAGTCCTTGTTGTGTACAACAGTTTCGTTTCGTGTGATGTCTGTCATTCCAATAAATAGTTTTTGTGTCGACTGTACTTCAAGTGGTTCATTTTTGATTAGCGAAATAAATAAAGCGGTGTAAATCGTTAAATTATGTTTAATCACTACTTACTGTATATACTCGTACTATATGTTTAGTACAAAAGTTATTGACAAGTGGAGACTAATTCTATAATTCTATCCATTCTTTTCTCTGTTCTGTGTCATTCAATTGCAGGTTGTGAGTTCGACGAATGGCGAACTAAATCCGGACGATCCCACGGCCGGACACTCAAACACGCCCATCACACAACAGCCGGAAGTCGAAGTGGTCGATGAAACAAAGTATGTGTTACTCAGGCGATCAATTAATCGGTATATCGATATGTAGACTAACTGTTAGACGTTCTGCGGAATAGGTTGATTTATGTATAGACTAAACCATGAATAAAATCAGTTTGGTGGATACACCGATGTTAAAAACGAACTGGCATCTTAACAGGCTGGATATAGATTAGAATATTCCAATTTTTAAGTTTATAAGTTAGCTGGAATTGTGATATTCTTGGTATTTTCCTAAAAGATATTTTTTTTTTGGAAACCTCTTTCTTTTATAGATTAATCATTGATCATGTTAAACACTACTTAAAGGTAAAGCCAAAATTAATAAATATGAAACGAAATAATAACTTCGTGTTTGATATGTGACTTATATTTATAATAAGTTTAGATAAATAGGCGAATAACACAAAAAGCCAGAAGACATATCGATACATTGATTAACAGATCCACTAGATATATAGTGAATTTTTTTGCTTTGTCGTTTTTAATGCGCAACTTCCGTTTTCCGTTCTCTCTTTCTCTTTCTCCCCCGACCTGTCCACTGCCTCTGCCACTGCCTACGTCTCCCCCTCTGAATCCGTATCCGTATCCGTATCCGAATCCGTATCCGTATCCGTCTCATTTCTGTCCCTTGGTTAACTGTCTCCAGTGGTTCCTTATATTCCAGATGTTGTTGTTTCTTTAAACGAAAGAAGAAGAAATCGACGCGCCAAAAATGACTAGACGGTGTACAATGTAGTCCAGAACGCGAGGCAGTCACTCTGCTGCGCGCCACTTCACATTCAAACTCACGGGATAGCGTATTGAATAATCCGAGTCAGGATTATATCCAGCAGGCAACGTCGCAGCACACGTTGCGTTATCCTCCATCCGCGTCGATGCTGACGCCAACACCAACTACAAACACACCGACACTTCCGTTGTAATTTATATAAATATAAAGCTAAAGCCACATGCAGAATGCAAAATGCAGAAAGCAACAAAAAAAATATTAAATCAAACAAAAAACGAAACCCAACAACAAAACAAAAACAAAAAACAAAAGAAAACCGTAAACATTAAATACACTAAAAAACAGTAAAAACAAACAAAATGAAACCAATTTTGATTAATTATTGTAATGATTGTATTTTATTATTATTTTTATTATTTACCAATTTTGCGTTTATTATATAAATTATTATAATTATTAATTATATTATTAATTAATGCTATTATAAATAAAAAAGAAAACAAAATTCAAACGACTAGAAACGACACGGCAATCCAAGCAAAGAATCAGAATCACTCACACAGCCTAGGCAGCTCCTCCCGTCGGTGTCTTTTGTGAAGGAAATCGGAAAGAAAGCTCCCCAATACCACTACCAATACCGATACCAATACCAATACCCCTCAATACCCAATTGCTCTTAACTGAAGGAAACTTAAACACACAAAAAACCACTTAAAGCATATTTATATATTATATACATATATTAAAAGAGACGAAAACAAAACTAGTGCAGCATCATCTAATGAGAGAGAGAAGAAAACATATTTATACGCAACCAACAAACTTGTAAATTATAATGAATGAAAAAAAGAAAGCGAAAATAAACATCATTTTTTAAAACTATTCAAACTTAATATATATATGCAGCTATATGAAACCAACTTATAACATAATACGTGTACCATTGTCAGGCAAATAGCAAACAATATCAAAGGGTAATTCTAATTGTTGTGATTTGAAGACTTGCTTATTAAATACTGTATTCATAGAGTTTATGTTTTTCCACTCTAACTGGATTTTCTAATTAAACATTTTTAAAGAAAAGCTCGACTTGTAGCACACTTTTCGAATGCATTGTATTTGCTTGCAATCTTAAGTTACACACAAAATGGTTAGCGGCAATATATGTTATTACTCAGATAATCTGACCAAACTGAAAAAAAACCCGAAATCTGTATTCATCACTTCGTGCAATCCAGAAAATAATTAGGGAATAAGATTTAAACTTGTAACTTTTCGCAAAGAGATTAAGTTGTGCTTCCATTTGCAGCTACATGAGTGGGGAAAAACAATGGCACTTTAATATTTTATAGAAAAGAAAGAACTTAAATAAAGAAGAGTAACGTATTGGGAAAACATTTGCTCATCTAAAATAGTGGATTGGTTTTGGTTCAACCACATTGAAAGTCTATGGGGAAATTTAAAGACTTGTATTAATCGAATATATTTCCACCACTCTTTAAAGCAGTAATAACAAATTCCAGCTATGTTTTCCGAGAATTAACAGCCCTTGCAAATGTTATATTGTTGTTGCTTACGGTTACTGTCTTAAAAAGTCCCAACTTTTATTTGCTTTACCTAATTGTTTTGACGAATGCAAAGGCGTTTTAAGTGTTCTAATTAAATCTGTAAATTTATTGTTGTTCGAAATCATCTCTGCAAAAGAAAACTGCTAGTTTTCCTGATAAATATTTTTGCTATTTGTTTGACAATGTCTGTATGTGTGCAGCTATATGATATATCAGAGATATACAGTATACTTGTATGAATCGCCACTCAGCGTAGGCAGCTTGGCTTAGATCTGTTTTGAATGCACTTTTCTAATGCTAATATGTACATATATACACGAAAAGTATTTTGATATATATACACGTCTATGTATCGGATAAATCAAAATGTAGAGATCCCTTTTGGTAGTCGAATTAATTTGGAGCATTTATTTTTTGGATCGTTTCCTAGGTAATTTTTCGTTTACAATGTGCGAGGTTAGAGAAATTAATTTGTTAGGGAACTCTCCTAGTTTCCGCACAGATCTATCACTTGATAGGTAAATACTAATGTACTGAGCCATTTCTTTGATATTACGTGATATGAGTACTAAAAAACTACATACTAAGAAAGTTGCCTGCAGCTATTCCCACTTCCCACTTTCTCCCTTCCCATACACACACATCTCCGACTCTGAACGAATTTGTTTTCCCTGTACACTCACTCCTCCATGAAACGTGAAGAGTAATGCTAAAATGAATAAATCGTATGGAATATATATTTTAAACAAGTTTTTTATACTTATTACAAATATACATATAACAAGGAAAACAAAAATAGCATTAACTATACAAGAACAAGGCAAATTTATCGTGTTTTTTTGCAATCTTTCTAGCATAAAACCAGGAAAAGAAACCTTAAAAACAAAACAGTAAATCAAATTTCAAATTTTACATGGATTACATTGCATATAAAATTAACCCAAATTTCCTGTATAGTTAAAAAACTCATTTGTATTATATATAAAATATTAAAGATACACAAACAAATTACGCTAAAATTGACATTTCTATGATGAAGATGGTGGAATCCGGAAAAACCAACAAAACCGCACTAGTTTATATAAAATAAAATATAACAAATTATACATACATAATGTACTTTAAATGTTGATAAACAAAAACACAAATAACCCATGCATTGATGATTTATATATTCAAGAAAGGAAATTTACATATTTGCGACACAAATCGAGCAGAGCGGAGCAGATCCGAAGATAACAAAAATAAAGCGTTTAATGGTTGGCAAGCAAGCAGTGCACGCAGGCCTTTTGCTATTTGCAGGTATAGCAGTTAACATTGTTAACTGCGGCAAAGCAGTTTTAAAACAAAAGTAAATCGAAAAATATTTAATTCTAATAGATCGAAAAATAACGCGAGTGACGAAGTCCCAGAAATATTTTCCAACTGGTGTGTTGTAGGCATTATATCGATTGCGAACGCGAAACAAGTAAAATAACAACAGAAATATTGTGTAAAAATGATTTATTATTAATGTATAAGTATAACAGCAACAACAAATGATAACATTAAACGATGTAAGCAAACCAAGGAGAAAAACAACCAACAAAAGAACAAACACAAAAAAATGAAAATAAAAAAAAAAACAAGAAAAAATTAAAACCGAAATAAATGAAAAATTATTGAAAAAAAACCCCGTTTTTTGTACCATATCTGGAACGCTACTTAGGCTAATTAATGGAAATCTTTTTTATGTTTAATAAATTATGATAAACTAATAGGCTTTGCAGAGAAAACAAAAGAATTAGACAAATTACGATGCGGTTGATTATGCTAATTGATAGATCATGTGCCTCTAACAGTCACCTCACGATCGGTCCACGCTCCTCCCATCTGGTGTTCCTTACTCATTTCACAAGCTCGAGCAAATCGCAGGCGCCTTATTTCACGTCAATAGAATTGCACATTGTTTTGACGTAGCCAATAGTGCCGTTATAATTAGTATTTTACAGTAACTATTAGTAATAGGTAAACAATATAGCACGTCTGAATTCCAATCGATTACTCCATCCATTTTAATTAGGAACTCGGCGGTTTAGTATCTTCATATCTCCAAAACATCCGTAAAACCTAACAAACTTTTACTAATAGTTTTACATGCTTTGAGATTGTGAAATCTATATATTAACGGGGTTAACGATAGCTTACCATTACTTAATTTCGGTAATTGGAAAAGTAAGTTTATTATACTCATTTGACTTTAATACAAATACCTGTTTTTGGTAGTTGTTAAAGACACTTTGTTATACTCTTTGCGCCCTGCATTTAAATGAAAAATTTATATTACCTAGCAAAATTTCGGTACAAAATTGAATAGCAAACTTAAACGAATTATGTTGGCGCTTTTTTGATTAAGTTTTATTTACATGTTAATAGGTTATTTGGCATATAAGTGTAATGCCATATAATTTCTTGTTATTCCCGAATGTTTTGGCAACCCTGATTTAGGCCATAACTAAAAAAACCGTTAGTTATTTGTATTACCAATTAGCCGGGACGCAAACCGCAGAGAGCTTTTGCTTCCGGCCACAAAGTGGGGGCAAAGTAAAAGTCGCGATCCTACATCTTGGCTAAGGTCAGGCGCCTTTAAATGCTGGCCAAAGTGAACGGATGCAATTACTCAATTGCTCTGGCCTTTGTGCAATGCATCTGTGTTGTCCGTTAAAATGTGTGTGTGTGTGTGTACGAATGCTTTATGCTGGGCCCAAGACAATTAGCGCTATTGCCAAACGAGCAGCGGTACACACAGGTGAACGCTCGCGAGTGGGAGAGCGAGCTTTAGGAGCGGTTTCTTACCTGCTTAACCTGCTGCTCACGTCTGGTCTTCGTTAGTGGGAGCGTGGAGCGTGGAGCGTCGAGCCCGCGAAAGATATTCAAGCGAACTACCAAATCTCGACACCGTCAGTCTGCGAGACCGCCTCAAGCGATCAACACCTGTGAGCAGTTAAAAACAGAAAACCAATTCAATTCAAATCGCAACCCAAGCCAGCCCAACCCAACCCAACCTGTACTACCAATTAGCAGGCTCTTAACTCAACCGAAGTGAAAGAAAAGTGGCTGAGAAAAAAAAAAAAAAAGGGAAACTCAGGCGGTATGCAAGTGCAGAAGGCAGCCCAACCAGATGAGCCCAACCCACCAACCCAGCCGATTGAGATTCCGAACGCAGCACATGCCGCTGGAACAGTTTTAGCCTAGAGAGTTGCTTTATTTTGGCCACAAAGTGGGCAGAGAGGAGAAGGCGGAGACCTGCTGAGTGTGTTCACTGTGGAGAGTGGAGTGGTGTGGAGTGTGTGTAGCTGGTTCGAGAGATCAGTGGAAAACCAAACAAACTCAGACCGCAGCCAAATCGAAACAAAACAAAAGCGCCACAAACGAACAGCAGCATGAATCAAACGCAAGTGAATAATTTTCTCAAGTGCTTCCTGCAAATCGATGAGCCCGCCGCCAACCGCTGGGCATCACGTCACGAAGGAGAGGATCATGACGATCACGACGACCATGACCACGACCACGATCACGACCACGATGATGAGGATGTGAGTGGAGTGCTGGTGGCCAAGGTCACCGCCATGGTGGTGCTATTCTGCGCCAGCACCATTTGCGGCTCCATTCCCTTCCTGCTGAACCGCTGCTACCGCTGGACGGAGAACCAAACGAATGCCAGGTCAGCGATCGTTGTGAAATGCCTGCTGTACTTCGGAGGCGGCGTCCTGCTGGCCACCACCTTCCTCCATCTGCTGCCCGAAGTGCAGGAGGTGGTCGAGGAGCTGCAGGAGTGCGGCATCGTCGGCGAGCTCAGCTTTCCGCTGGCCGAGTTGCTCATGTGCTGCGGCTTCTTCCTCATGTACTTCATCGAGGAGGCCATGCACACGTATGTCCACCATCACCAGAAGGACGAGGCGGGCGCCGCCTTTGAGCGGGGTCACAGCATCCGGAATAGCCATCTACTGAAACCCAGCGAGGCCACCGCACCCACTGCCCCATCGACGCAGTCCTTGGCAGGCACCGCCGAACTGGGAACCCTCTCGGTGCAGAATCTCCTGCAGAGCGATCTGGAGCAGCAGAAGTTTGCCTCTAAGCCGCAGAGCAAGGTCAATGGACACGGACACAGTCATGGCCATGGCCATGGCCATAGCCATCTGCCAGTGATGGCGGATGATGCCTCCGCCGGCGACATGCTGGCCTCCTCGCTGCGCGGACTCTTCATTGTGTCCGCTCTGTCGCTGCACGAGCTCTTCGAGGGCATGGCCATTGGCCTGGAGAGCTCCGCCAGTTCGGTGTGGTTCATGTTCGGCGCTGTGTCTGCCCACAAACTGGTTCTGGCCTTCTGCGTGGGCGTCGAGCTCATTGTGGCCCGCACCCGGATGACCCTGGCCATTGTCTACGTGCTGACCTTTGCCGTGGTCAGTCCGCTGGGCATCGGCATCGGCATCCTGATCAATCATGGCCAGGAGACGAGCGGACCAAGTCTGGTATCGGCCATCCTGCAGGGCTTCGCCTGCGGCACACTCATCTATGTGGTGTTCTTCGAGATCCTCTCGAAGAATCGATCCGGTCTGCGTGCCTACCTAGCCCTATTTGTTGGCTTCCTCGTCATGTTCGGCCTGCAGCAGTTGAGTGAGTATTCAAAATGAATGAGTTACACAAAATAGCATCGCAGAATCTCCCTTGATGATCGATTTTTATTTGGTTTTGTTTAGTTTGTTTGAAACGAGAAAGACCGGAGCTTGTGAATATTCATGACAGAATGATTAAGTTCGCAAAACCAGTGAGCGTAATCATTATAAGCTTAATGTTAAAAAAAAAACAAAAATTTTTTTTGTATCTTGCCTAGTCAAATGATTGTTTTGAGTGATATAGTACAAAAGCCAGCAAGGACGTGTTTAAATCTTTCCATACTTAAATCTAAAATGGTCTACATTAAGTTTTTATTATTTTAATTTAAAAAAAAATCAATAATGATTATTTTGGTCCTGTGAATGACATTTTCTTTACTATGCTGTTAAACTTTCGTTTAAGGAAAATTTATTATTTTTTAAGCTGTCACTTGTCTCTCAATACTAAAATGTACATCCGTAGACAATTGGTGTTAATTAAAAATAAGTACATGCAAATACTGAGCGAGATTCCTTTACATGTAAATATTTATTAAATTTATCGACACTTTTAAATTCAGGCACTGTTGCTCGATAGTTAATTTAATACTTTTATGTATTTGCTGATAATTTAGAGACCAGGCTTAGGGATAATTAGTACGATTGTCGGCGGGCTGTCAGATGAGATTCTTTAACCGGAATCGATTCGGGTGAATTGGGAACAGGTTCTATATCGCTGATCCGCTGGAAGCTGCGTGGTTGGCCTTGTAACAGACCTTGCTGCGGTTTATTTTGTTAACCGACATATAAATATGTTTGTCTGTGTACCTAGCAAACAGATGAAGTAAAAATCACGTTCCTGACATGAAGTCATCGCAAAAAGTCCGGGGGTTGCCCATGCGAAAAAGTACCGTGAAAACCACATATAACTTCGGACAGATGAGCACGGGATGTAAATTCAGGAAAAAAAAGTGTTCGCTACCAATATGTGATTAACCGAAAGTCGGATAAGTAAATATATGGGCAAGATAGGAACGGGAAAAACCGCTCATAAATCATAGCTTAGATTGGGGTGATTGAAATGCGTTCCACTGGTAGCGACTTCTCGCTACTATGACGAAAAAGTTTAGCAATCAATGGAGAACTGTGTGTAAATAACCCTGAGGAAATGGGGTCTGCCAGATAAGAATTGGCTTTCTTCACACTTAAGACTGTTCTACCTCAAACGGAGGTTAGTCAATTGTTTTGCTAACTTTGTACCATTCCTTCGCTTACAGCTTCCGGTGGTGGACACGGTCATAGCCATAGCCACAGTAGCTGCTCATCGTCCAGCCACACAGACGATCACCATGAGACTGAGACCAGGTCGGGCTCGGGCCACGCCCACGACCATGATCACGACCACGATCACCCACCTCACCATAACCACGCCGAGGAGCTGGCCGCGGTCCACAACTACGAGCAGCAGCTGCAGCTCCTGCGGCAGGTGACCCAAAAGCTGCTCGAAGCACACCCCAAGAAGGACGCCTAGGTGGTAGACTGCCCAGCAGAGTTTTGATCTAATTATTGTATTATATATGTATTTATGTAGACATAAACTGTAATCATAGTGAAAGTAAAACCAAATTAAATATAACAAAGTTATCTTTTATTCTATTAGCAAGGTGTTGAAGAAAAATGCACCTTTTATTTTGCTTTTTAGTTTTATTTATTTATAATTTAATAATACAATTCTAGCATGCGGTATATGGGTATATAAATTAAATATATTGCTGGGCACAACCAGTCCTTTAAGTGGTTTTTGTCATTTATGGCACCCATAAACACGAAACGTTTTTGTTATCATTAAATTAAATATATTTTAAAGTGTTTTCTCATAAATTTGAATACCTGCTTATGATTTATTGAGCTGTTGTATTTTTAGCCAGTCAAGGCCAACAAAGCACCCATATGTTATTTAAGAAAGCTTTTCAATAAATAGTTTTTTTTTAATTTTTTTTAAAAAGGCAACATGAAAAGTTTTGCATTCAATTTCACTCTTCCTTATGGCTTTTGCCTAAAACTCAGCTAACTAACTGGATTTAAAGCCAATAAAATTAATAAATTGTATAAATAACATAACAAGTTTTGAAAGGAATTTTATAACTGCTAAAAAAGTATTGCATAAAAAAGGAACAATATTTATCAAATCGGGTTTTCGGTTATCTGCACAAGGATCTGTATTTATGCTAAATATTTTAATAAATCAAGATTGAAAAAAGCTCTTTACATGGCCAAAAGTTGCTTAAATTTGGTCATATGTATATATTCTGTAGTGTCAATTGGTTTGGCTGGCATCGTAAATTATTTACGTTTACAAGATCCAGAGCAAGCTGCTTAAACGTGTTACAAATATATTTCTGGCATTTCAAACTGGGTTGTATTCTGAAGTTTGATTGCTTTCACGAATTTTTGTAGAATACCCGCCATAAAGCGAAGTACGTGCCTGGGCATAGAGTTCCCCCCATCAGATTTTAGCCAGGCCCCGTTTGGGGCGCCAAGTTGATTCTAGGCATTGTGAAATTTCAGCACGATATCTCAACAACAGTTGGCGAATCGTAAAGTGGGGTGGACTTATGAACAAGGCCTTGTTGCCAGGTCTGGGTTCATCATGTGATCGTGCTGCTTTTGTCCCATAGACCACAATAAACACAATTTCCAGCTGATAACTTCGGTGCTTGCGTACATTTTTAACACGATATCTCCACACAATGCGCAGACCGGTTTCAAGTTGGCCCCGCTGCTCTTTCCCACCGGTCCACTATCTCTTTCTTTTTTTTTTATTTTTTTTGATAACTCAGATAAGCGAATGTTCTCCGCTCGAGCCAAACTGGCAGCCAGCCCAACATCAGGCCCTACTCCCCCCACGCCCCATCCCACCGATCCCCAACGGACGGATTGCAGCGGAAATTAGCGCGTCAAGTGTCAAGTGTGAATTTGTTAGGCGGTAAACATGCCTGACAGCAGATGAAAACATCTCGGTGGCTTAATTAGCGCCATCGGTTGATCTTATTTACATCTGCTGTTGCCGATGTCGATGCCAAACCCGATGATGCTGTTGCTGTTGATACTGAAAGATACTGTTTCCAACGGAACTCCCCTTATCGGCCCGCACTCAAAACGCTATCCGTCTCTAACTACTATCAAGAGTATCTCGGGGGAGGGCACACACCTTAAATTGTTGCAATAGCCGCGGGGCTGAAGGCTTAACGGCAAACGGAACAGGTAATCTCTAATATTCTTGCCTGATAGGCACAATATTATCATTTGAACCCAAGCTCTTGAACCAAATATACTAGACGAGCGTTCGCAGTAAATCATATAAAACAGTGGTATGCGATTAGCCTAAACAAAAGATGTTGACAAAAAATATCATTTTTGTTTTTTGACTGACACTTGACTGAGGTGCTGATTTCCGCTAGTGAGTAAACGTAATTTCCGAATTTGTATTTTTGGATTCAGTAAATACCAAAGGCGTACGAATGATTTAAAAAAAATGGATTCTTTATCACAAAGGCATATCGAAATTTTGTTTTACATCTCTAAAGATGTAACGTAAATTTTATTATTCTTTTCAAAGAATTCATTTCACCTATGTCTTTGTGTAAAGTAATTTCTTTAAAATTGTTATACTTTCCTACAAGTAAAGAACAAATAACGATTGGCTCAGCCTAAAAGTATGTGCTCATTATTTTTCGAACCAAAAATGTACGCACACTGCACGAATGTCCATAATATAAAATAGAGAGTTAGCTAAATCAGCTTCAATCCCGAAAAATAATAACAAACTATAGTATTTGTGATAAAATTTTAATATTTGCAACTTTACTTGATGCTTTTTATAAATAATAGAATTTTTATATTAATTTGTAGTTAATTTTATGACATTCATAACGTGGCAGATACAATATATTTGTTCGTTTTCAAGCGGGGCTGCTACATAACGTCTTTGGGAATTCGGGTGGGGTACTTAACCATTATAACGTATCTAGTCGGCATAAATATGGTTTTAGTTTTCTAATACACATTAACACTGATCTTTTAGCATTGGCCAATAAATACAATTTCTTTTGCATTTGCTACATACAATTGAATTCTTTGCTACGTATGCTCAACTAATTTAACATTTAACCAATTTGCTAAATAATTTATTTAGTTTACGAAGAATTTCGGTACTAATGTACTAATTTATGTACAAATTAGGTGACCTATGAGCTAATTCAAATGTTCAGCTCTAATTATATAAATATTGCAAGCCAAATGTAGCAGGGACTGGACTACACACAGTTTGGTTAAACGGCTCTAAACGTAAGTAGATAGATTAAAACACAGTCTTATTTATGTATGAAGAAATCCAATAATCCAATGGGGCAAACCAAACAACAGGAGCAGGCTGGCAGGCAAGCAAGGTACGAAAGGTACGCATAGGATATGTGTGGTGGTCCAGCTCGGTCCAGCTCAATCTTTAGGCCGCCGCCGGGGTCACAGAATGCGTGGCCAAGAATCTCGGGGTCTGCTGGAGGGGCTGCTGCTTCCAGGGACGTCGCTTCAATTGCGTCTGCTGCGAGCCAGTCAATCTGGAAATTGTTTTAAAGAAATTTAAACCCTTGATTCTACTGGATTCAGCTAAACGACATCACTTACCGGTTGTATTTGGATAGCTTGCGCCGCTTCATCGGCGGCAGTCCGTCCATGTCAAGTCGTGGGCCTACGAAGCCAAAGTTGCCCACTGTTCCCGCGAGGGGAGCTGAAATAATTGAGGCAACGGGAAACAACTAATGCTAGGTCAACTTCTCATGCTGAGACTCTTACAGTGCTTTCGTTTGTTGTTGCGGTGCACCTGATTGATGGGCAGCAGTGGGGCACTGGATCCGCTCTCCAGGTGCGACTGATGTCGCCGGATGCTGCAGCTGCGTCCCCGGCAACCCTTCAACTGATCCAGCGCATCGTGCATGTGGGATCTCTCTCCAGGCGTTAGACTTGCTGCGCGATTTGTGGTCTCAAAGCGATCTGAAGAGAAAATATAACCCAACATTCATTTGGCAAGTTATTTAATTATTTTTTAAGCATAGTCTATAGGGAATTTTTTGAACAGAAAATTTCTAAAATGTTTTAATTGATCAAATAAAACATATATATATGTTTCATATATTATATAAGAAAATATATGAAACATAAATGAGTAATTTTCTTATTTTAAAAAATATTTTAAAAATTGTTTTTCTCAAGTTTTGTCCCAGTAAAGACCATTCGAAAACAAAAAAAAAATGTAAATGTATTTGGTTAAATAACACTATAAACTAGTCTTGCATTGTAGCATTTATAAAAATATAAACTTTTGACCAAACTTTTGTTTTCTTAAAGATCTTACCAATGGTCAGGTTGTAGAAGGTAATGAGGCCCGTGGTGAACTCGCAGTACAGATAGTTGTGAGTGGCGTTGATGGTCCTTAGGCAGGAGTAGGTGTTGTTGTTGGCGTTCATGCAGAAGCAGAAGGGACTGTCATTCCAGAGGGGAGCCGTGCGCCAGTGCTGGTTGTCGTGGGAGAAGCAGTTCATCTTCTCGGACAGGCACTCCTTCTCCAGGCGGGCCTTCTTGATGCGCTTGCGCTCCTTCTTGCGCTGTCGCTCCTCCTTCAGCTTCCTGCGCGCCTCGCGGGCCATTTCCTTGGAGTCGGCATGGCTGGATACGAGGTCATCGGAGGTTACAAATTGTCCAATTATGCAAACTCAACGGATATCACTCACCTCTCGCCCACATCGGGTTCGCAATAGCACTCGGCCCGCGGGGAAAAGCGATGGGTCTGCGGCTCTTCCAAGGAATCGAATGCATTGGCACTCCCATACCCGCGGAACACTTCCTTCTGGCCGGCGACGATGCTCGTCTTGGGCGTGCTGCTCACCTCGGTGAAGTAGCTCATGTTGAACTCCGGCCCGGCTCCACTGTCTAGAGTGGGATCAGTGCGCCGGCGGTTTTCGGTCCGCCGACCAGCGGCCAACGCCTGCTTGTTGCTCTCCCTCAGCTGCTTCTTCATCTCCTTCAGCTTGGCAATCTTGTCCTTGAGGAGCTTGATCAGCATATCGATTTGGTTCCGGGAGGTGCGCCACGTCTTCTCGTCGTCGTAGATCACATTGGAGCAGTTCACCTTACCCGTGGCCGCATCCACAAAGCACCGATGACCGCCTCGCTCCAGGAAGTTGGTGCTGGAGTTGGAAGCGTGCAGCTCGTGCTCATTGAACTTGAGCTCCAGGGTCTCCAGAGTGCTCTGTATCTGCTGGATGACCTGGGCAATCGACTCGTTAGAGCTACTTCCGCCCAAATCCCGCTTGCTGCGATGCGTGTGCTCGGCCAGTTGATCGACGACCCGGTCGAGACCCAGCAACTCTTCCATCTCGAAGGGTAGTTCCGTGTGAAACACCTCCCGCTTGTTTCGCCGCCGGCCCGGGCCATGGTGTGTCCGCTTGCTTACGCGATGCAATCCGGCGGATGGGGCGCGGATCTTGGTGTAGACCACTCCGTCGGGCGTGAAGCAAGCGCAGTTGCGCTGATATTGCTTTCGCGGCATGGCCGCCAACTGGTGCTCTAACTGGAGCTGGAATAAATATGACAAGGTTAGTTTGATTTCATTGATCATTGGCAGCTACAGATCGAGTCGACTTTTAAATGAGCTCCGAGCTAGAGCTTGCTGTTTGTCTTATTCATGAGCTATAATTCCATTAACTCATTTGAAACAGCTTAGCTCGAGTAGCTCACAAAAACAAACAAACAAAAAAAATGGTTAAACAGCTCGTGTCAAATATATTTGGCCAGGCAACTTTTCGTTCAACTTTATAAGCTTCTTTAAACTCTTCGGACTAAGACTTGAAATTTCTGAATATCCACGCGAATTCTTTAGCAAAAGAATGATTGCAAATAACAGTGAAAAAGTGATCCTAGCCATACAAAATTTGCCAGTGATCATCAACAGGCTTATACATTTTCAACAAATCGCGGTTCATAGAGGATACCACTTTCACGATTATTGTCATACACATTTAAATAAAGAAAAGTTAATTAATAACCTAAAGAATATGGGATACATGTTTAAATTACGTTAAGGAATATAATTTTGATGCCTATCAAAAAAATTAAATATAATAACGAAAACGACAGGATGATTTATGATTCCAATCGTAATCCAATCGTTATCCAATCGTAATCCATTTGAATTGAACATTTTTATGAGGTGATTTGCTCTAGCAGATTTGCTGAAGGGGAAGCCAAAGGGCTCTTTCGGTATACTTTCGCAGGGTTCGATTCCAAGTTAGGTACTCACATGGAACTTGCACTTGTGCTTGCGCCAACGACCCTCCTCATTGACGCACCTCCACTTCTGGCCGGGCAGGCAGTTTTTGAGCAGGGCCGGATCCGAGCACTCCGAGTTGAGGCGCATCATCTTGGTTATGTATGGGGCCAGGGGTAGATCGTTGTCCTGGTGGAACTCCTGATCGATCAGCTCCTCGTCGCCCTCTTCAACGGCAGCATCCTCGAGATCCTCCTCCTCCAGGGCCGCTGCCGAACTGTCACCATCAGCATCTGCTTCATCCTCTTCGTTGTCCGTTTCCACGTCCTCATCCGCATCCTCTCGCTGCTGCTGCTGCTGCATGGTGGAACTCATCAGAGTGGCGGCAGTGCTGCTGCTCGAAACGGTGGTGGTGGTGCTGGTAATCTCTCCTCCACCGTCCACGAAATCTTCAAGCAGCGAACTGTTCACCAGCTTCATGTTTCGCCGCTCGGCTTGGAGGCGGGAACGTGACTCGGCTATCTGGTCGGCCGTCTCTCTTCGGCCGGAGCTCTCGATGAGGAAGCTATCGGGCCAGTTGTCCCGCACAGCGCGGTTCCTGCTCAACAGCAGAGGCAGTATGCTGCGTCCGTCCATGTGCTGCGGCGTGGGCACGCCACCCATGTCCAGAAAAGTGGGAGCCAGGTCCACATTCAGCACAATCTCATTGACCCTGGGGCAGAATGTTTTTATTTTAGTAAGTTTTATAAGATCACCACCACACACTCGAAACACTTACACCTTGGAGGCCTGAATACCTGGACCACGGATGAGGAACGGCACTCGCACATCGAACTCGAAGGGAAAGCTCTTTCCCTTGATCAGGCCAAACTGGCCCAAATGATAGCCGTGGTCCGAGGTGTACACAATGTACGTGTTGTCCAGCTCGCCGAGATTCTTCAGCTCGTTGTAGACCCGCTCCACGGCCACGTCCACGCTCTGGAGTGTCTGCAGGCGCTTCGTCATCAGCAGATTGGTGAAGCGCTTGTGCACGGGCTGCATGGGTTCGGTGACCCTCAGGATCCACTGCTTATCCGGATTCGGGGCATGATCGTACGATGGAGTGCTAGGGGAAAACAATCAATAGTTTGGTAGAGTTACAAACAAGAAGGACTATGGGATGGCCTTTACTGAGCTTATCAATTTCTAAATTAAGATGCCCTCAGAAGACAATCAGGGTTTGGGTGGCTCCATCTGTTGAGCTTCAAGGTCAATACTACAAGAAAAAAACAAAAAAACCTCATATTTTCTGATTTTTCCTATGGAAGCTATATGATATAGAATTTAATAAACTTAAAACCGTTATTCTGAAATATAATACGATTACTAAATCTAAACTTTTTTTGCTTTATTTTTTTTTTAATTGTGTCTATGGAAGCTTTATGATATAGTTGTCCGATTAGACTCGTTCCAACTTATATACTACCTGCAATACCAAGAAAACTTTTGCGCTGCGTTGGCATAACTAGAATAGGCATATAAAATCTTAAGTTTCTAGATTTTATAGATCGATTATAATATAGTTTTTGATCAAGATTATATAAACTTCTTGATTCTACCTTTACCTTTATGAGTAACGGGTATAAAAATACAATAAATATATACTCACTGGTGGGTGGTCACATTGAAGAAGAGATGACTGTACTGGGGGGCTGAATCCTCCGGACCGTGCGGCGCCGGGAAGCTCATGGTGAGAAGGACGGGCTTCCGTTGGTTCTGCTGCTTGGAGGAGCGCAGGAAGGCGATCGAGTCGTTGGCTATCAGGTCCGGATAGTAGTCCTTGGCGTAGTCGAAGCCGTGCTTGATCTTCTGTCCGTTCAGATTGATGCTGTAGTTGTAGTACTTGGAGTTCATGATCAGACCGCCCCACTCCCGCCAGCCAGGTGGGATGTAGGATCCGTTGTACTTGTTGAGGTACTTTCCGAAATACCCGGTGCGGTAGCCGGCGTTCGAGAGATACGTGGCATAGGAGCGCGTCTCGTGCGTGGCCTGCCACTGGGGACTGGAGCAGTTGTCGTTGTTGGTGAACACCATGTGGTTGTGCACATACATGCCGGTGAGCAGCGACGACCTGGCCGGACAGCACATGGGCGTGGTGGTGTAGGCGTGCCGGAACTCGGCTCCGCCGTCCTTAAGCAGCCGCTGAGTGCGTGGCATGAAGTTCAGCGAACCCAGCTCCACGTCCTGGTCATCGGTCAGGATGAGGATAATGTTTGGTCGTCGCTCGCGGGCCGAGTTCGAGTCACGCGAGAATCTCTTCGCCGAGTGGCCGCGTTTGTGGGAATGCGATCCCTGTTCCTTGCCGAGCACATGGAGCACAAACAGGAGGAGTATCAGGCCGCCAATGGCCAGGCGTAAGCTGGTGTGCTGCATCATCGTTTTGGGTAAAGGGAAAACCTCAGCAAAGCTTCAATTCCTGGACGCTTATCCGGCGTCTCAGCTGCTGCGCTCAAAACACCAGCAAATCGGCCAGAAACTGCTTCATGGCTTTGTGACCTGTAAAGAAGATGATTAAGCTTTTAACCTCTTTATAGCTTTATCAAAGGAGTATTTGCTTAGCCACAGAGTGGAAATAATTTAGCTTGACTTAGTGTTCTTCCCCTCGATTCAAGCCAAGTCAACCATCATTTCGGCTGCCTGTTTTGCAGCTGCCTGCCTGCTCTTTGCAGCTGCTTTGCTTGCCTCGGAATTTCATGCACCAGTTGACCTCGACGGTGCCTCGACTCGAGTGCCCTTGCCACCAAATATTTGCCAAAGATTGTTTGGCCAAGAGCTGCGAAGAAGCGACAAATCAGAGCGATGCACATTTTGTCCACTTATCAGCAAATGTCGGCTACTGTCAGACCGTTTTCGCCCACCCAACCATGCAACCAACCCATGCAACCACCCATCTACCGCCTGGTTTCCGGTGAAGTGTATTTGCGTCCTTGCTGAAATTTATGTGCCACTTGCCGTTAAGTGAAAACTGCATTCGCAGTGCCTTTTTCCCTTACCCCCTGACAAATCCACGTAAATTTTCTTATGCGGTTTATGCCCGTTTGGCATTGAGCTGCCAACCCACCAACCCATCCCAAACCAAACTACCATCCACCCAACCAAGAAGGGAATTTGGTGGATATAAAGTGGTTTACTGGGGCCGTTTAAGTGTGATTTATATGGTCGCAGTGCCGCCGTTTGTTGCATTGTATTTGCCAGCCAGGTAACTTGGCCACTTCTTCGAGAGTCCAACACCGTGGAAGCTTCAGTAAGTCAAGACAAGACCTTCTGCATTCGGCAGGGCACTTAACGCTTTGACTCGACCTTGATGTGAGCCAAGCGATTCGGCAACAAAAGATCCGACTAAAAGAGCATCTCAGCTTTCGAGGCTAAACTTTAAGATCTATTGCGGCCTCTCTGTAAATTGAGCCGCTCTCCGCGCTTCTCAAAATTCAACTTGAGGTCTCTCACTCTCAGTCTTCTCAAGCATTAAAGTAAATTACTGCTCTTCTCCGCATAACTTTAATACACTATATTTTGTATAACTTTTTATTCACATTTTTTGCTCTTAAATCCCAAGCTGCCCAGCCCAGTCTGCCATTTCTCAATCCAAACCCAGTCGCAGCTCAACTGTTGCATAACCGCAATAACTTCCTGCAAAAAGTTTTGGGAGTGGAGTTCGAATTTTGACATGCCCAGACCAAAACTGTAGTTAAATATTCAGCACAAATAATGGCAACAAAAAACCTGGCAGCCACGAGACGATGCAGGTTGCAACAGAAATAGCTGATAGATGGAGATGCCCAACATCCGGCGCTGGATGCAAGATGAATTGGTATATGGCTGCTGGGTGGATGGATGGCTGGGAGCCAACTCAATGAGCCACTTGAGTGCGGCACAATAGAGAAAGCCTCCCACTCGAGCGCCTTGCCATCGCAAATGCAATATTTTGCCATCCATTTTATTTATTTATGCTCAATTATGCTACGTTCTACGTTCCCACTCCAATCGCAATCGCAATCGAAATGTTGCAGAATTGCCGAAGCAATTGAGCAGAACAAAAGGAAGGAAAGCCAACTGAAGTGCATCCATTGTGAAAGCAGCTGGAAACCCTCAGCCACTTGACTGGCGAAACTTCCTTGTTTCTCCAAGGCTGTTTTCGTATGGTTTGGATGGCTGGACCAACTGCAGCCCCCAAGTCCAAATCGAGAGGGAACCCGGCTGGGAACAAGTTTGGGTCAAGCATGACCCAACAGCCCCGGCCCTAAAAAAGGAAACATGTTTCTTGGCGAACAGACCCGACCAAAAGAGCCCGATTCAGGCTGTTTTTTTTCATTTTATTTTTTTTTTTTTTTGCGGCATCTTCCTGTCGCCTGCTGACAGACGTCACGCATGCTCAGATGGCATCGGTGGCTTGGAGTTGGAGGCTAGGGCGAAAGGGGTACGGGACGCGGTTGGGAGCCGGCCTGGACCACAGTGAACGTGTTCCCGACTTGGCAACACCAGCAAACTTGTCTCACCAAAGTCAGCCGAAGGAGCTCGAGAGACTGGCGGCTTGCAGGGCGGATGAAAGCCAACACGATTTCCTGATTCATTCATGAATTTCATGACTTTGGTTCTGTGTCCTTCTCCTTTGCTCCCCCGAATCCTCAACTCTTCCCGGCAATTCCATCTTCTTAAAACCAAAATCGTGCCTGTTGCTAGGTGATCATAAAATTTTATTACCCACATTTTACATTTTTCTTAAAGGGTTACATCGTTTTCGCTTTTCCTATGTATGGGCTTATATTATTATATTTCGTTAAAATACATCAGCGATTGTTAGTAAAAAGTTTTGACTAAAAGCACGACTGTTTTTTATAAGTAAGGTCAAAACTAGTGGTTTGTTATTTATTATTTAATGAAATTGCAATTTTTTAATATGAACCCCTGTATAATCCACCAAATTTTCAAAGTTGACTTGACTTGGCCAGTCGATAGCAGTTAAATTAATTAATTGCAAGTCTCGCTAAGACGTGACAATCCAATTGCATATCAAATGGTGCGATGTCTCTTATCCAGCGAGCAAAATGATTACACAGCAGACTGAGAAGTTGAACAGGAAAACCAGACTGGGCAGAAAAGGGAAAGTCGGCGGTTATCTTTTCAGATAGGACGGAGATGCATTCAATTAAGTTTATAAAGTGTATATATCTCAACTCAGCTAGGAGTCGAAGGCGAAGTCGAAGTCCACTGGAGAGTGCAAATACAGTAGTCGCAGGCTTCCGAGGCTTATGAATATGCAAAGAGAGTGATGTTGACTAATCTGACGGCCCGGCACAAATTATAAATTCCGTCTTATCAGTGCTGGATCGCATGGTGTTGCCGAGTTCCTGCCACTTTCTGCAGATCGGACTCATTAGCCGCCGTGTCAACGACTCAAGTGGGCCAAAGTTGGGGACCAGTGAGCAGGGAACAGGGAACAGGGAGTCCGGAGACCGAAGTCTGAAGTCCGGAGACCCGGTTGGGTCTGCAAATGTGGAGCAGCGGCTGCGTAGGCTGTGAACCCCGGCCAAGTCCAACTTTGCGCTTAATTATGCAATTAACAAGGCAGCCAGGCGACTAGGGATTGGGTCTGACATGTGACCAGTTGATGGCTTCGCCGAGTCAATTTAACGCTTAACTAACTATTTAAAAGCTAGCCCCTGCTCGACTGTGGCGAATGCAGCTCCATCAACTCCCACTCGCAACCGAGCATCAGAGCATCAGAGTGCTGCATCTTCGTCACTTGCGGCTGGCGGCTAACGGCTTTCGGCTTTTCCAGTTCGATTTATGCATATTTAATGGGACCCCAAAAGCTAAACCCACGCCTACACACGACTTTCAGAGCCGAGAACTGGGCAAAGAACATGTGGCAAGTGTCGCTTTGGGGGCGTGGCAGGGGTCGACCTGTGGTAAGCCAATTTGCGTTCAGCTCACTCAACTCACAAAACCCAAACTTGTTGTGACAGTTTTGTAATGGACTTGAAATATTTAAGCTCACTTTGGCCTGACACTTTGATTATGAAAGATGCATTAAGCGGAGTTTATTATGCAGGATGGATGAAGTGTGCTCCATAAGTCAATTTGACAAAGCTATAACACGCCCTGATTTCAATATCCTACTCGGGCAAAAAAATTATGAAATAACGAGCACACTTCAATACATTAAATCAACATTGTCTCGAATGAATACGAAACAATGTGCCAAAAAAGAACACAATGTGAGTGACTTTGAGGCACGTTCCGCAAATCGGTCAGACGACAAGTGTTAGACGAGGAAGTCGAAAAAATAAACAAAATATACGAAAGATCCCAGCGGATCGGAGTGGGTTATGAACGTTTTCTTAATGGGTACAAAAAAAAAAACGAAATGTCGTGAGTGAGTGGTTGTAGCGGAACACATATTCAAATCGTGTTCCGCCGCCACCGCCGCAACAATAAAATTCAATGGCAACAAATTGTTTGCGAAATGGTTGCAAATAAATCTTTTTGTTTTTTGCGTGTCTGTTTGTCGTTTTGTCAGAATTATAACAGGGAGAGTGACCAGCCAAGTGTCGAGATTCACGTTTAGCTCGATTTATGGTCTATATTATACGGCCAAGAGGCCAACGCCCTGGGAGGGGCTACGTTTTAAAGGTTTCAATTGACTTGATCGCCGCGCCGCATTGCCAAATGAATATTTATTCCTTTTTAATAAAGTAGCAGCCAAATTTGTATTTTATGTCAGCATATGTCTGCGTTTATTTTGTAATGAAATCTCTTGCAATTTGTTTTACACACTTTTCAGTAATTTATTTTGCAGCTGCTGGCAAAAAAAGAGGAAAAAAAAAACACTCATAAAAACAAGAATTTATGCAATTAACTCAATTACAAGTTATGGTCAGAAGGCCTGAACCACTCGGCTTCGGCAGTTCCAAATTCCTTGCAAAGGTTAAAAGCTATTGAACAAGCCGAGCTATAGCTGGCATTATAGGGAACCTTGTGGTTGGGCAAAAATGTCTTACAATCGGTCTATTAAAGCCCTCACACAACGTCCTGCCCCATCATAAATAATATCGTAGGCGCACCGGACTAAAACAACTCCTGTTGTTGTGGCATAAACAAATCAAATCAAATTGTGACCCACTTAGCCATTTTCCGCTGCAACACACACTGCCGGCAAAAAGTCAGCTACTGGCGGCAACAAAAAAAGAGTCCTCAACTCCACTCGACCGAATTGGTCTCGGTTTTGTGGTAGCTATTTAGGGTTCTGCAAAGGGAAATTGTTGCCTGACATTTGCATATAACAGATACCCTTGTCGGTTGGCCTGAACTCAGAAGTACTCGGTTTCACCCAAATGTGCTTGAATTTTCTTGGAAATCGATTTCAGCTACTTCGGTGAAGACAATTATACACAATTTGTCTTTGTTATCGCAAAACCTGCTTATCAGTTCATAGACCCACGCGTAACACACACAAATTTCCCCCAAAACTATTCCCCGCCTCCCTTTAAAATTTATGCAAATTAAACAAACAATAAAAGCTTCGCCCCTCCCCCTCGCAAATGATTTAATCTTCCCAGTTCTCATTGCCGCCAAGGTCTGGCCCCAAACCGAGTCGCACCGAAAATAGAAATTCTAGCGAAAATGTTAAACATTCTCTTGACATATCAGAAGAATGCTGTCTTGTCGTCACCGCTGCTCGCGATTCAATCCTCAAATAGTGACTGCAGAAAGGCCTCCAGGCCATCAGTCATTTTAAAGCTGATGACACACAAACGGCGAATAATTAAAATAATAATAAGAAAATAATAATATTACGGGGAAGGAAAAAGTCGCTCACCTTGGACCAAATGGACAGTGGTCGAAAACACACAAAATTTGAGGACTGTGGGCAGGTGATAAATCATAACCGACAACTGGGCGGGACGAGGGCGTGGGCAAGGCTCTGGTCTGGCTCGGATTCGCTTTCAGAGAATCGTCTTTCAAGAATGTAAATCATAAAAAAAAAAAAATACCAGGATAGAAGCAAACGATGATGAAGACGGCTGACTCAGTGGACTTCAACTGGGTACTGGGTACTGGGTCTCAGCATTCAGCGCCGGGCGTCAAACGGAAGCCGCATTAGTTGCACACTCTCGAAGGCTCAAGCTTGGAAGGTGATCCACCTTATATAATCATATATATATAGGATCAGGTTGTATGCCTTTAGAGACACGAGTCCGCTGAGAAAAGGATTTCGATTTCGACGGAATTAATCAAGTTGCAGGCAAAAAAAAAAGGGCACGAGGAATGCAAAAGGGGTTATTTTGATTGAAAAAATTCTGTTTATTCACACTAAGATCACTGAGATACTCAAACACAAGAGAACATTCCTTCTAGAAGACGTTTAGTAATAACAAAAATACATTTCACACAAATTTTCTATTTACAAGAATTAATTACATAAATACATGCTGACTGGAAAGCGTTGGTAGTTTATTGCCTTCCCACATTATTCATTTAAATTTTCTTTAAAGTTCACAGATCGCAATATTATTTTTGAATGTATGCCAAAATTTATAAACGCAAATTAATGTAACCTTGCCATATGTCATGTACGCCTCGTTGTACTTGTTTGGATTCTCATATACCCGAACGTCATAAAAATGAATACAAATTAATAAAGATATTAAGGTAATTATTACACTTTTGTGTTGTTTTTCATTTTACCTATAAAAAGACATTTCTGTCAGTGAAACCCGGTAGCTAAAATAAGTCTTTGTAAAATTGATGTTGACTTATAAGACATGCAAGTGTCAACAAACATTTTTGCAACTGTCAGAAATTGTGAAAGCCAAAACAGTGCACGAAGAAATTTACAGATTTATTTTTGTATTTTTTTATAAATGCTCTTTGGAAATAGAGAAGCTAATGGCTGTTACGTTTTGAATGAAGAGGTTTTTATATAGACGCAAAGTGCTCGTATTCACTAGTTTGACGCGAGAGATTTAGCGGCCGAAATAGCTCAGTTGGGAGAGCGTTAGACTGAAGATCTAAAGGTCCCCGGTTCAATCCCGGGTTTCGGCAATTATCTTTTTGCACTTTTATTATTATTTGTTTACCTTAATTAACTATTTATTATTTTTTTTTTTAAGAACTCGTAATACTTATACTCCATAGCTATGAAAACATTACTAGTTTTATAATTTTAAGGTTACAGGTGTTTGACTGCAATTAGTTATCCTTTTTCTGACCTTAAAATCCTTAAAAATCGAGAGCTTTATACATATGTTTCCGTGGTGTAGTGGTTATCACATCCGCCTAACACGCGGAAGGCCCCCGGTTCAATCCCGGGCGGAAACATGATGAGGAATATATTATTTTTCCAGAATTTCATAAGAGGGCGAAGAATAAAAGGCATTCAAAAATTTTACTTTATTTTTGGACTCATATAACAGCAGCAGATTTATTAATAAAATGCGTCATGGGAAAATTCCAATTAATTTTTTAATATTTATGATTGAACTAAATAATAAATTCTCTTCGAACTTCTATATCTCGAATTTTCGCAACTTAAATTCTTCTTATTCAAAATCAATAAAAGGTTACTTATTTTCAAAAGTGTGAGTTACTAAGGTTTGACTGCAATTGATTATCCTTTTTTGAAAATATTACAAAATATGTCTAGCAACTTATGAAACTTGGAAGCTTTCAAAATTATTGTCATATGTTTCCGTGGTGTAGTGGTTATCACATCCGCCTAACACGCGGAAGGCCCCCGGTTCAATCCCGGGCGGAAACATAATTAAACAATATTAATTATTTTTTTTGTTAATTTTTATGCACTCCTTGGCCTTTGTCTGATTATAAAACGAATGCAAGCCGATATAAACCAAGCCGAAATAGCTCAGTTGGGAGAGCGTTAGACTGAAGATCTAAAGGTCCCCGGTTCAATCCCGGGTTTCGGCAATACTTTTTTTATTTTATTGTATTAATTTTCTTAATTTATACAACTTTTTGGAATAAGAAAATTAACAATTGAATTTGCTGTCACATTCTCGGACCCTTTTTGTCGCCCAAAATTAAATTTTTTATCTGTAGATAAGTATAATGCCTACATCGTCGACCTGGCCGCGCACCTACCTCAACTGGAAGCGTGTGCTGTTTCTCTCTCTAAAGTGCGTCTACTTCATGCTGGTGGTGAAGTTCAGCCAGAAGAGTTTGGAGATGTCCGCCAAGAGCCGACTGGTCCAGAGGCAGTGGCAAAGCGTGTACGGGGGACCGCTGAGCGGGGGAGAAGCATTCACTTGATGGCCACATGACGATTCCTATATGTCCCATTGGGAGGAGCGGAGGAGCCGATGAATAAACGACAGTTGGAAAATGTCTGTGCGCTGTCTTAATACGTTTTTATTAGCCAAGAGATTCGCGTCGGGCTGTCGGCCAGAGTAATTAGACTCCATTAGTGGGCTGGCAGACGTCGTCGCGTTTCTGCCGAAGGCAGTACCACAGCAATTCATGCCAAAGTGCTCACGAGCCATATGCCACTCCAGAACCATCTCCATCTCCATCTCCATCTGCAGCCATACCCATGCCCATAGCCACATGTTGGTGCTCATAATTTGTACGCCATTAGACAACTTTGTGCATAAACTCATTAAAATGTACTTGAATCCCTCGAAACGAAATGGAGATGGCACTGCTGATGTGGCTGGATCTGGAGCTGCGATGGCGACGCGTTTGGCTAATTTGTCGAGCAGCGTCAAATGACAAGGAACAGGCAACAGTCTGCTCCGCAGTGCTCCCCAGTGTCTACCAGTGCCCACCATACCACTCCACTTCCCCTCCAGATCGCATGGACATGTGGCGCAATTTGACAGTTTGAGGCGCAACATGACAGATTGGCTCGCAAAGATGCTGGGCTGGCCGAAACGAAGTGGAGTGTGGATGGAAATGGCAATGTCAGTTCAGACATTACGCAATTCGAGATGACTCAAGCAAACACTCGAGTGTGGCCCGCCTCTGGGATGATTATCATTATGAGCTCGATGAGTTTGTCGCTGTCTTGCTCTCTTGAATTTTGCCTGCCATACATAATGAAGACGCTAGACAGGCGCTGGGGAGTCGTTACGCATTACTTGGCTGCATCCACCCAGGCCAGGGCTAAGCAAGGACTGGTCCAAAACTAAGACATACTACTACTATAGCTACCCAACCTATAAATATTTCAGAAAAAAACACACAACTTTAAGTTTCTTTACTCATTAAACCAAAATATTGCTTTGAAAAAAATACAAATTTTTATATCTGACATTGAACTACTTTGCCATTTTTCAACATAACAAAATAATTGTCTTTCCCCCTAATTAATTGGACAATTCTCTTTCAAAATACATTTTTAAAATAATTTTTGTCCAAACATATATATATTTTTTTAAAAGTATTAAAAATATTTCCCATCAAAAGTTTCGCGAACGAAAAACTACGAGGCATATGAGACATTAATACGCAAAAGATTACTAATATTTGCAAATCACTTAAACGTCGTTTCTGTATAAAATTTAAAAACAAAGTTAAAAGATATATGAAAACTATTTTTAGACCACCACGCGTTGTCGCTCAACCGAAAAAGTCCCTCATGGTATATGATCGTGAATCACAGTCAAGGCCAAGCGGCCAATTAAATTGAGTCGAGGAAAACGATGAAGACATATGTATCTATAAACTGATTACAATGTCATTTACTTATCAGCTATTTATCATTATCGCCAAAATCGGACCTGCTTTGTCCGATTTATACACGATTGTAGACTTCAGTTGGGCCCCAGTACCGAACGAGCAACCGAACGATAGCTTTCGACTTTTTTTAAGAATGAGTGGAAAGCAAACCACTAATGTGGAAGCAGATCCCCTTCCCCAGAAGGAGGTTATCATCCTTGCCACCTCAGCACCGCCGGAGCGTCCAGGAGCCGCAGTTACCACGAACAACACTGGATACTTTTCCCGTGTCAATAGGAACAAAAACGCCTCCTATGCAGGTGAGAGAATAAGGATATCGCAAAGGCCAAAGTAACTATCGACCCTTTTCCTTCTAGTCTTCTTTCTACTCGTCTATGGCGGAATGGATATGGCCGCCAGCTTGGGCTGGAATCAAACCTACAGCGTTTTCCTAATCACGGAGTATTCGTACTGTTGGTTCATTGGTGTAATCGTTGGAGCATTGGACGTCATTCTCTCCATGTCATTTCTGCCCAAGCAGGTCTTCTATGTGAGTAGAAGTGAACCAAATTGTAGAATTTAACTCTTTTAAGGAGAATATGAAACTAGATTTTTTAAGGTAGATACAGAAGTATAAACAGGATGACCAATAAGATAAGATTGTAAGGGCGCGAGCTTTTTCCAATACACAAAATTTGGATTTCTGTGATTCACATCCTCATTTTTGTGTTATCCAAGGGACTTATGGTTTACGAAATGAAGTCATATTTTTAACATTATGAATTTAATAAAACAAGAGTCTGATTTAGTAGAACTAAACTAGTATGTAGAAAGGAGCGGGTATACAAATTATCCTTATTATAGAATATTAAATTAAGAACACAAATTAGGTACAATGTAAGACTTTTTTCCCCTATTTTAGTTAACTTTTTTAACGATACTTAAATTATTGTTTTCTAAAAACCATTGCCTATTTTTCAGTTCCTTGGAGGTATACTTCAGCTAACCGGTTCCATTTTATTTACCGCTATGCCTGGCAACTATGCGGCCTGTTTGGGTGCCCGATACTTGGCCGGCCTGGGCATTGGACTGATTACGGTGCCCTTCCTCATCCACAATGCTGAGGTGGCGGCCACCAACGTGCGCGGCTTCTGCGGCGGAATGGAGCAGATCGGCCTGGCCTTGGGAATCGAAGTGCAGGTGGTCTTCACCACGGAGTGGGCATCGGTACTGGGAACCTCCCCCAACTTGGTGCACGGCATCATCGGGATTGTGTTCTCGTTGCTGGGCCTGGGAATGACTGCCCTGACGATTGAGTCGCCAATCTACTACCTACGTCGAAATCAGGAAAGCTTGGCGCGCCAGTGCCTGCAAAAGCTTCTGGGTAACTCCTCGAATGGCGTCACCAGAGCGCTCGACGAGGCGAAGCTCTATGTGGCGGAGAGCGACAGCCGGAGCCTGGGCGAGGAGCTGGTGGCCTCCGTGGGACCCTTCCTGAAGCTGCTCCTCTTCCGCTGCTTCGTCGCGTTCTCCTTCTCCCTGCCGCTGACCATGTCGATTATCTCGAGCACCGCAGTGGCGGAGGGATCCCTGAGCGTCTGGCCAATGTATGTGTTTGGCTCAGTGAGGCTGATCAGCACACTGGTGGCTCTTTGCTTCCTCGACACATTGGGTCGCAAAGCGGTTTCGCTGGTGGGCCTGCTCTGCATGGCCGGACTGATGCTGGGCCTGGCGGGCCTGTACGCCGACATGGACAATATAGTTGCGTGGAAACCCATGGTCCAGGCCTGCAACATCGGAATGGCATTCCAGGCCGTCGCCGGACTCTTCGTCTGCAGCTCGTCCGCCTACATGGGCGAGGCCTTTCCCATGCGGGTCAAGTCTTCTCTGGTCGGACTGATCGTCATCGTGGAGCAGCTCATCCACGTCATCGTACTCGCCTGCGTAAGCTCTATGTCCAGTGGGGAAATCTTTTTCCCGTACTTTCTGTCCGTGGGCATTATCATGCTGCTGGGCGTGATTTTCTTTGCAGTCTCCATGCCGGAGACCAAGAAAATTACGTTGCGAGAGGCTGGCCACCGCTTCCAGGGGTGGTTTGATCTAAGTTTCTACTAGGCGTTGGAAAACTCACTGGAAAACTCATTATCCTTGTTCAAATTCTCGTTTGTTTATGTGATAATTTAGTTTAATAAAACCAGCTTATAAGTGAACATTAAAATGGGAGTATGGTGTATGCTGTGGGAAAATAATTATCAGCCTAATCAATCAAATAACTTGCAAAAATAAATGTGGAAACATGACGTCAGTTTTGTAAACTAGTCTTATCAAAAATATTGCTTATTTTTGGGGCAGCCAAAATTTCTTAGAAATGACAAATCAATTAATGAGCTGTTGCCTGCTCGTGGTGAATAAAATTGGTTTTTGTGTTTATTATAGCGTAGCCATAAAAAAATCTATTTATTTCTTTTTTAAACCTTTCTTCAACGAATTATTTTCTAACGAAATTTAATTAACTTTTTACAACAATGCGTCAAATCAGTTGTTTTTATCGTGCCTCATTGAGGCTTACTTTCTCTGTCGGAACTACTTAAAATAAGCCTTTGACTTTATCTAAAAGCTTATACAATATTGCCGTAATACCCTCTTCAGTTATATTACTTACACCACAATTGGTTTTTTGAGCTCCATGTAGTTCTTACTTGTCCATCGAGTCGTGTGGATCGAACAAGAAAGTGGCAAAAAAAAAATCAGGAATATGACAATAACTTATGTTACGGCTGGTCCGGATGGCGAACAAACAAATGCCTTCAGCTCCAAGGACATGGGTTACATCCCGAAAGCACCTCCGCCACAAGTTAATTTAACCGTCGGTTATCCTGGCTCCACGCGCCAATTTAACAAGCAACTTAATGTGGCCTGTGCTGGTGGGTAGATAGAACAAAGTGCATTCAGTTTGAAGCAGTTACTCATTCGTTTATCCCCGCTGGCCAGTGTTCTTTCTCTTTGTCTACGGTGGCATGGACTTTGCCCACAGTGCGGGCTGGAATCAGACCTTGAACACCACCGCCACCCAGTTGTTCAAGTGCAGTTGGTTTATAGGAGTCCTTGCTGGCGCTGCTATTGCCTCGGTGGCCATGACCTTTCTGCCAAAGCTGCCCTTCTATGTGCGTGAAAAGTAATCTTCTAAGATCCTTAGCCTTAATGACATCCCCTGCAGGTCCTCGGAGGACTAATGCAACTAACTGGATCGATCATTTTCACTTGTGCCCCCTTCGATTACGGACTACTTTTGGTCGCTCGCTATGTGGCCGGAGCGGGAATCGGACTGATCACCGTTCCGTTTCTCATCCACAGCGCCGAGGTGGCGACGGACAACCATCGCGGTGCCAGCGGATCAATGGAGCAATGTGGCCTGGCCTTGGGCATTGCCATACAGGTTGTTACCCAACAGGGGAACTTAATCTAAGATGGACCCAAAAGTGTTTAATTTATCATCCTGTAGGTTATCTACGACACGCAGTGGATGGATGACAAGGAGGCATCCGTCAACGAGGTTCATGGAATCATAGGAATTGTCTTTTCCATCCTGGGTCTGGGCATGACAGCCCTTTCGATTGAGTCGCCCATCTTCCACTTGCGTCGCAACCAGGAGGCGAAGGCCCGCGACTGCCATCGGAAACTCTTGGGGAGCTTCAACAGCTCTGAAGATCAGACCTTCGAGGAGGTCAGGGTCTACGTGGCGGAGAGCCAGCAGAGGACGTTCGGTCAGGAGCTTTGGAGCTCGGTGGTGCCCTTTGTAAAGCTGTTGCTCTATCGCGGCTTCGTTGCCTTCTCCTTTTCCCTGCCCCTGTCCGCATCCCTCATCTCGAGCACTCTGATGACCGAGGGCTACATATCCTGCTGGCCAGTGACGGTTTGGGGATTGGTTCGTTTGCTCGGCGCTCTGGTCGCCCAAGGATTCCTGGACAGGATGGGACGCAAGCTCTTCTCGCTCGTGGGACTGCTCTGCATGGCCATCCTGATGCTCTGCATGGCCGTCTCCTACGCGAGTCCGGCCAACGTGCTCCTCACCTACTACATGTACCAAGTGTGGAAGCTGGGAGTGGCCTTCCAGGCCTTCGCCGGACTCTTCGTCTGCAGCTCATCCGTCTATCTGGGCGAGGCTTTTCCCTTGAAAGTGAAGCCCTTCCTCGTGGGATACGTGGTGGGCTTCGAACAAATGATCCACATCATTAACATTGTTGGCTACAACCGGGGCTCCGATAATTTCTTCTACCATTACTATTTGTCTGTGGGTATCATATTGTTGGTGGGAGTGATTTTCTTCGGTATCGTCATTCCAGAAACGAAGAAAATTACTCTTCGAGAGGCGAACAAGCGGTTCCAGCGTGTGCACAATATAAAATTATTTTAGAAAATAAAATTTATACAGATTAAACAATGAATGAAGTTTTATTTACACTTTTCTTTATAACAATAGTCCATAAAAATCTAGGCACTCTCAAAAGTTCATTTTAAAATAAAAGCATTATTAAAAGTCCATTTGAAAATCACTTAATTTTTGTATATATTTAAAGTTCTTATTAGCCAAGTCTGATGGGTTTATAAATTTAAAGTTTTCAATATTCAAATTTAATTGTTTATAAAATTCCAATTCTTACTCGATCGGAAGAAGAAAACGTAGACAACGTTTATGTTATTTCGCTATGTTGTATATATATTTGACATTTGTAATAATAATTTAACTATTTAAATTATTTTAGAAAACAAACCCTTTACTTTATAACAATTCTAAAAGCCCGCTTAAAAATTAAAAAAAAAATACACAGATAGTCCAAACTTAATTGTTTATAATTATTATGTTCTCAATAGTCAAAGCTAATAGTTTATAAATTTCAAGTGCTCACTCGATAGAAACAAGAACATGCAGATAACGTTTATCTTATCCCGGACATGTTTACTTTGACATTAGTTAATCAAATCAATTACATTTAAATGATAACCATTTTCCAATTAATTCGAGCACGTCATCCGATTATCCATTGTCAATTGGGTTTTCTGAAGGCCTCTCGCTTTTTGGGGGTATACCCTCAGAAAACGATGGGTCATGCTCGCCGAACTTTGTACCCCTTAGCCGATCAATTTAACAAAGCTAGCTAGGATACCACGAAGAGGTGAGTAACAATGGACCCATGGCCCTTGAATGTATCTGTGACATTATCACAACTTATGGGGACTTAACACACATGAATCACGGCAAGCGGAATGCCCACCGTAAAAAGGAATATGCGAGTATCTACCAGCTGATAAAATATATCAATTATCAGATATCTTTTTTTTGCTGATAGCTACTACTTACGCAGAAATATTTTATAAAAGCTCGCCCAGTCTGCCAGTGGCCACCAAAACGAACGAAGCGATCCAGCTCCTTGGAAGTTAAATATAATTCAGCGCACTTTCTTGTTACATAAGCAACGAATATGACGACCACATATGTCACCGGAGGCCCAGTGCCCATCCAGCAAACCACCTACATTAGCACGGGCCCCCAGCAGTTTCAGACCACGTATGTGACCAGTGCACGGCAACCGCCTCCGCCTCCTCCTCCAGCGGCCACAGTGGTAATCACCACCACAAACAACAGACGGTGGGCTAATGGCGCCCAAACGCAGGCCGGAACAGCAGGTGAGATCGGCATAACTTTAGCGTGAATTCGGTTTTAGTAGTCTCTAAATTTAAATTATGTTTCCGCGACATTGTGTCGCACTCCACACATACATCAATTTCATATTAATTTAATAATACTTTGTTATATTAACAAGTATGTTTTGGGTAGCTGCTGTAAAAACGTTCGAAAAAGTAATAGAAGCTTTGTCATAACTTCGTTGTTATTAAACATATACACAAAAAACTCAAGATAAAGTAGTTTCATATGGGTTTTAAAATAATGTTGAATGCAGTCATTAAGTCATTTCATTTTATCGAACTCGTTGTCACCACACGGTGAGCTAACGCATTAACGAACAGCCTACATATCTACTTATTTTTTCATATTATCTTGGTAGGCAATATTATTATATGTCTAAATGAAAATTAAACCCTACTGTTTATGCACTAATAAGTGTTATTACAGTTCCTAAATTTTAAATAATAATAATTCTTTTTCGCTTGAAAATAATTAATATTTTCCAATAAATATAACAAATCTTTAAAAAAATCATTACGGATTCGAAAAGAGAGCAAATACATAAAATAAATAAATTGATTATTGAGTTATGTTTAGTGCATTTTTTTAGCCTTGAAAAACCAAAAGTAACGATTACTTTCGCTAATTTAATTAATTTCGGAATTAAAATGAAAATGTATACATTTAAAAAATAAGTAAGTCTTCGGTTTCACAAGCAAACCAACCATTTTATAAATAGGAACTAGAAAAATAAGTGTTTTGACTAATATTTCTTCTTATTTTTGAAATATTTTTTTGTTTAATTATTTCACTTGTTAATCGGATAATTTTTTATCACCAGCCTCCCTTTTGTTCGTGTACGCTGGAATGGACATGGCTCAAGGTCTGGGCTGGAACTTGACCCAAATTTTTTCCACCACCCTTGAGTTTCAGTACAGTTGGTTTATTGGCGTCATCATTGGAACTGTGGTGGCCGCCGCAACAGCATCCTTCGTGCCCAAAATAGCGTTTTATGTGAGTGAAAATCCAGAGATCTATAAAGACCGCCTGGGCTAATATCTTGCCAATCTTGCTCCGCAGGGACTTGGTGGTGTGATGAACCTGATTGACGCCATTATTTTTGTGAGTGCTCCCTACGAGTACGAGTCAATCCTGGCCGCCCGCTATGTGGGAGGGGTGGGAATCGGCCTAATCACCGTGCCGTTCCTCATCCAAAGCGCCGAGATCGCTTCGAGTACGAACCGAGGAACCTGCTCCGCATTGGAGCAGTACGGCCTGGCACTGGGAGTGGCCATCCAAGTGATCTACGACTCGCAGTGGACGCAGGACTTGGGCATGTCCATCAACCGGGTGCACGGAATCTTTGGCATTGTCTTCGCGGCCATTGCACTGGGCAGCGTGGCCATAGCGATCGACTCGCCGATCTTCTACATCCGTCAGAACCAGGAGCAGAAGGCGCGCGCCATTGTGAAGCAGTTGTTGGGCTCCTATTGGTCCCGCGAGGCGGAAGATCAGGCCTACGACGAGGCCAAGCTGTACGTGGTGGAGGGCAGCAGCCAGGGTGTGGTTGAGCAGCTGGGCGGGTCCGTGATGCCCTTCCTGAAGCTGCTGCTCTTCCGCTGCTTCGTAGCCTTCACCTTCTCGATGCCGCTGTCCCGTTCAATGGAGATGACCTCGTATTTGGTCGAGGAATCCACCTACTCGTGGCCCACAATCGTGTTCGGTATTGTCCGCCTGATCGGATCTCTGATCACCTTCGCCGTGCTGGACACCGTGGGCCGCAAGTTCGTCTCGCTGCTGGGGCTCATGTGCATGGCCGGACTGATGCTGGGCATGGCCGGAGTATACGGAAACTATGCGCACATGTCCGACTACTACTACATGTGGCAGGTGTGCCGCCTGGGCATGGCCTTCCAGTTCTTCGCCGGACTCTTCATCTGCAGCTCGTCCGTCTACCTGGGCGAGGCCTTCCCCATGCGCGTGAAGCCCTTCCTGATCGGCCTGATCGTGTGCCTGGAGCAGGTGGTCCACATCATTGTGATCGTCACCTTCACCGCCACCGCCGAGTCCTTCTACATCTACTTCGTGACCGTGGGCATTATCATGGTAGTGGGTCTGGTGGCCTTTGCCGTCCTCATGCCGGAGACCCGTGGATTGACTTTAAGACAGGCGGGTGAACGATTCCGACGGGTGCACGACGTCATGGCTTACTAGGTGGCTGATTTTTCGTTTTTGTATTGGCTAGATCAATAAAATGTTACTCAATAATGTGAAGAATATTGATCGACTTGAGAAGTTGCCTAACACACAGAATGACAGGGAAATATTCCGCAAGCAAGTGTTAATTAAGTAAATGATAATAGATACTAAAGGGAAAAATTGAAGAGCCAAAGTAATAAAAGCTGTCGCTTAAGAATCATCTGTTTTTATGGGAGCAAATTTGTATTTGCAAATGTTGATTTTATCTTAATCTTAAACACATCCAAACATTCCTACAAGCAAATATAATTTAATCTATTTTGATTTCCGCGTGGTTGGAATATGCAGTTGGCAGCTGCTCCGCAATTCTTCTCCGACTTTTATGCATATTTATGTCTTCTCAAATTTGTAATGCGGTTTATTCCCCCCTCGGCGTGCCGACTGGAGACTATTTTTATATGCCCTGCGGCTAGCGGAGTTTATTTTGAACTTTATTATGGGCTAATTTATGTCTCCGCTGGCTTCCGCCCGGTCCTAATCCCCACATGTGTATGCCTTCATTTGCTCCATTTTTGACACTTTGATGGCGCTTTTGTGGTGTTCGCTTGGATGCCAAACATGTTTGTTTAGCTTCTATCCGGCGGTTTATGCGTTTTTAATGCACCTCTATGGTTAAAGTTTGTTTCATGCCCAATAAAACAACTTGCCGAAAGCAGCAGCTGGGAGTCTTGGAATAGATATACTTGTGAACAATGTATTTAGCAGTTAGAACATAAGTAGATGACTAAAGCAGTCAACAATTTGATTAAGAAGCTGATGCCGGACTGAAGTGTGGCAACCGTGCGGTCGCCAGGAACGAAAGTCAAGCACTTACAGCCACAGCCACAAAGACCCATCAAGACAACAATACGGTGAATTATATGAATTACAATTCAAATGATCTTACAAGTGACACATCGACGACAGGGATGCCGAGCTGGAGGAGGCCCATTACAGCGCACAAAAATGCGCATAAAAATTGCATTAAAATGCCATCCGAGACTCGGGCCTAATGAAGGAATGGCAATAAAGGACAATTGCCAGCAACAGCAGCATGTTCCGCGATTGCTGGTAAAAAGCTGGCGATGCCCTTAAATAGACGAAGCTGGCCAAGATGGGAGCTGGGGAGCCCAGTTCGCATCGCCAGGCGGCCAAATGCGTGCAAAAATGTTTGCCACGTCTCCCATCGAGTGGCTCTCACTCGACTCGGCGATTTCCCAGGCCCCAAAGTGAATTAAATGCAGACGCGTGATTTTGCACATTAATTACGCGCCTCCCCCGTCGACCGTTTCACCCCCCCCCCGCCTTTCCCAGGGGGTGAGAGTTCAAACCACATCGAGTGCATCGAATTGGCCCGCTTCAGGAGCACCGAACCGAAAAGTAACTCACTGGATAAGGCAGCTGCATCCAGCCAAGTGCGAAGAAACGGATTTTATGGGCCGCAGCTTTGGCTAATTACCTGCTCAAAGGTAAATTGCGTAATTTCATTTCAGGGACGCAGTTGAAAGCAGGAAGGTGGTTGATTTAAAATTAGTTTACCTTAGCTGTTGATATCTTAGACTTTTCCGCTTGGTTTCAGTGAATCTGCAAAGAAAACAGAAATAGAATGATTAACACCTCGGCAGGGATAGCAAAATGAGTTGGTAGGGAAAGAAATACAGCTGGAAATCGCTAAACAAACAGCGTTATCATTTATTCATCTCAATTGAAACAAACCGTGCTCCCCACTCAAGCCGGTGACACTTTCAAGAGGCCAACTGCAAAGACTTTCTGCTCATTTACAACTGACACATTTGCACCTGCCCCACAGCCAAATGAGCGGAATGATTGATAGTTGGCCCGTGGAATGAGTGAGGAGTCCGTGACCCGAGCCCGGAGTTTTCCTTAGCCGGGTGAATTTCCATCTGTCAACTGTCAGTTTTCAATGTTGGCAGCCGCTGAACTTGGCATTTTAATTGAGTGCACAAAACTCATGGAAATGACTGCAGTGCGAGCGTGAATGCGATTAAATAGGCTTTTAGTTGATGGGTGAAGGAGCTGAGCTAAGGTGGCTAAAAGTAAGGGGGCTAGAATATTGCCACGTCGTTCGGTTTTCCCGATTCGCTTCCCAGGCAAGGCCAGCTTGTTTTGCATTTATTTTTATTTTTATTCATTTTTCTAAGCCGATTGTGGATGGCGCCAACTATACAAAACAGTCACTCTTATGGCTATACGTCTAATTTTGTCCAAGTTACAATAAAAGGACTCTTTCGGTTTTTTTTATTTGACAAGTCACCAAAAACCAAAAAATAACACCAAAAAAATTCGTTTTTCTATCAAAACGATGAGAAGTATTAGTCAAAAATTGGAATGTCATACATCGCTAAATTTTTCATTAAATTGCCAATCAAGTGGCATTCGCAGTTAAAAATATTTAAGTTTTTCAAATTTTCGAACAAAATGATTATGTACCCCCTTATAAAAAATGCAAAAATTGGTCATAAAATTAATTTCTTCAACAAATCGATTTTTAAAAATCTGTGTTTGCATCAAAACAAAATTCATTTTTCTAAACCGATTGTGGATGGGTTGTATAGGTCGCCAGCTTTACAAAACAGTCAATCTTATGGTTATACGTCTAATTTTTGTCCAAGTAACAACAAAATGACTCTTTCGGATTGTTTTATTTGACCGTGTTATCGGGTGTTATATATTAAATTCCTAATAATAACAAAACTATTTGTCCACAACAAATATGTATACGTATTTATATTTATAATTAAAAATATACACATTTTTCTCTGTGCAGATGCAGACAGGAAAACAGGTAGTTGCATGTCGATGACTTCATGAAGCAAAATTAACAATGCAAATAGACAATCAATTGGAATGGCAGATAGAAATGCTTTTGGAGACGCTTCATTGAATATCAGGGGACGGTGAGTATGGATGTTACGCACCAATTACCGCCGGTTTAAAGTACACGAAAAAGCATTACAATATGTGTTGCATAGTTTCCATGCAAAAACCAGAAATCTTTAATACATAGCTTCTGAGGCATTCATCCAACAATTAATAAGCGTTATTTCAATTACACCCAACCTCAAATTTGCTGTCATGAGTCGAATAAAAAAACGTATTTATGGCAAATATAAGTCATATCGGGCAATAACCAATGCCGCAAGCTAACTGACAGGTATTTACATCAAATATAGAAACACACGCAGAAACATGAAACACCCGCCCTCGGTCAGAATTGAGGCTTGATTGAGTTTGAAATGGCGCGTGCAAATCACAAATAGGAATTCTATTATTGCCAATGCTGTTTTATTTTTATAGCTGTAATGATTTTCCATTGCCTACGTAAAGCGGCTGTTAATTGATTGCCGTGCAGAGCATTGTAACCGAATCAATTATTCAGCATTCTAGCAATTGATTGAGGTTTCTGGGCAGAGAGATTATTTATGGATATTGTCGCAGGCGTTTTTGAGTTGAATTTGTTTCGGGGTCCTTTGTTCTGCGCCTGTCAGTTGTCGTTAATTTCTCCGGTAAAATTCACAAAGGTGTGGGCCAGGCCACAGAAAGGCCAAAGGGCATTAAACGTGTTTAGGCCAAGAAGGGCCATTGGGTCGGCTCATTTCTTACCTTCATCTTTGCCACGGACATTGACAAAACGACGGCCATAACATTCACAGAAAACAATGCGCATTCAGAATGTGTATGAAATATTTTTGTCAATTCGTCAATGTAGGAATTTGGTTTGACTCTCAACGGAAATTCCACAATGGAGTGGTTCCTTATTTAGAACAATTGGTTCACGAGAAATACCCTTCGACAAAACTAAATCGACAGTTGCCAGTTGGCTTCCCACCAAACTACCTGACAAATCGCACTCGCATATGTTGACAGCATTATAAATTGCCTTAGCGAATACACTTGGAGTTCTTGGAAATATTTTCAATTAGCAATAGCCAGCAATATGGAGAAATATTAAATAACTCAGAAGTATGGTTAATATGAACAAATCAATCATAAACACGAAATGAATCATTAATCATCAGCCCCGGTAGTTTTAAGATCATTTAGCACGAGATACTACCTTTGCTCAAAGATTTATTGTATTTCAACACCCCAAACTGGCGCTTTAATTTGCAACTTTTACCTTCAAAGCAAACACAAATCACTATAATCTTTTTTTTAATACTCTGAAAAAAGAAAACGATTTTAATCGTGTTTGTTTCATCCATATAAATAAGGGAATGTTTTCGGTTCGTGTTTGGTTTGTGAAAAACCACATGTGATTTTCCATTATTAATTTGTTTTCCTCACAAACAATCACGAACTTTTATTGATGTTATGAATGTGATTCTTAGTGCCCCATCGTTTGTTTATATGGTGCAAAACGAAAAACGATGAAAATGTGCAATGCGGGATGGTTTTAATGCTGAGTTAGCCTCTGGATCAGATATCCAAAATGTTTTTAGTAGTTCGTTATTGAAAAAACCGAATCACATGAAGTTTACGTTTTCTTTGAAAGCACTTGTATAAAAATGTATTCGGTGAATCATTTAAGTTTCCGAAAAAAATATTCTCCGAAAAACATTTTTTTTGTTATTTTTTTTTATATATTTTTCTATTGAATACCCTAAGTTAATATTTGATCAGTGAACACTACAAGAATTAAAAATTGTTGTAAATATTCTCATAAGTTTGTGCATTTAAATGAAACAGATTTTCGGCGTTTCAGATATTAAATTTTTATAAATTTTTAATAGTCGAAGGTAATGGACACATTATATGTATCAACTGTAATATTTATTTTTCTTAGGGTATTTGGGCAATTCGTCTCGGAGAAGAGGGCAATTTTCTTGCTTTGTTTCCTATCTTTTGTTTGTCGTTGTTTTTTTCTTCTAGCCGCACTCCCTATTTTCATTGCCCACTTCATCCTGGCCTGGTCCGGACTGCAAGTCTAAGTCTGGGAATGGAAATGGGAATGGGAATGAGACTGGGTAGGTTTGCTCTCATTTTGCCTTTTTTCACGCTTATTATGTGTTGTTTGTGGTTGTTGTTGCTGGTTTTATTTTGCACATATTTACTATAGGTTTGTGTATATATTTCTTTTTTGGTTTAAATGTTGTCAGACAGGATTTTCCACTTTAATGCAGTAGACGTCGCTGCTTTTTGGCGCGTTTTTGCGGCACAGCACAGCTCATCATGGATCATGCCCCTTTTTGCACCGCCTCCTCGTCACCCTTAGGTTCAGGCTGCGTGCACTCCGCCGATGCCACAACCCTTCCCGCAGCTGCCGCCGCCGTGGCCACCATTCAGGTTAATGCAGTCTTTATTCATACCATATTTCTAAGCGCATTATGTGCTGCGAGCCTTGCTCATAATATTAGCAAAAATTATGTTAATCCCTTAGGGCTGGGTAATCCTTTCTGCTTTACTAGCTCCGCTGCAAACGGGAGGCGCGTTAAATTATTTTAATAGCCGCTTACAATTACCAGGGCCAACCCCCTCGGCCCAGTGTAATGTTTTTTTATGTTTGACGCGACTTGCTGGCCTTTCGCTGGCGTTTTAAAACGCGCCTTGCGGCCAGACAAGCCAAGTCGTTAAACAGGACTGCCAGCCGATGAGCACGATAAGTTCATGGTGCAGCTCGTCTGGAAGGGCAAAGCTAAAAATAAATAAAGTACCTATGAGTTCGAGAAATGTGTAATATATTATGCACGTGAAACTAAGTACCAAAACTATAAAAGTCTATTTAAAAATGCAAGAACTAAAGTAGAATACTTTCGATTAAAAAATAGTTTATATTTTTGTCTTTAATGACAATTAATTCTGCACTAAAGTTTAAGTGAAAAAGCTATTATTTTGCATGCTCTGTTTGTATGCCTTCACCACCGCCTCTATCTTTAATAGTTTCTAAAACATTTCAATAAAAAAACCCATTCAATTCCCAATTAACCCCAGATAGTAAGAGTTCGCCACCCATTGTACTTATCAGTTTTCAGAGGGACAAAGAAAAATTGAAATTGATGCCCGACTACATGTGTTAATTTACACTTGCTTATAGAGTGACATGCCTAACCAGCTGCTCCATTGGGCGTTTAATTTTCCATTCATAGAGCGACTGGGGAAATGCAAATTGAGGCGTTTGAGGCGTTTAAAATCGCTCACAAATCGCGCGCCGCAATTAAACGGCGCCCCAAAACGCGTGCCCCATGGAACCCGCCTCCCGCTTCGGTTTTATGGCTGTATTTTATGCGAGCCATGTCTGGCCTGGTATCAACCCATATAGGCATAGTTTGCGGCTAATGACTCCACATCGAGATCGGGATCGGGATGGGGATGCGGAGGGGGATGCAAATGGGAGTCGGAGACGCCTTGTCCACTCATTAAGTGGTGTTGGTCAACCAGTTCCGAGGACAGCATGATGGATTGCCGGCCAACTGAATAACTCAGCCCCCAATCGCTCATTCAGCGGCCCATTCATTCATCCATTCGGACTGGACTGGCTTGGCCTGGCCTGTCGACGTATCGTATCGAGCGGACCGAAACCGAAACCTGATTGCGGTAAAAGGCCAAATTGGACCGTTCTCGTTGCCCTGGTCGATGCCTCGGGGCCAGCGTTAGTCATCGTCATCGTCATCGTCATCAGCCTTATCCCGCCGCTGACCGAATTAAAGCTCTGGGATTGCGTGGAGCGGGGCAAACAAGTTTCCGCCAACTGTGACTCCAAAAAGGCCAGGAGAAATTGCCGCAGTCAAAACAATTAGACAGACGGACCAGGCTCGCGTCTTCAACTTGTTGCCGCCGCGGATAAAAGTTTGTGTCTTTCGCTGGGAAAAGTAAAAAGTGTCTAATTAAATGCTTGGCCTGTTCCAAGGTAACAGAACCGCAACGAACATAAAATACCCTGAAAAAGTAAATGGGTGTATTTAACAACTGGGAATTCCTTTTAATGACAAAATTATTAAGTTAACCGTTTAAGTATAATTACTTTAGTCGTGTGAGTTTTTATTTTGATTTTAGGAAGTTCCCATACCCATCTACTCACACATCTCGTAACAAATTAGCAAACTTTGGCTCTCCGATATACGCCAAAGTTATCTAATCTGTAGTTGTTATGACTTATCATCTACGAGTAAAAAAAACACTGTACGTTAACTCGGAAATAGCTGTTTTTCGGTGGAAATTTATTACATAAAAATGTAATTACCTAGAAAATTCCCTCTCTTAGTTACCACTTGCTAAATACTGGGGGTGGAATTACGCATTGAGTTTCCTTTTCTCTCGCCTTAAGTCAATGTACCCGGTTGCAATGACAGGGCACATTGGACAAACAACAATTAACATAAATTGCTTGCGCGATGCGGTCCATTGAGTGCGGACAAGGGGTTAAGGGGTCACAGTTGCCGCCCGTCAATCATTCGAGCAACCGAACTGCGGCGCACTTGAATGGCCGAGCGGAAAGGGTTTCCCATTTCCACGGCTGCCAGTCGCCGTTTGCCTTTTTTACGGCCCCAGCGGAAACCTCGGCTTGCACCTGTCGCAAGTCGGCGGTAGGTGTGATAAGCATCTCATCACAACAAAAGATTAACACGCCGGAGCGGGACAAAGAGCATAGCCCGGTCACGGGGACAGGTCTCCGATTAGAGACGCCCAGGCGGCAGGATCTCAAACGACCTGCCTGCGCATATATGCACTGTTAAAAATGATGTCAAAAAGAAAACACTTTAGTATCAACATAGGTAGTTCTGTTTTAAGTCAGTAAGTCATTTTAAGGAATAGTAAACGATAAATGCATACAAAACATGGTAAAACAGATCATGAGAAAATTCTTCTTTCAAGCCAAATAGTGTTCTTTAGTTAACAGCTTATGTTTTTTCCCAGTGTACACTTAGATGAACAGGAAACCGCCGGAGAGGAGACCCCTGAAGGCACCTAGGTAGGCTGTGCTGCAGGCAGTTAGGTAGTTGCCACAAGGGACAACACCTTTGGTTTGACAGATCGAATTACCGAAGAAGCACCCTAGGAAGCTGCCAAGTGCCAATGCCAAAATCAAGTGTTACTTTCACTATCGAATGATGCGGAAGTGACAAAGAATCCGTGGAACAGCGATTCAACAGGATGGAATGCTTAATTAGGTCATAAAAAGGGCTATATTGCACAGCCGATCAGCACGTAAAACTAATTTCAATTTATGATCAATAAAAAACCTTTTAAGTTGCCAACGAGAACTATGGTTCCTAGGAAAGATTTGCCGATGTTGCACTTTAAGATGGCAATTTTAACGACCGCAGCAATTCCATGGGCATGCAAATCATCCATAAAATGCAGTTATTCTTACCTCCAGCTATGTGATTTTTTTTCACTTCATATAATTGTAGCTTCAACACACTGCACTGCACAAATGCGATTGAGTTTACTTGAGTGCTGTCTACGTTTTATTTGGTCACTTCACCTTCTATTTATAGTTTCCGTCGTTCCAAGTGTTTCGAACTAGATGATAAAGCCGGTAATTGGTTGTACAATCGCGATCGATTAAACACTTCCTCTTTTAACTGACTAACCCACAGATAGGTTCGACCGATCAGGAAAGTTCAATGAAACTGGAACCGAAAAAAGGCGGCGATAAGCCGGCGACACCAACGCACCGCAGTTAATGAATGAAAAGTTCGACCCGGTATATAACTCTATTGGATCCCACGAACATCCGATATCTTCTCCTTGGCTTCGCCAACAAACGCACTGCCCACGAAAGTATGGTCAACAGTTTGTCATGCACTTTCCGAATTAATTACTATTTACGTGGGCTTTCAATGTGATTTACAGGTCTATAACTTAGTGGGGTTTTCCGAAATTTTCGCGCACTTTTCGCCCATGTGAGATGTTTACGGAGCGTGGTTCTCAGAATTTCACTGCATCTCTTATTTTACAACGATGGCTTCCGAAATGCGCAATTTTAAAATACTTTCGATGAGCGAGCGTCCGCAACCATTCCGTTCCGATCGAAATTTAAAACAAACATAGACCAGGTTCCATGCGCGACCGAACAGCTGGCGATTTTTTTTGAAAAACCCAACAACAAAATGCGGGTACTGCTTATATAGTTTGTTTGTCAGTGTGGCCGTACCTCAAAATGAGCAAATGCCTTTTCTGCCAGAAACCTACAAGGGATTTTGTGTTGATACGTAATGGGGCAACTTTGCCCAATTGACAGGGCTCTGTTAAAAGTCTATTGGCGGGTTGTTTAAATTCATATTATATGATTGGGTATTATTTTTCTCAATAAGTTCGTATTTTTATTGTATTTTTGATCCCAATAAACTGAAAAAAGCACTACTTAAACGAGTTAACAGTAGAAACTTAAATTGTCATTTCAGACAAAGCAGTGCAAGTTTTTATTTTTTACACAAAAATGTTTCAGAACTTTACATATGATTTGGTTTGTTGATATGATTTAAAAAATATTTAGTCGCATTGAAGACTTCCGCAAGCTCCCAAAATAAATAACACGGTGCTCGTTTAGTATATATATATTTTAATTGTAAAGGTGGATTATATTTCAAAAATATTTTAAGACTATGGCTTATAGGTTGATCGGTAATCAAAGAGAACGCAAAGTTAATCGCATCTCAGGTCTAAAATTGCTTTTTGTGGATATTATTACATTGTATTGGGTAAAAGAAAGTTCATGCAAATGATGTGGGTGGGCGGGCTATAGACGGGGCTTAAGATTTTTCGCCCTTCTAGTCAAAACATGGTAAACAAAAACACACACGCGATATAATCGCCACATTTCGGAGGCAACAACCAATGGAGACGAAAGAGTTGGGTAAAAATATTGTATGTAAATTAAAAACTAATAAACGCAAATTAAAAGTTAAGTAAAATAGATGTGGCAATCGAACATACCACTGAGAGGCGAGACAGAGGGAGACCGGACCGGATTGGAGCGGACCAGACCAAGGACCACTATCCACTATCCATCGTTGGGCGCAAGGCAACGTTGGATGATGCACAGCAAATCCATGAAATGACAACGACAGGGGCGCGAAGGCCTCGAAATACGCGGTTCCCTGGGTGATCTAGTGTCTGGGGTGCGATCCAAAAAAGGCGACAACAACACGTGTGAGCCTGTCCAACCGAATCCTAATTCCGAACGTAAGGCAGACGCCGAAGAAGGGGCGAGGCTCGAAGAGATGCTCTAGTCCTGTCCAAGGGCAACGCACGTTTTCCTCCTCCTCCTCCACACATCCGTTGACCTTAACACGACCAAAGCTCACACACAAAATCCTTCAACAATGCGAAATTCCTGTCTCCTCCTCCGAGGTGCGAGTTAGCCGTGGGACACTGCATCCCACGTTGTCCTAGCGAAGGGCTCAGAACAATCCTAAATCCAAATCCAATCCTGATCACCATCTCATAAACATACTTATGTTTATAAGATCTATAGACATGTCCTGCCTCCTCTAAATTCAATCCAAATTTATCCAATCCACGCCAAAATCAACATCAAAATATCCTCCTCCTCCTCTTCCATTAATCCTCCTCCTCCACATCCTCATCACTCTCCAAACATAAACGCGCAAAATGGGGAAGAGAAGAAAATAAAAATTAAAGTATTAATAGTATGTTGATCAATGTGGTTGACATTGCGTTTTGTGTTTGTTTTTCTGTTTGTTATTTTCATTCTCTCATTATAGACATATTTATTCTGTATCGATGTTTCTTGTTTTTTTTTAAGGTAGATTCTAATAAATTATTCATGGTAAATATGCAGCCAAAATTGAGTTTATGTTATAAATTTCGTGTGCAGAGGCGGAGCAAAGGCTCAAAATCATACAAAAGCAAGTCAAGGAATGCTCAAGGGTTGCAAGCCTAAAAAAATTCCCTGGTTTACAATTGCTATTTTGAACTGTTTTTGTCAAATTATGCCCGGTGAATTGTAATTTATGAGAACTTCTCTGCTTCTCAGAACGTGTGATACAGTTGGAAAAGCAAGTTGTGTTTAAAATTAGCTGACTTCGATGAGAGTTTGGAACTTGACTGATCAAACTTGAATGCTTCGCTGACGGCTTGGATAGTCAAATTTACAAAGTGGCATATATGGGGGTCTTGAACAAATATTGAATAGATTTTCTTAATTTATCTTGCTTTTCCTAAAAGTTCCTGCTCGTAGAAATATTATAGATTAATGGATAATGCATGGTTTTGTTTAATAATTAGAGCGTGAGCGAGACCTGGAATAAGATTGACGTCGCACTGGGGAGTAAGTGGGTGTGCCCCGACGGCGCGGCCTTGACGAGAAAGAGCGCGAGCGCGATCTGCACAGAGGAATTCATGGAATAAATATTGGAAAACAAGGCTTTACAAAAGTATACAACTTACCTGTCGCGGTAATCACGGCCTCCTCCTCCACCACCACCGCCACCTCCTCCGCTGCCGCCACCGCCACCACTGCGGTCGTTGTCGCCGCTGTCCTCGCGCACCCGTATGTAGGCAACCTCGCCCTAAAGACAACAAGAATTAATACTTTTATTGAGTTTCAGGTAATTTTAAGACCTAGTTTTTAAATTGAAAATAAAACAACGTATTATTTTAAGTCAAACTATTTTCTTTTAAACGTGTGACCTGTAAATTTTGGACTACACATAAACAACACCGAATATAAATAATTTTAGTAATCAAACAAGTAAAATGGGCGTATAATTATCTTTTGTATATATTATTTGCTATGAATATCTATTTCTATATATGTATGTATATCATTTGCTTTTGCTCTTTCTGTTATCTTTTTGAATCTTTTGGCTTCCGGAATATATTTCATAAATTTTTAATCCGGGTCAAGAAACCAGAATAAAATGTAAGCTAAGTATATTTGTGGGCAAAACTAGAAATGTTTCTCAGAATGAAAACCAATTTAAGGAATACTTTACATCAGCTTTGCTAGAAACCCGAATAAATTATTCTAGCTAGTGAATAATGTCGGCTTGACAAAATAAATGAATACGTAAATTTCCTACCTAGAATGTGGATTTAATTTGAATGCTTCGAAATGGAATGAATAAATGGAATTTAACTACCTCATGCGAACGGAAGCGCGAATCGTCCAGCTTTTTGATGGCGTACTTCATGTCCTCGTGGCGCAGGAACTCCACCACGCCGGACCCGTCCTTGTAGGTGTCAGCGAAGCAGACGTCGCCGGCTTCGCGCATGTGATCCTTGAGATCCTGCCATGATCCGGAGGCGGGCAGGCCAGTGACCATGACGCGGTACTGCGAGCGCTTGGCCGGCGGTCCACGGCCGCCCATGCGTCCGCCGCCGTCACGGCTGCGGTCGTTGCGGTTACCGCCGCGGTAGCTGCCCGGTCCACCGCCTCGCGGGAACTCCACCCGCAGGCGGTACCCGTCGTAGTCGTAGCCATCGCGCGCCTTGACAGCATCATCAGCATCGCTGTTTTAGGCGCCAATCGCAAGAAGAGTAACCGAGAAGGGGGCAAAGCGGATGGGGAAATGGTGAGCTCGACTTAGTTGGGTGTCGCCTCCAGCCAGCTGGCCTGTGTGTATTCGCATTACTCACCGCGCATCTTCGAACTCAACAAAAGCAAATGGCGGCCCACGCCGATTCTTCAGGTCGACAAACGTAACTTTGCCGAACTTGTGGAACAGATCCTGGATGTCCTTGGTGCGGATGTCCGGCGGCAAGTTGCCCACGTAGATGCGGCACTCGTTTCGCGAACCCATTTTCTCCAGTTTAAATCAGACGATTGGTTTTTCCTGCTTGCTGAAATTCTCGCACGATTTTCACACAACTTTTTCTGTCACGTTCTCACAAATGGCCGCTGCTAAGGGTGGGTATACTTCGATAAATCTTTCCCCGATTGTTCCTCCTAGAACGGTGGAGGAGTGTCATCGGTGTCATCGATGTTTTTCTTATCGATGTTTTGCGGGCAACATTGCTTGTTTTTGTATTATCAATTTAAAAATTTTTAATTTATATATATTACATATATATTTTGGATTAATATACACTTATATATATAATGTCAATACAAACAAATTAAATCCGGCAAAGGGTAGACATATTAATATAGTATCTACCTTTGGCACAGAGGAAAAAATATGTAACCAACAAGCTAACCGATTTAATTAAATTATTAATTTAATTATTTAAATCTATAAATAAATAATGTTGTATTTGAATCTATTTAAAGGCAGACATTGAATATGAATAATTACTTATCAATGGCCCCTCGAGACATCCGCGATAGACGCACAGACGATAGTTTGTTGTTCTATCGGCATTCACCCCGAGCTGAGTTGCATTTTCATGTGCCATCTCTAGCAGTGAGCGTCGCTCGACAGAAAAAAAACAAATAATTTGCATGTGCAATAAACCAAACGTAAATACACTTTGGAAAACTCAGATCCAGCTGGAAAATGGCTGCGGCCGGAAACAACGTCCGCTGCATCAACTACTACGACCTGTGCCGCATTTGCACGGACAGCAGCGACCACAAGACGAACATCTACTCGCCCGAGGGACGCGCCAAGAACCTAAGCCACAAGATCCTCGAGTGTCTCTCGCTGCAGGTTGTGATCCTAAGCCAATTACCAAATACATTTACCTATAAGACGTTCTTACCTTGCAGATCGATGAAAAGGATCGCCTGCCCAAGGTGGTCTGCGCCCAGTGCGAGCAGCAGGTGGAGCAGATCCACGGACTCCGCGCCACCTGCCGCAACTCGCAGACCATGTTGAGCAACTGCCTCAATATCCGCCCGGCGCCGAGCAGCGACAAGCTCTACATCCGGGATGCGGTGGACGAGTCGGGGAAGAGTCTCAGCGTGGCGCAAGCAGCGCCAGTACCTTCCGGAGGAGCACAGCAGTCCGGCAATCTATTGAACAGCATCATCCAGGCTGTGGGTATCCAGCCCCAGCAGCAGTACACCATCACAGTGGACAACGGGCTTCAGCAGCAGCAACACCAATCTACGCCTGAAGTGCCAATGAAAAGCGAGCGCCAGACGTGAGTGGTTAATTTCTTCACTTGAGCCTTTCTTTGAAACCATTCTCTGATTCTTTCCCTTAGAGCGTTGGAGGAGTTTATTCGCCTCAAGCCAGACATCAAGATAACGCCGCTGGGGAAAAAGGAGACCATTACCACTGTTAAGCCCCAGCAGCCACCCACTCTGCAGCCGCAATCGGTCCCTACCGTAAACACTCATCAGTTGCAGTTACAACCGCAGCTGGGAGAGCAACTGCAGCCTCTGTGGCAGCAGATTCAGCAATTGCAACTCCAGCAGCAGCTCCAACAGCTCACCAACCAACTGCAGGCTACCACTCAGTACTCCGCGGCCCAGGAAGATGCCGCCAATCCTGGCGACAGTAAAAAGCCCAAGTTGAACTTTGTGCTATCATCGCCGACGGCGCCACAATTTACCACCTCGCTGCCGCAGTTCGGGAGTAATCAACCTCAGATCCAGCTGCAGCTGATGCCCGGGGGAGGGACGGGGACGAGTACAACGGCAGCGCCTGCCCCGACACAGTTTAATGCCGCTGCCCTGCTCTCAAGTCTCGCGGCTCCGCAGTCTACTCCCAATATGCTCTCACCGAACAAGTGTTTCTTGCCCATTACGATTCGGGATGAAAATTCGGACCAGCAGATCGTGGCCCACATAGACACCAAAAATCTAGTCCTGCCCACAACATACCAGGTGCAAATGAAGCTACAGCCTCAGCTGGCCACCGCCGACGGCCAGCCCATCATGCAACTGACTCCCACCTCAATTCCGGCCACGTTGCAGCTGACACCGCAGACTCTGGGCAATCCGGGAACCAGTTTCCAGGGCCCAGCCACTGCCGTGACCCAAAATCAGTTTCTGGCGCCGCAGCCTCCTCAGACTTTTCAACAGCAACAACCGCTTACTCAACTGTCTAACACGGCCCAAGTAACCTCTCAGCAAATCATCAGATCTCCGCAGTCCAGCACCACAAATCCGCAGTTGGTGATAAGGAATGTGACCAACATCCAGACGACTCCCACAACGCCCACAAGCAGCAAAGAGGCGCCCGCCTTCAAAACGCCATCGCCAAGGCAGAAGCAAATGCCATCGCCGAAGAGCAAAACTCCGGTGGTCTCACCCTCAGGAGGAGGAAATATGCCAGCCACCAACGAGTTCAAGCGGTTTATGACACAGGCGAAGCAGCAACCGCAAGTAAAGCAGCATCAGAACCCAGCAGCAGCTGTAACTGCTCCCCAAACAGCTACCTCGGTCAATCAGGCTGCCATGCAGCGTCTCTCCTTGAACACAACGATCACCAAGGTAGCCAAGCAGCCTGTTTCGGTGCCAGCACCAGTTCCGGCTCCGGCTCCAGCTCCAACACCCACTCCCGCCAAGCTGCCCATGTTGAACAAGCAGAATATTACCATCAGTCGAATCTCAATGCAGACAGCGCCCAAGCCGCAAATGAAGCCTCCTACGACGGCGCCTGCTTTCTCTCCTGCCCCCCAGCCCATTCCTCTTCCGGTTCCTGCACTCAACCAAGCTCAGCCACCTCCGCTGGCGGCGCAGCACAAGAAGATCGTGCGCAAGCCACCCGAAAATCAAGAGTCCGCGGCCCAGAAAGCGAAACCAGCAGCGCGGCCACCGCAACAGATTCTTCCTCTGCCAAATCAGGAGGGTGAGAATGCGTCGTCCAATGCTAACGAAGCGTTTTTGCCGCCACCCACTGCAGCCCTAATTTGTCCCACCTGCAAGCGCGAGTTTAAGAAGAAGGAGCACCTTACCCAGCACGTTAAGCTGCACGCGGGTCTGCGACCCTTCAAATGCTCGGAAGAGGGTTGCGACAAGACCTTCAGCCGCAAAGAGCACCTGTCCCGCCACTTGATCTCCCACTCTGGCCAAAAGATGTACACTTGCGAGGTCTGCAAGAAACCCTTCTCGCGGAAGGACAACCTCAACAAGCACAAGAGGTAAGTTAATTATATCTTTAAACTCGATAAAGAGGTCTCTTGCTCTTGTTTTCGTTGTATCCCTTAAACCTTTCTAAACAACATCAAATATTTATCTCAACAGGATTCACACGCAGCCGGCCAACGAAACGCTTTACTCATGCGATGTTTGTAACAAGAATTTCGCCACCAAGCTGCACTACGAGAAGCATAGGGAAATGCACAAGAAAACGCGACCGGAGAATGCGACTCCAGTAGCAACTGCTCATCCTGCGGCAACTTCTGCGCCTTCTCAAGTGCGTAGCAATGGTCAGGTTCCCAATAAGGTGAGTGGGTAACGTGCCTTAGGCTTTCAATTACTAACTATCCCCCAATTTTTTCCCCAAAGGGTGTTTATGAAATTAAACAGCGCGCTACTCAGCAGCAACAGCAGCAGCAGCAAACGCAAACACAGGCGCAGCCGGCACAGATCATGCATGTGGTGACCACGCAGGACCTGGCCGGAAACACAATAACGATCACCCAAGCACCCGACTCCAATATGCCCACATCTCTGGCTAACTTCGTGCAGCTGGGCTTTTCCCAGTTCCAGAATCCGAGCGCACCAGCAGCCAAGTAATTAGTCTGTAAGCTCGAGAAGTAGGCTCGCTGCTTTACTCCACCTTACCTCATGTCCTAGTCCGCGGTCCATTCCACCTCCTGGTCGCCAGTTCCTTATTGCTTTTAGTTTGCGTATAGTTTACCTTTTACTTATTTGTGCAATATTATTTATACAACAAATTAGAAACGTGTTTTTACGCTTCACTCATTTTCTTAATTTATTTTATTTTACTTCTGTGTTATTCTATATTTATTCAGTGACTCGCAGCAATTTTAATAGAATAGACCCTAAGTGTGTGTGTGTAAATTTTCCTACTATAAGGTATTGTAAATATCTGTGTATCTATATATATGTACAAGCTGAAACAAATTAATGGTAAAATACCTTTTTTGGGTGAAAAGAATGATTCCATTGCAAAAATAAATATAATGTATAATTTATGGCAAAAAGTGTAGTGTGTATTTCGTTTGGTATAGCATTGGAGCCTTCAATTTTGTGGCGCTATGAAGCAGAAGGCAGGCAGGCTGGCCCCAATGTTTACGTGATTATTTTTGGTAAGACTCGCCCCGCTGAAAGTATGAACATCAGATGGTTAATCCAATTGCTGGCCAGAATTCTGAAAGATTTTCGAAAGAGCTCGTAATTTTAACTCTATCATGCGAACGAACGAAAAACAAATGTAAGCACGTTTCCCGTCGGTTTCCAAATCCAAATTTGTTAGCAATAAAGAAAACCAATTGCGATGAATTTTTTTGTTTACGCATTTAATTGAGGAAAATGCACTTGTCAAGGCGATTTTTAATACTTGGCATGGTATGTGTGGGTATTACATGGAAAGCTTACAATTACGTTCAAATTCTAAATGGAAGACTTCAGCAAGCACAGAAATTTAACGTGTATAATACAAACATATCTAACAGTTAACAAATACTATCAACTACAAACGAAAAATCAAACAGCAACTGCGATAAATGGCAAAAAGCAGAAGCAGTGTTCTAGTTACGTCACAGGATAGTTCCTCAAGAACCCAGGTGAGTGATATGGTGACTGACACACAAATAGGTGACAGGAATATTTTCGGTGAAAGTTTGAATTTTAATCTAAAACAAGCGATATCAGTAAGGAAAACGTTTACAATCACTAGGCGGAAGAAAAGCAACAATTATAATATTAATAAATTTTTTTAAGATCAGTAAATTCGTTTAAAAACAAATTCAACTGATCATATATTTTTAAGCTGTATGCCAAACAAAATAAATATGGTCTTAATACTGTTTAAAAGCCAAACCCATTTTCAGAGGAAATGCTAATCAAAGCATGGACTGGTGTGTGGTCTTAGTATAACAAAGTGTAACGCATTAACAAACGAAGAAAGAGTGAAAGCAGGTCGCTACTACAGCAACATAATGTAGGTGGGGTGCGATATCCAACAATCGAATTAGAACTACAGGTGAGGGGAGTTAAGGTGGTGCAGTATTAGAACTAAAGGTGCCCCTCCACCGAACTTTAACCGAAGCGATCGAAAAATGCAATAAATAGGTGAGAATGGAGCGACTACCTTGGGGATCTCAGGGATCTCCGGGATCTTAGGGAGCTTTTTGAGGGGGTTTTCTCCCTATCAGTTGTAGGCCAGGGCAAACTGATTGACCTTCTGCACATCGCCCCACACCTGCACCGCCTGGATGTCGGATATGGAAAATAGGGTCTCGTACTCGGTTATGAAATTGTGGCCCGCATCCCTGCCCTGGTACACCCGCATCATGGAATTCGCGTAGTCGAAGGCAAACTCAAGACAAAACGAGGACTCTGTGGATGAAAGTTGGAGTGCCTCGTCAATCTCGTTCATTATGCGGGCAAAGCTCTGTGTCATATTGGGGTTCTTATCGCTAGCGCCTGTACCGTCAAAGATGTTCAGATACTTCTCCTGGTGCAGGCTGCTCCACTCGCCGTTCCGTTTGTAGTTCTCGATGATCGTTTGCGTGGGTATCACCACCTTGAAGTGATACGTGATGTTATCCGTGCAATCCGGACTGTTGACAAAGTTCACCGAGAATCTGTGAGAACGGAAAAGCAATTACATTAAGTAAATCCATTGTTCATATCCCACCTAGGTGCTAATGACGTAGCTAAACTATCACTTCCAGACAACGACTTTGTACATTACCATCTTGATTTGAAGTAGGACTTATATGGTATAGTGTACAACAGAATTTTCTATTAAGATTCTATGAAGTTTACTCAAGACGCTAACCAACTTTGAGTAACTCGATAAGGAATCATTAATCAAGTTTGTAGCAAGCAGCTAATTAATATTCATATTTAATATTCATTCATCTTCAAAAAGTGTCAAACCAAAATTTAATCTGGTTAAAAAAAAAAGTTTTGTAAATGATTTTAAAACAAAAAAAAAGCAAAATTCCGCATCCGAAAATTAGTTAACCCTTGCAGCTATTACAAAAATAAAATACTTTACTAAAATATTTTAAAAACAATGATCGATATTACACTGCACTTTATATACTTATATGTATACATACAAATTATTGTAAAAATAAAAGATCTTTTCTAACAAATTAAATATGCCTGAAAAACTACAAAGCCCTTTAAATCTTTTAGGGAACACATATTTCCAATTTATTTTAAGTAGCTAAGCAGCTTTATAATTTATTACACTTTAGTGCTAATGACGTCGAATGTTTGAATGTTTGACCCGGCTGCTTAGTCATTATAATCGTTTCTATGGCACATGGCGGTTCGGCAAGTTTTTTTTGGGAGACCGGAGCTCCCAGACGAAGTGAGTAGACGTGAAAACGTGCCAAGCATTTAAGGAATGCATTTAGACTTTTTGACGTCAGCCCATTATATTTTTCATTGTAAAATGTGACTAAGTCACACATGTCTTGGAGTTTCTACTATACCAGTACCCTTATCTTAGTACAAGCACTACAAGTATCAAAAAAAAAAGACTTCTTATGACACATTTCAGAAGCTATCACTAGTACCTTATCGATCTAAAGAAGAGATAACAAGTCGAAGGTTTTCATTTATCAAATGTGTGTAGGTTGGCAATCAAGAACTCGGATTCCAGAGTGATGTAACGGATTCTGATTTATTGGGCTCATTTAACTATTCAAAAGCCGATTAACAAACTTCCCACTTACCAGCATTCATTATTAATGCTATGTTCTTCTTCTCGCTTTCATCTTAACCATTTGTTATGGCTTTTGTTGTTTTCTTCGTAGCCGGCATCTTAAGCGCGTGTCTGATTTAATTTAAGTCTGGTGATGTCATGGATGAATTGGTGGAATTGATACAGAAAAGTCAGACGACTACATGTGTATGGTGGAATATGGTAAATATTGCTTTATTGTCTGCTATCAACACCTTATCGCTTTAATAGATCATAAACTCATAATTGGCCTTTGGAATTTCTAAAAAAAAAAACTACAACTGGGAAACTAGCATAAATTATTAAAATTTCATAGCCCATTTGTATGTTTCATGTGTGCGCCATAAATCGTTCGCTAGCTAGTGAGAATTTTCTTCTAATCGGGTCACATACGTAAAACATTTTAGGGCACTAAAATTTCTGCACGCAAAGAGCCAATTTCTGTTCTTCAGTTGGCAGGAAGTAACTAATCGATTTTCTTAAAGTTCACAGGATATTTTGTAGAGACTTACTGCTGGGGATCCTGGAGCAGGGAGCCGCTAATGGAGAGCCTGGTGACTCGGTCTGAGGCATTAGCATTGGTGGGCAGAACGGCCAGGAACTTTACATCAGGCATTTTTAAACTGTTTTGATACTGTTCGCTTTTGTTGCTTGTTTATTTTTAGGCGGCGGGTATGAAATTGCAAATTATACCCGGTGTTAAGACCTCTGCTGTGGCCAGTTGCCAACGGTTACAATAACTTAAATAACCGGCGGAGTAGCAAGCACTTGGCCGACTTGGTCAATACTGTTGGGGCTTAACCGAAACGTGGCTATTTTAAGGGAACTCGAAGAGGATTTAAGCCCAATACGTCACGGGTAAAGTACGTCCGAGCACATATTTGTTCAGGTTTTTTGATTAAAAACACGGTACGCAGTTCTGTCCGCTTTCGCGCGTGATTGAAAACTGAGGAGGAACATTTCTGGGGAGCGAATCGCAGCTGAGTGATCCCCCACACCGTTAAATTCCGAAAATTCCGGACCCCAAAGAGTGTGTCTCTCTTAGGGCGCGGTGTGACCAGCCGCAGGATTTGAATTTGAAAACGTGGCGCTCCCGCCGATAAGCGAGTACTGTTATCGATGCCTAGCCAGCCAGTCGTCTATCGCTGGGCTCCCATCTCTACGGCCACCTAACGCTAACAATTCAGACAAACGAAATCAAAATCGCAGCCAGAAGAACCCAAGTTTAGTTAATTAAAGTCTGCTCCAGCACAGTTAAATTACAGCGCAATGAAGACGTGGTACATGGTGGTCGTGGTCTGCTTCCTGGCGGGATTGGCCCAAACGTCGCTGGCCCTGAAAGAAGAGGACTGCGAAGGTATGTGGTTGGCCACGTAAGTGGTTGAGATGTTCTCGAACAGATTTTCACCGGGCTCCACTCTTCGGTTCCACAGTGTGCGTCAAGACGGTGAGGCGGTTCGCGGACTCGCTGGACGATTCCACCAAGAAGGACTACAAACTGATCGAGACGGCGTTCAAGAAGTTCTGCAAGGCGCAAAAGAACAAGGAGCACAGATTCGTGAGTAGCCGGCAAACAAGTGCCGCCCCCCTCTTCTCGTTTTTGGGGAAAATTGATACACGTATGCGTTATTCCACGTAGTGCTACTACCTCGGAGGCCTGGAGGAATCCGCCACGGGCATTCTGAACGAGTTGAGCAAACCCCTGAGCTGGTCCATGCCAGCTGAGAAGATTTGCGAGAAGCTGAAGAAGAAGGACGCGCAAATCTGCGATCTTCGCTATGGTAAATATAATGTCCGCAAGGAAGTGAGGAAAAGAACATAGGAACTTGTAACTAGAATACATTCTGAACGCTATCTATCGTTTCTAGAGAGAGCAAAACAGCTCAAATTGTAAATTCAAACTTAATTTTTCTTTAAATGCCTACAGTTATAATCCCATCGCTGATCAATGAATATTCCAATTCCTTTGAGTAAGCTTAATATGATTTTAACAATTTATTTTATTGTGCAATTGAAATGTTAGAAAGTATCTGATTTCATATGCTGTAGTTCAACAATGAATCTTAATATTTATTAACTATGAAAATATCAACTCTGAATGTATTTTCCAACGTATAAATGTAAACTTTGTGGCTAATTAATATGTAAAGTTGTAAAATGACTTATATATATTGATTATTGAATTGATTAGGAGTGTTGGACTCACTGGACTTTTGAACGTCAAAATCAGCACTATATTTTACTCTTGTCGATATGACAGAAAACTCAGCGAATTTAAAATCAAATAAAACCGTATTTTCTCTTTTTTACAAATAAAGATAAAAATCTCACTAGGCCTTTTTAAAATAAAAGTTCTTTATGCTCCCTGGTATAAACTATTACTTTTTTCCCATTTCCTGCCTGATACTCCTTAGCATTTAATCTAATCAACCATGTCTTTTGCAGAGAAACAAATCGATCTGAACAGCGTAGACCTGAAGAAGCTGAAGGTGCGCGACCTGAAAAAAATCCTCAACGACTGGGACGAGAGCTGTGACGGCTGTCTGGAGAAAGGCGACTTCATCAAGCGCATCGAGGAGCTGAAGCCCAAGTACTCGCATGGCGAGCTGTAGAGCTTGATCTGGAGTCACTCGTGTAGTTACATGGAACACGCCCACTTAGCTAAAACAACAACCACATGAAACGCCCCCTACACATCCATATTTTTAGTTAATTTACAATTTTGATAGACTTTGAGAGAATTGAATATAACTATATATACCTAAAGAAAAAACATATATTTTGAAATAAAAAACAACAAACACACAAGACCTCGTGCTCTCAAACGGTTGATAAATAAACAGTTTGTTTTTATTTTCCACGTGTTAATCTTTTTCGGTTCTTGATCTCCTCATTCACAATTACAAGTATTACGTACAAATTACAACATAAATTCACAAAATATCTGGATTAAAGTTTTATTTAAATGTTAAATACATAATTCCATTGCACTTACTGCCGCGGGCCGCGTAAATTCGATGTGAGCGAAGGGCTGGCTGGCCTCAACTAAATTACATTTATTAGTTAGACATTATCACTAAAAACGAACATAAGAAGCTAGGATGAAGGTGTGTGTGTGTGGGTGTGAGAGTCTGCTTCTAGAATGCATTTTTGATGAAAGTTGATTCTTGCGATCCTTAGCGGCGGTATGGCTGTTTGTTGTAGCGCCCGCGCTCGTTTTCGTCCGAAAGATTTGCGTACTCGCTATAAACCACGCACCAGCAATAGGTGAGAACAGCTGAAAGAACACCGGAGAACATGGGTTAAGTCAACTGCACCGAAAAGTAGGCTACAATTTCGATATTTACACCTAGATGGTATGTATTTTCAAAGCTATAAGGTAATATATTGTTAGTTGTAGAGTAAAATGGTATATTGTATTATTTTAATATTAAGTATAAAAATTAATGATCACCATCAATAGTCGAGTCAATCTAGCCAGTATGAACGTCGAATTCTTAGGTACTGTAAGAATTGAGATTTGGATGCAGAATCTAGTAAGAACTGGGCTAGCCCACAAATCGCTCAATTTCGATAGGGAATATTTCTTGGACGATTTACATATATATACTTGGTCAACATCTATGTACCGCCCAGAGAATTGCCAAAATCAAACAATAATTTCAGAACTGTTTAAGTAATTTAGTTTTAAATGCGAAATCTGATTAATGACATCAATGGTAGCTGGTAACTAAATCTACCGCCAGATGGCGCCAAATCTGTACAAATTGTTGCGACATTAGAATTATTTGCTTATTGTTTAACTATTTAATATTTTTAGCTCTCCTTTTTTTCTTTTTTGTACGCACTTTCATTTTCGATTGTGAGATCAACAGAAATTTCTTTCTCAAAATCTAGTTTTGAGTTTAGGAACTAAAATTCAAATCGAAACAAAACCATTTTTGCTGATTATATGGTAAAAAATGTAACTTTAATCATTTAAACTACAAAGTGAACATGACAATTAACACGGAACGTTAACCAAGCATTAGTATTCCAATTGTGCAACAGCTCATAAAGCTAGAATAATTTTACATAACCTTTCCGATTTCGCTTAATGATTGTCGTATAGTTTGGTTGTAAAAGCTAAACAATTGGTGGATTACCCCACCGCTTCCGAAACTTGGCAGTAGAACAAATGGCCACAGGCAGCCACTTTGCGCCTCATTTGCTTGCACCACACTGCAATCCCCTGCTTTTCCCGCCTAAAAACTCCTGCCTTGGGGCGCCGGCAATTTGTGGTTTCAGCGCACAGGCACTCAACGCATGATAAATGCGTCTATAAATTAAAAACGGCTCGCAATAACCGCCATCCGGTGCTAAAAACCGCACAGGGAGAGTTCGCATCGCCCCACCCCCCCATTTCCACCGCCCATGGCGGAGTGCACTTACCGCAACAAATTAGGCCGAAGATCAGCCAGAGGACGCCCGTCAGCACGTAGCCGTCGATGAAGAAGACGACGCCGGTGTAGATGACGGAGATTAGCAGTCCGATGGCAATCATAATGCCCAGCACCACCCAGGGTACCATCAGATAGTGGTTCCGCTACGAAAAACCCATCCCATTATTGTCTGCCTTTTATAGAAATAGATCGACATACCTTTAGAACACCCACAATCATGAGCAGTGATATCAAAATCGTCATGCACAAATTGATGACGAGTATTATCTTCACGATGTCATTGGGGATAAAGTCAAAGATGATCGTCTTGAAGTGAACTCGTGTCGTAAAGATCACCACGATGGTAATAATCGACAGGACGATGGCCAGGATGCCCGATATGACGGACCCATTTCGCGTCGATTGGCACAGGCAGCAGGAGTTAAGTAGGGGCTTCGGCATTTTGGCAGCTTTGTTTTGGTCCTACTTACTGCAAATAAGGAATTAAATTAAATTTTAATCATCTATATTTGATTTTAAGAATTAAACGAGTATATTTTTGTCATTTTAAGTCCGTAAAGAACAATTAAATTCGGACATTTCTAGATCGTTATTTTTATTTTCTGAAATAAAAAATATATACCGTAGTAACTTTATCAATTTATGTTCCCTAGGGTCTAGACATTTTTTCTTTGAATTTTAACCTTATCAATTTATGTTCCCTAGGGTCTAGACATTTTTTCTTTGAATTTTAAATGTGGTTGTATTTAAATACATAAATATGTTAGTGTGTATATATTATTTCGGTTTCTTGACTTTAAAAAGAAACAGAAAAATAAACAAACTTTCTATAATTTACTATAATTTTTATAAAATTGCAAAAAAACTTTTAAAAAAACTTAAAACTTTTCTTTTCTATAACAAATATGTTTGAAATGGAATTTTTTTTAGTTTTGCTGTATTAATTTGTACGATTGTATGATATAGTCGTCGGATCCGTCCCGTTCAGATCTATATACTACCTGCAATAGGAAAAAAGATCTTTGGGAAAGCGCTGTCCAGAAAGCATTAATACTGCAAAATTAGTTGGCGTAGAAACGGACGGACAAGGCTATATTCATGTATGCATATGAATCAGGCGGTAATATTCATGGTATTTTAACTCTTCGCCTTGACCGCCATGGCAATTGCAAAACTAAAGACGTAAACAAGTCGAACAACCAGATCCCACCGTTTGACCAATTGTGACGTCAGGCAGACAAATAAAAATGTTTATAAACCAAATGTGCTTTAAAAATAGAAGGAACAAAGAAAACAATAGACGGAAAGCGTAAAATATGCGCAAGAAGGTAAGATTTATATTTAGCAAAGCTTTAAAATAAATCAACGAGTCGAATGAGTAATCAATCGTGTTTTATCTGCAGGGATGTGAGCTGGAAAAGGCAGTAGATGGTCGATTCGAGCGATCGGCGTCATTGCAGTTTCAGTATGGGAAAGTTGATATCATCCGCGCATGCGCATGCGCACACGATCGGCTAAAACACGTATCTGTATCTGTATCTGTATGCATCGCATCTATGGGTTGCACCCATCCGAAATAGCGCCACCGGGCATTGTCATTAAATTAATCAAACGCTTAACGTGCTTCGGTCCCGGCTGCGGATTGATGTGGCGCATGTTGGCACTTGCAAATGCCGCTGCAGCTGGTTTGCATCCACTGGATGCAGGCACTATTGTGTGTGTCCATGAGATATATCTCATGTATACATGTGGCTCGCGGCGGTCTTGATGAGATAATCACACGCCAAAATGTCTTGTCTTACATGGAAGCACTCTGCGTCGTTATTGAAAGACTAAGCGGGCTGCCTGGGAAATGCCTTTGGCACACAGCTAAAGTTTAGCCAACAGATACATATACTATTTCTGGGCAAAACCCATTTCCGCTCAGTTCACATTCATACCTCACATCTTACACCTCACGCAGAAAGACAGCTACAAACAGCGAAAACACGTGAAGAATCTGGCAGCAGAATTGCTACACAAATTGCGCAATTATCAGAGGCGTCGGCGAGGGGAGCGTGCCGTCCCAAAGCCCAAAGATCACATCGCATTCTACTCTGTAAGGCAGTTCAAACTTTATATAGTTTCGTCACCAGCTGGTTGGGCTGATAAATCGGACATATGGCGCATTAACATGCCGTTTTTCACGCGTTTCGCACGGGTTTTACTCAGGCGATCTGTTTATAAATGGAGATTCAATTGGCCACAGACCCCAGAAAGCATTTGCCTGGCTTCCATTGCTTTGCCATCTTGGATTACTTTCTGCAGACATAGACATGCGATATGTTTTGACCTGGTTAGGAGCACAAAGTAAAGGCACTCGAGACCTCGAAGAGCAACTAGGGTAAGAGGAGACTGCGTAATATGGGGGGAATGGGTTTGCGAACCCCATATAGAAGCGATCAGCTCTCTCAGCTGCCTAATGGCGTTAATATTCGCATGAACTCATCTAATGCTGACGTTCACTTCCGCCCGCCTCACACAAAATGGAACTACTACAATATATAGGCGTGATCCACACATTGTGGAGTCAAGTTCAAGCCACGGCGTGGGCGACTCTTTCCGAGGAATTTGTGCCGCCACTTGACGTAGGCTTGGAGCTGGAAAGTGCTCGAGACTTGACAAGTGCAACTGGACGCAGTTGTCATTGCACTCTGTAGGTTGGTGGAGTTTCTTTGCTTCTGAGTGTGACGGAGTGGGAGTACGAGTGGTCGGATGCGGCTAAATGTGAAAGGCAAAGTTTGTCAACAAACAAATGCGAGAGAACAGGGAAAGTACTTTCCCAAACCTGAATATTTTGGGAAAGATAATTCATGGAATATAAAAATGTTCAGTTGAATTTCCATAACTCAAAAACCTGCATCTGGCAACCTATAACTTTAGTTACACACATTTATTTATGATTAAGTTTGGCTAACCAAGTTTGCCCTTTGCTCAACTAACAAAATATAATTTAGTTAACGATTAAATATTTTTCAAACTGAATTTCCCAAACTGTTTGTATCACAAGAACAACCTTTAAAATTCATAATAAAACATGTTGCTAAATGGAAATTCAACTGAATTATATTTTATTTGTAGATAGAAGGTGGTTCTATAAATGTTGATTCTTAAAATAAAACAAGAAAGAAAGCAAACTTCGGCAAGCCGAAGTTCATATACCCTTGCAGCTATCGCAAGAATTAAATATTTTTGAAAACATTAAAATTATGATTTACTTGCGTATATGTTTAAAAACATTGAAGCTATGACGATTTGCAGCTTAATTATTTGATTGTTCTTTTATATATTTTTATTATTTGTATGGGAGCTATATGATATAGTCGTCCGATTTTGATGAAACTTAAACCATAATTCTGAAATATTTAACCATTGCTTTATGTCGAAGAACAAAACAAAAAATTAAAAAACAGCAAAGTTATAATTTTTTTCAATTATTTTTCCGATTGTTCCTATGGGAGCTATATGCTATAGTCGTCCGATTTTGATGAAATTTTAACCATAATTCTGAAATATTTAACCATTGCTTTATGTCGAAGAACAAAACAAAAAATTAAAAAACAGCAAAGTTATAATTTTTTTTCAATTATTTTTCCGATTGTTCCTATGGGAGCTATATGCTATAGTCGTCCGATTTTGATTAAATTTAAACCGTAAATCGGAAATATTTTACCATTACTAAATGCCGAAGAACTAAACAAAAAATTAAAAAACAGCAAAGTTATAATTTTTTTTCAATTATTTTTCCGATTGTTCCTATGGGAGCTATATGCTATAGTCGTCCGATCCGGCTCGTTCCGACTTATATACTACCTGCAATAGAAAGACAACTTTTGGGAAAGTTTCATGCAGATAGCTTTAAAACTGAGAGACTAGTTTGCATATAAACGGACGGACAGACGGACAGACGGACAGACGGACAGACGGACGGACAGACGGACATGGCTAGATCGACTCTACTAGTGATGCTGATCAAGAATATATATACTTTATAGGGTCGGAAACGTCTCCTTCACTGCGTTGCAAACTTCTGACTGAAATTATAATACCCTCTGCAAGGGTATAAACATGATTCCATTGTATCTCATAAGTGACTGTTATTTTTGAAATAAAAGGAAAAAGAATATACTTCAACAAAATTATTAACTTTGTCAGGGGCATGTATTTGTTAAATCTGAAGAATATAAGAACTTAAATATTAAAACAGATGCACACGAATCCATTGATATAAGTTTTTCTAAAATTGTCAAAATAATTATTCAACTGGGCTTACAGTTTACAAGAGTTCTGATGAGAATAATTTTTATTTATTTTCATTGTACATAAAACCAAAAAATAAATATTTAAAAAAATGTATTAGGGTAGTATGATTGAATTAAATTAAAATTTTTATTAAGAATTTATCACAAATCATTAATCAAGTGCTGACCCATTTGTCTGGGCCAGCGAAGTGAAAATATTGTCCACATAAATCATGTCGATTGCCATTGGCTTTATGCTCATGGAAAATTGGTTCAATCCACAAGCAAACTCTGGCAAACGGCAATTGTAATTTTCGTGTGCAATGAGCGCGTGTCCAGGTTTTGTGCCAGGTAACTACGATATTGTTTTCGGCATTTAACTGGCTTTGTAGGCCGCAAGCGGAGCCAAAGCCAATTATTCTCGGCTTTGCCGCTGTGTTGACTTTATCGCGATTCGAACTTTTGTGGCCGTGCTGAACCCGCTGAACCCCGCCAAACACCAAGTCATTCAACAATTAGTTTGCGCTTCAACGCGTAATTAAGTTTGACATTTTTCTGCGCTACTTTTTGCGCCAGGCCACAATTGATACCGAAGACACAAAGCGTTCTGTATCTGCGATGTGGCTGGAAATGGCTGGAAATTGCTCAATCTGCGACAGAAAGTGGGAGCTCGCTTGAGTGGCCGAGTCAGGTTTTTACTTTGTTTCTTTTTTGTTTCGGCCCATGCGAAACCGGTAGAAATCGTTCTACCAAATTTGACAAGTCCCAAAGCACGCGGCATTTTTGGTTTTTATATTATTTATCCGATCTCCCACTTGACTTTTGTCTTCGTTTTTTTGTCAAATTGCCTTTTCGCTGCGCAGCGGACTTTCAATCACTCGACTTGCCATAAAAATCAATTAAACCCGTTGCAGCTGCAAACTCAATTGCAGCCTTTGAAGTTTTATTTCGCCGACGTTCGAGATTTTGTAATTACTAGTGCTGCCCCTACGGATGCAAGATACAAACGTGCGCATCCACAAGATACTTTTCGATTCGACGCTCCACGCTCTGTTTCTGTCAAAGCTTTTCAGGGTCAGGGAGACAAAAGGGCGACATTGAACGCGTTCAAAAACTCAATTTTCGAGGATCTGGCAGATTTTGGGCTTTCGTTTTCCCAGCCCAGCGAAAGTCAACTCATAAAGAGATCGCCCATTAAAATGATTCATTTATAAGGCAGGCGAATAGAAAACGAAAAACACGAATTGCTTATAAATAGCTCGCAAGGTCGCGAGCATTCTCAGCAGGGAGAACTAGAAATCTAGAAATCTAGAGAATCAACAAAGCCAAAGAAAACCTCTCACAATCGTCAAAAAACAGTGACTGTCTGTGGTCAAAAGTGGGATTCCACCCCAAACGTTTTTTGGCACCTGTTGGCCAACATTTCGGCGCCACTGTTTCCTCTCAGTTAACGTAGGTGTGCGAACGCCTTCGTTTATTCGGCCAGAATGTGTTTTTGTGTGCCATGTTTTTCTTGGTCGCATATATGTACATATATTCTGGCGTTATCTGTAGCCTTGTAAATTGAGTAACCTTCACATTGTTCATTTGTCACTGCTTCCAAATAGATGCGCGTCACTGAACTCTGCCAAAAAATTGTTTTTAAACCGGGATCGTCTTCATTTCCCTTATTTATTACTTACCAAGAGGAGTGGCCACTTAAAATTCAATGCTCGATTCTTTCATTTGGGTTTGAATGTGATTTTTATGGTTCGCAACTGAGGCGAATAGCCAAAATATGGCTCAATTGAAACGTATGCCAGCCACATTACGTATACGCCACCGCCCCCGCACGGGACTCCAGTTTTCGATGGCCTACATATCCCTTACGTACCCGTACCCGTACCCCGCCACCTGTTCAACTTGAGATCTCGATCGCCCAAAAAAGTCGCAGACTTTCAATGTCAGATCGCAATTCTGACATCACCCGGTGCATCGCCTATATAGTCGTCTATATGGCTGCTTTGTTTTCATTTTGCCATCATTTCTCAGCCAATTGGGTCAGCGATCACAAAATGAAAACAAACAGTGGCATTATTTTCCAATATTCCATTAATATGCTGCGGTTTTTCAACTCTACCGCCTTTGCGGGCGCTCAGAAAAGTCGCAGTCTGGGGTTTCAGCGGCGATCATTTGAATATTGAAATTGCTGGCGGGCCAGCAGCGACAGCTAAATGAAATTGAATATATATATTTTGTATAAATAAGCACACACAACCGCAAGGCAGACGAGCAAGCGCGCCTCAAGTCAGCGACTGGGACTGGCTGTAGATAGGTCTCTGGCTACTGGGCACCACCTCCACCACCTCGGCGTCCCTTCCCCCCACCGCTAAACACTTCTGTCCAATCACTTATATGCATATCCACCACCGGGGGCCAGCTGCTCGCCTGTTATTTCAATTTCGAGGCGATCGTTTATCACTCGATTTGCATGCGACGGCGATCGATTGATCTCGCGTTGCGATCCCAACCCAATCGCCTGCCAACCGCCTGCATTTCTCCGCTGATAATGTCAGCCTCTTGGCACCCAGCCAAATTCACTTACACTTTCTTTTTCTTTTTTCCTGATTTTTCTTTTTCCTAACTCGCTGGCAGACTGCAGTGCGCAGACAGGGAAATCGATTTGATTTGGACTCGCCGCTATTAATTAGTGTTTGAGATGTTTTTGCTACCCAATGCGAATCGATTCGAGGCGATTTTAGTCCGACTTGCGCGCTTTGCGATTTATTTTGGAGCGATGTGAGTGCGGCGGGTTTCACGAAGCGACTGAAAACGCGGGCTGCTGCCGCCTAGAGAGTCGGCCAGCGATCGCGATTCCGCTCTCATCTGCGAGCGTTTGTTGACTTTTCCGCTCGTTCTGGCTGGCTGAAAAGTTCTCAAACTTAGGACGCTGTCTGTATTTAGCTAAGACAGCTTTTGTGTTACTGCCATGGAGCTTTCTCCGACAGCAGAAACCAGTTAGCCGCGATTGCTGTTCCGGCATGAAGTTATCAAACACTTGGTCAAACAATGCTGGGGCGATCGGTTACAGCGTTTTGCACTAGCCAAGTCAAGCAAATCACTGGACGTTCTCATTACCTGGGCATCCGCATCCCGACATCCGCGTCTCCCGGTTCGGAGCAGCCCGAGATCGAGATGCTGGCCTCAGATACCGCGGCACGCCATGACTCCATCTGCCTTTTTTGGCCATGGACCATCGTCTACTGCACTGAACTAAATGTCATCTGGAATAGGGCATCTTATTGTAAGTTACTTAAATAGGATTATTTAGATTTTCCGACATAATTCACAGCTCTGGCTCGAAATTCTTATATTTTTTAAATAATTTAATTTAACCAAAGTAATCTGGTGCTTCCAAATATCCAGCTTTGATATTACTAAAAAATACTCGAATTTATTTCTTGTAATAATACAAATAAAAACGGTTAAAATCCAATTTAAAAAATACGTTTACTTCCTTCCAAAATTTCAAGAGAGTAAATGTAACTTGTTTTTTGTTAAAAGTGACAAGGTCCGAAATCTCCAGTATTTTTAATAATATTCTTGATTATTTTTCAAGAAGCTAAAAATTAAGACAAATGTTTTATATACAACATTTCATTGAGTTTCACTTGATAATATTAAAACTGAATCTGATCTTCATAAAATAGATCTGATTGAAATTTATTCGTAACTAATGCCTATAATCGATTTTAGCATACATTTGAGAAGGAAAAGTACTTTGTTTTTCTCACTGTTTCTGCCGGCCGTTAGTGGCCAAGTTTTTGGCCATGCCATCTGTAAAAGGTAAACGCTAGCATTCGACTTATTGGCATCTAGGCGAGAGTTTTGTGGGCCAGTCCATGGCGTGCAGCTACTTTCATATTTATCAAATCATTCCAAGTAACCTTTGTTTATTTGCCATTTCCATCTGTCTCCTATTGTATGCAAATTTCTTCAGCAATCGGGTTAGCATTAAAGCGCTGGTTAAGGCAAGCTTAAATCAGGTCAGTGAAGCTGGATAGTTGTTCTCCAGCGACCTATTAATACTCAAGGAAGTCCGATTTAAGGTTTATATTAAACAATCTTTGACTATACTTATGGGGCTGCTCTGAGGTTATCCGACTATCAATCTTTGTATCTCTCTCTGCGGCTCCCATTGCTCTGATCATAGCTATAAATGGGTTTCATTAGTTTCAGTTAATATCGGCAACAATCGACATTCATTGCGTGCCATAATCTATACATATATTTTCGTCAAACACAATAATACATAATCGAGGCTGCTTCATCATTGTTTTTTTTTCTGGCGGCTGCATATTATGTTTTATTTGAAAATTTATATATATACATTACAGTAAATAATTTAGTCAGGTAGGTGGCGAAATAAAAGTACTTAATTAACGTACAGCAGCATTGCAAATGAAAGAGAACGAAAACCGGAACCGAATCGCAATTTAAATCGAAGTCCTTGGGTGGCACCTTAGTATTGCTATTGCTATGTCGCGTGCTGTACAGCCCGGTAATATCTATGCGTAGTTGTAGCGTTGAAATGTATACAATTCTCTTGTGTGTTGCTTCATGTACAATTTAACCACGTGATCGACTATCCTAGGTCCTGGGGCGAATCGGGGTCTTGGCTGACGAACGACTGACTATGTTCCTAACCTGCCTGGATTTGCATTCGGATACGGAGATCCCGGCAAAGCCAGTGGGTTTGAGTTCATTATTTGCTTGTGCCGGCGGCAGCGGCTTCCTCCTTTTTTTTCTGCTTCTCGCGCATAAGCTCGGCATCCCTGGGGATTATGCGATATATGTTAAGAGGGTTTCTCATTTGGGTATATATAGATGGGGATTTACCTGGCCTTTCGTTGCTCCACGGTGAGATTATCGGTGCGCTTTCCCTTGGAGGAGTCCGCCAACTTCTTCTGGTTCTTCTGGCGGGCCAGGTCGCGTTGGTTGCCGCCTGCAAGGTGGAGCGGTTGAGACTTTAATTAGTTAATACGTGTCACCTGGTTAGTGGCGCATGCCGACTGATCTACATAATCTATTGACCAGCCGCGCTGAGAGGTTAGAGGCGCTCACATGTCCTACGGCAGACTGCCCATCGATTTTACCCAATAGCTGAGAATAATCAGCACCTCTAACATATTCCCCAGTTCCCCAAGATTGGTTTGCAACTGCAGCCTATGCCATTTGCTTGTTATTCCGATGATAAGATACCATTTCACATATTTTATGCATGGCACACCACCAACAAAATGGCTCCATGATGCCCACACTTACGTGTCATTTTCAATGCTCTTTCTGCGATGTGGGCGGAAAATAACTTCGCTCTGGATCCAAATTTGTTAACAGATTTGTGAGATTCGCTGCTCTGGCGATGTAATTTTGCTGGTTGCGAAACGTAGAGTTTTGTGTGTTACAATAGAAATACAAAAAATCAACAACAATCAAATCAACACTAGAGGTGGAGAAACATTGATGGAAACATCGATGTTTTTTGGCGACCATCGATGTTTTTAGCGCATCACTAATTTACTATTTTGTGTGAATGGTATCAGGTGGCAGTCTTATCGTAATTTTTTCTCTAACTTATCGACAAGCAAGAAGCAGAGTATTCAAATATTGGTCTTATCGATGTTTGGCGGGAACCATCGGAGGTTATCCCCTAGCTATCGATAACTGCGGTGCAAATATTCAAAATTCGCTGTCTCGATGGGCAGCACTGGCGCGCTGAAAAATTGTTGGTGTTTTTGGTGTTTTTTATTTGGCATTCGTTTTTGCGTGCTTCTTTTTATACATTTTCTAATTCGGTATATCTTACAACAGATAACAGATAAAATATAATTAAATATTTAGTTTGAATAAAGATTTCTCTTCAACAATGGAGGAATTACAATGGAATATTACAATATATAAGTGGTTTTCGCAAATATGCATGGCTTCCTAATTGCATTTTCCATAAAAACTAAAAAGTTGGACTTCGGTTTTAGATAAAAATTTCCCTTGAGTTCCTTCTGTCAACACCGCTTGTGAATCTCTCGTCGAGATCTTCGAAAATAGACCTGCATGACATGTCGTCATACTCCTTTCTTAAGACCCACATTTCCAAGGTGCTCAGAAGTACAAACTTAGTGTGGGGACTCTGAACAGGAACAATCAAAATTAAAAAAATTACCAGGTTGAACTATTTTACCTCTGTTGGTTGATTTTTTGACCAAAGTCCGATGGCCGACAGATAAGTCTTAACAAGCATTCGCCACGACCAGAACATATGCGAGTCGCCAAGTTTTGGTATCGGTGGCACGATCACTTGAAACAATTTTGTGTCCGTGCTTACATCTCCAGAATCTCCCATAATCGTATAGCTTACTGACCTAAACAAATTTTGAAAAAACCCTAAAATGGATCTGAGAACCATAAAGACGGAAAAATCAATACGATCTAAGCACTGACTTCTAAATTTTGATGTAAGAATGAAGGGATTAAGGAGTTGTTAAATTTTAAATACATGTCGTGTCGGTGTAGCATAAAAATACTTGAGTATATATTGAGTCTCAAGCTTTTCTATGGAGGGTCATGCTTCCTTTAGCTAATCAAGTTACATGAAATAAAAATCATTATGTTCTATAGTAATTTAGCTAAAGAGCCTTATTGAGGGAAAGTTTTTTTTTCTTCTGTCGAAAAGAAGGCTAAGTTTGGGAATTATTTGTGTCACGATAATAATATATTTTATATGTTTTTTGATGTTTTTTGCCAACGAAAGCAAAAACTCCACTTAAATAAATTCAAAACAAAACACATCATTCACAAAAATATTTGTGTAGTTTAATAATTAATCTGCGGATATACAATAACATTAACACTTAAATGCGTGGTATTTGCTTCTCTCCGGGTCTTCTCAGCGGAGGCTAATACTAGGGCTAGGGCTAGGATGCGGATAATGGATGCGGCTAATGGGCGATGGGACGGACGGAGTGGAAGTGGGTGTGGAAGTAAGAGCTGGAGCGGGACTATCTGCGCAGGCAGGGCTCGCAGGTGCCCGGCAGGACGAACGAGGGATGGCACTCCGGGCACTTGGGGTTCTCGCCGAACCACTTGGCTCGCTGCTCGGGGATCTTCAGCTGGAACGAGTTGTACAGATCCCCGTTGCTGAAACCGGAGGAGGCCGCTCCTGCGCCGGGTCCGTAGCCCGTGCGACCGATGGTTTCCAGGGGGAAGGCGTACTCCGGTATGAGCAGTTGCTTGCGCAGGTGGCTGATGTCCGTGGAGCTGGCCACCACATCGGAGCGACGCTGGGCCTGTTCCGGCTGCAGTTGCTCCCCCTCCTTCTCCTCCTTCGCCTTGATTGATCTCGAGATGGCCAGTCGGTGGCTGGTGCTCGATTGCTGGACAGACGCAGCCACCTGCACTGGCTTCTTCTGCTGGCTACCAATGTCGTTGAGTCGGGTGTTGAATATTTCCTGCTTGCCGGTGACCCCGTAATTCCCAGTGGTCTCGGGATACTCGCGTCCATCCACGCCAATGGGTGGGTCCAACTTGGGCGGCTCCAGGCCGTTCGAGGGCACCTTCCACTCGTAGTAGATGGGCGGACCCTGGGTGGTGGCTATGTCGTGGGGCACAAAGTCCACGAACGGCGGCAGCAGATCATTGAAGGGCATCTGTGCCGCAGGCGCAGCTGGTGGGGCAGCAGTGCTGGTGGGCGTGGCCAGGCGGAAACTCTGGGCCGGAGCTGGAGTGCGATTGTCGCTGCGTTGCGGCACTCCCACAGTGCTCACCGTGGTGGGCAGTGTGGCCGAGGAGAAGGGCACCCCAGCCAAAGTGGTTGGTCGACTCAACGGCCTTGGGGTGGTGGTGATGGTGCTGACCTGCGAGCGACTTGGAGCCGGACTGAACGGAGCCGCCGTGGATGTGCGAAGCCCATTCTGGGGCAGCGGCTCCTCCAGGTTGTAGATGGGATACACGAACGGCGGCTCGTAGATCTTCGAGGGCGGCTTGACGAACTTGGTCAACTTGGTGCTGGACTGCTTTGTGCCACGGAACGGCGCCTCCGCCGAGTTAAAGTCCGCTGAAGTGTTGTACCTGGTGCTGTGGCTCGTGCCCAGATCGTCCGTATCCTGCTCCAGAGCCTGGAAGCTGGGTCGTCGATTATGCAGGGCCTCTGTGCGCTTGCTGGGTGCCACTGTGGGTCTCCTAGTCGTGGTGGTTGTGCCTCGAGTGGTTGTGGTGCTGCGAGTGGTGGTTGTGGCCCGAGTGGTGGTTGTGGCTCGAGTGGTGGTGGTTATCCTGGGCTTGGTCGTACTGCTGGGAAACTCGATTTGCGGCTCATAAGCTGGCGGCAGGATCGTCCTGCTGGGCGGTGGAATCCGCCAGCGCGTCTGCGATGCCTGGGGATCCAGTTTTCCAGTACCAGCACCCTTGGCTGATTCGTCGCGTATCTGGTTTTGGTTCGAAGTCAGCTGCTACAAAAAGTATGCAATGGGAATGTGCGTTTATTAATTAAAAAAAAAGGTTATTAAACCTTAATCAGCTTTAAAAATTAACCTTATATTGGCTTCTAAAGGACTCTCCAGAGTAGTCGGGTGCATAGGGACGATCCAGAAGATCGGGTCTAGGAGTGCGCAGACTGTTTTCCTCGTCGTTCACAAAGGGCTTGTCCCGCTGACCTGTGGATGGCTTCACTGTGTTATCCTATCATGATTGGCATAATTCGAATACAAACCAATTAGGAGATTGGCGGCATAGTTACTCTCCGCCTTGGAACAGTTCACCATGTACCAGTGGTCGCAGATGAGCATCCGCTGCTGAAAGAGCGTGGTGTTTGGACACGTGTAGCTGAACTGGCGCCCCAGTCCATCGCACATGTGGTACACCTGGCAGCCCGTCTCCACGTCCGCATAGTAGCCGGCAGGACGTCCGGCGCAGGAGAAGGATGTCTTCTGCATCAGGTGTGAGGCAGGATTCGTTGTCTGGATGGCATTTTGTGCCTGCAGAGAGTAGGGAAAAATGTTCAAATCTTCAGTCTACATTTTTTGAATATTTTAAGTCAATTTAAAAAATGCTGGATATGGACTTATTTGTCTCTCAATTGTATGCCCTGGAACACACATTGTTCCTTAAACAAACAATTTGTTCTTAACAAAAAATAAAATATTTGGATATTTTGTTTGTTAAGTAATACTTAATCAATAATAAAACAAATAATTAATTAAACAATTAATAACATTCTACGTAATGTTATTTATTAATTTGTTTAATGTTTCTATTTACACAATTCGTATCGTTTATTAAATCGTAAGCCTTTATAGTTCATTTATTTAAGTAGGTACTTGTTGTTTGCTGTCTATAATTATCTGTGACTTCAATCTGCTGTCCAGTGCCGACATGCATTAGGTACTAAGTCAGTACTACGAACTACGAACTAACGAAGGGAGAGACTTCAGTTGTCAGAGACTCATGATTTCATAGATTGCTTGAAATGCTGGGAAAACATTTTTCACGGACTTGGCGGAAGCTTCTGCACATGTTCGCACATGCTACGAGTAGATCCAGTGGCGGATTTCGATAAGTCATTGGGCTATAATTTGCGGCTGTCGACGAGAAATTTTTGTTCATTATAATTAAACACAGCATAGAGAAACAGCAATTTTTACAAAAACTGACTAAAAATAAAGTTGACATTTCACACAGCATCACAGGTCGACTGTTGCAAGAAGCCGTGGCACCATGTGCCAAGTTATGACATCGCGTCAATTCATCACTTTTGGGCCCAAGTCGGGGTAGCTACTAGCTACCAACCTGTGGCTCAAAGTCCCAACTCCCAACACCCAACTCCCAGCATAAAGCTCAAAATGTACAACTTAAGACTTGGTGCAATCACACATGCTGGGCACGAGTACTCGCTGATATTGATCTCTGCGTCATTTGTTTCGCTACTCCAAAAGTCTTGGGTCTGAGAAAACCCCTTCAAAGGTAGCCAATTACAGATTATGTTCCGCAGCCAAATCTTCCCAGTAGATCTTACAGATGTGAGTTCCTTTCACTCTAACAAAGTAATCAAGCACTTGATGTAACTTCCGATTAAATCTTACACGACTTAAGAATAAATTCATTCATAAATATCTTATTATTCTTCATAATAATAGGGCAAATTAGTATTTCAGCTCATATAATAAAGTCTTTTCTTTAAGGAAATCTTAAATACCAGACTTATAATTGGATCCAATATTTTTGATAAAATTAAAAGCATTTGTCGTTTCTTAAAATAAAATTATCTATATTCAAAATAAAATTATCTTGATTAACAGTCAATGTATAAAAAGAAAAACTAAATTGTTTTATAAAAGCTCACATCTATTAGAAAAACCTTCGTTTCTGATTACTTTATAATATAAATAATGAAAAACAGATTATGAGAGTTTTTTTCCACTTTGTTATGGAACTAAGGCAGATTTTTGATTATGGGATTTTGACAAATGACCAACGAATTGTGTGAACAGTTTTACCGGGTGCCGGAGTGTTAATACTTAAATTATACTTAGAACTCATAAAATCCACAAGTTTGATTTTTTTAAACCAATTTCTATCCAATTTAAGTAACTTTGCTTAAATAAGCTCCTTTTAGGGTCACGTGATTGTCTCTGACTAGAAGCTTGTAAAACTAAATGGGGCTTTCCCTTATTGGGCTGGCTTAACGACACAAATTACTGGATTCGCGGCGCATTAATCTGGATTGCAATCATTCCAAATACGACATGGGAAGCTCTTAAGGAACGAAGATTGTGCAATCCCAAAGATACAAAACGAGCCAAGGCCCAGCAGAGGTTCCAATTTCACGTCGCTGTTTGTGTTTCTTATTTCGGGTAATTTGCCATAATTTGAAACGCTCTTCAATTTCATTTCAGGCATATTTACGGGCCGCACTAAACACACATTCTGCGCCCAGTTGCCCACTCGGCCGTTACATAACAGCCTCAGCTCCATCCTCGACTTAAGTTTCGTTTTAATTTCTTGTATGCAAATAGCGAAAACAATCAACACACTATTCTCCCCGTTGTTCGGCTTCGGCGCTGCCGGTGTGTGTTCCATTTCTGCAAAAGTGTCAGACGAGTCGGAAAAAAGGTCACTTGGTCAGCCGCGTCTTTTGTTTTTAATATACCTCGAGACCTTTGCTTGGCTGAATCATGTGTGCCGGCCTGTGTGTGAATTGTGGATGCACTCGCACACATAGAATAAATTAAAAATGAAACAAAGCGTAAAGAGCGCAAAATTACAACATTTTCCGCCGTTGCTCAAAAAGTGTCTTGGGAAGCACTGCGGTGGCAAAGACGACCAAAATGTCGGTGGGGCAGCGGCTGATCTCCACAGGCGATTTAATGGCAGAATAAAACACCTCCTTTTTTAAAAAACAGTAGTATAGTGTACAACTCCCCCACAGTATTACATATTAAAGCTATTAACTGGGAGTTTTTTTTTTATGACGTTTCGAATCTCATGGCTTAACACTTAAACGAATTGTTTTTTATTTTTACAATAAATGTTACACAATTTCGTTTAAAAAGCTAAAAGTTGCTTCTTAATTTTATCACATATATTTAAATATTTGTTTAAAATAGTACTTAAACTTCCCAACAACATCACAAGTTAAACATATAAACTGGGAGCTTTTTATGGCGCTTTGAATAATGTGTTCACTGTAATCTTATTGCATAAGACTAAAACGACTAAAAACAAAAATTGTTTTTTATTTCGTTTAAATTTTACAATCTCTTCAATATAAATCTTGCGCAAAAGTTGATTTTTTTTTAAAAACATAAATATTTAAGAGGTGCATTAAATTAGATACGCAAAACTACCTTTTTGTTTCTCTTATTAAGTTTTCAGTTGTACAAAATGTTAGAAATAATGCCAGCATTCTTAAAGCCAATACTTTGTCTTAATTAATGACCATTTGATAAGGTCAGATGGAATGTAATATTTAAATTGCTTTTCGATTAAGTTAGGTATTTCGTATTACTTGTGAAAACCTGACCGTTGAACCAGTGTTCACGCTTTCAATAATGATAATCACAATCTTAAGGGATTACCATTTGTGGGGATGGTTTCATTGTTGTGGGACAGGTAAAAATTATTGTATATTAAATGTATCTAAATACGTTTCTGAATGCCCGTTTAGTGAGAGCTTCATTAGCATTGATCGAACAAGTGCTTACGATATTTTAGCTATTAATTATTGCAATCTTCGGAAGGAAGATAATAACCACCTTTGCCGCACAACAAATACGGCGTTTAAATATTTATACAATTCCGCGATTTGCATTTGAATGCTCTCTCACGTGCACAATCAGCGTCGGAATCTCCGCTGGAAATCATATCCACATCTTTCGAATTCCCCGAGTATAGAGCCCCCGGCTAAGGGTAGATGTCAGACTTACCTCACTGGCCAAAAATATCGCTGAGCAGAACAAAGCCAGGGCCAAAAGTCGCGAAAGCGTTGGAGTAATTTGCGCCAACATTTCGCCGATTGTTCTCTCTGGATCCGTCGTCGGGGAACTTGAGTGGGGGTGGGTGAGGGGTTGTCGATGGAGGGCTTTAAACTGAAAGTTATTAATAAGTTATTGAATGGACGCTGGGCACAATTGATGAGAAAGTGCAGGCGCTAATTGCCATATACAATGGCTCGCATCTTAACAGCCATTCCATTCCATCCACCCATAGCATAATAATTCCAGCCATGCGTCTTTTGTGGTCAATCTTTGCGTAACCGAAACATTGTTTAATTAAGTAATAACTTTCCCAAAAATATCACCACATAGGTGCTTATGGGCGGTCACAATGTGTGTGTTTTTTATTGACACTTTCAAGCAGGGAGACTAATTTCCAACCGTTTGTTCGATTCAACGCCAGCGTAATGAATTGTAATTTAAAAAACATTAACTTCTGTAGTTGGTGCCGCATTATTGACTGACAGAATTTGCAACGCTGTCGCTGGCTCTTCCCTTGCCTCACTGCCTCGCTGCCTCGACCTCCGCCTACAATTCGATTTTGCGATTCTGCGATTTTGCGATTTGGCGACCTTGCCACTTGCCACTCCACTCCACTCCTCTCGCGAAAAAGTGGGCATCTGTGGACAAGCAGTCACACCGATAAAACTGTCAGTCGCAGTCGCAAACAAAGCTCCAAAATGGAAAATGCACTTTATGACCGTTTATAGCATGCAAATTGCTCGAAATTGAGTTGTCCAGTAAAGGCTCTTAGCTTTATGAATATCCGGTTGGGTCAAGAGCGTATATGCGGGTGTTCTAAAATGCCAAATACGGCGAAAAATTTATCTGCCTAAAACAAATTTGGCAATGCTTCGTTAGGTCTCACTTTAAGACTTGCCTCTTAGTATTGGCAGACTTTGATTTAAAGTTGTTGATATTTACCAACAGCTTCATCACTCATTCGACACAAATTAACAAAATCAGATAATGTCAGAGAGATAAAGTCAAAAATTTGCAGCTTAGTGTCAACTTGCTTACTTGAACTTGAATTGTTAGAAGTACAAAACAAATTTATGCATTTTAAACATATATTTGAAACTTTTAAAACTTTTAAAGCCATTCTTATTTTGTAGAATGTATTTTTTTTAAGACATATTTCTGCAAACGCCTTTTAAGTGCTAAAAATTTTTAGTTTACGACTGTCTAATTTTATATTGCAAATAGAGATTTAATCAAGTTTCAAAGTATATAACATTGGTTTAAGATGGATTTCTATTTAAAAAAAGATTGATATCCCATAAAAAACGCATAACATACTTGAAATTTGTTTGAAAACATAATTTAAATGGAATAATGACTTTTTTGAATGGGCAATAAGTGGCGCAAGCTAAAAAAAACAATAAATAAACAATAAATAGTCTTTTCATTGGGATACTCGCTACGGCATTTAAACTACCATTTAAGTGCACTTTAGCAATTAACTTTACAAGTAATTGAAATTGGCTTTTTTAAAGGCATAAATGCCCGGCCATAATACGGCAATCGCCGTAGTGTAATTTATTAGGTTAGCAAGACTGTGCATCATCTCGTAAAGCTTCAAAGTTCAATTGCCCAATAAAATCGCATACTTTTCAGCTAACGAGATCATCTGTCTCAATGCTAACCGCAACATTTGTGGCAAGTTGTGGCCAGCAGTCAGCAGCCATTCGAGCCAAGTGCGTGTGGCAGCAGCAGAGCGTCAGCCCAAAAAAAAAAAAACAAAGTTAACAATACCGAACTGGCATCTAGTTTGGCGGTTTTTCCTTGTCTTGACCTTTTTGACAACGGAAAATATTTACCGCTTTATCCTCCTCGGGTTGAACTCGTGATGCTGGTTGCAGTTTCATTTCTTGGCTGCCTTTTTTTCTTTCTGCGAGCTGCCTTGTGGCCAGCTAGGCGAAGCCTATTTGACATTTTTGCCAGCCATTTCCACTGAAAGAGCATTGCGAATCTAACTCGAAGATGCTCAAGAGGCGCAACGACAAAGGCAAATAATAGCGGCCAAAACAACAGGCAGATACAGCAACAATTATGCCAATTAGCTGGCATTACAGGTTGATTACGGCAGGGCCAGGCAGGCCTTACTGGGCCCAGCGCCATAGTTGGCATTTTTCTAATTGTTTTCCATCGGACCCCCCGCTCGGATGGATGCAGAGGAAGTTATTGAGATGCAAGCATAGCAAAGCAAATCGGCGGGCTCACCTTCGCCCGCGTCGTCGTTGACGGGAGTCTTAAATTGTACAAACTAATTGCCGCCGTAGGTGGTGTGCTAAAATATATTCCATATGGTCGCGGACCTCTTTACACACTGGCGAGGTGATGCTGATGGTGATTCAGTGCGATGTGATCTTTGCAAAGATCAAATGTCAGAGACAGCAGCCGAGTTCGAGTTGCATCGGACCGCCTCACTGGCAATTGCAGTGGCTCCAAAACAAAGTCAAGAGCACTGGCTTACCGCCGCACCAAATTGGTTCGCATAAATTATTTGATATACTATGGCCAACAACATGCCATCAGCACTCTAGCACACAATTTCACAGTCCTTTGGGACGGAGCGCGCCTACAAGTAGTCAAGTATCTAAGTATCTCGTATCTGAGGCTTTCGAGTTCGTCCGGATCGAGACAACCGCTTCGTTCGAAGTCGCGCTTTCAACTGAAGCCTCCGAGTGCACCCAGCTCGGTTTAAGATTCACATTAGGCCGCCCGCTACAGCCAAAGTATCGTCTCGTCTCGTCTTGAGAAGAGCCAAGCCGAGCTTCGTCATCGCCGCACAGTGGGCGACATGGACGCCCACGTGCGTGAGAGAAAATTCTGTTAATTTGTTAAGAAATCTATGCAAATACTTTCGAATGCGGTCAAATGAGCTTAAGAACAGAGCCTTAAAGAAGCTTAAGGTCTTAGGTACCCATAAAACCATAACATAACATTAATGAGCTAGTTGCCACATACCACTGTGCCAAATCTTCCCGTTAAGAAAAATATTTCAAAGCTTATGAAAGCAAAGAAATTGTGGCTGGTAGAAGTTTTTGGTCATAGTTTCCAAAAACGTATTACAAAGTTACTTGTCACATACCACTGTGCCAAATCTTCTTAGTCAGTTACCAAAGTATAGTCGGTTTTTCAGACCTAATGTAAATATTTTAAAATTCTCACAGGTTTCAGGTCTTAGGTCCTATTTAAGCCATTATATTAATTTACTTTTCCAGATAGTTGTCTGGTTAAATAAATTTAGTTGTATTTTGAGATCCTATATATTAAAAATTTTGAATTCGAAATGTTTGTACGATGTTAATTTAGCTCTCAATCCAGCTAACACATACCACTGTGCCAAATTTTCTCGGACAGTTAACGAAGTTTAGTCGGGTTTTTTGGGACCCCGCCAGCAAAGCGTTAGCATTGCAGCTTCATTTTCATTTTCAGCTTGATTCTCAGTTTCAATTTACCGCTAACAGCTTCGTTTTCGTTTTCATTTTCATTTTCATTGCACGTTATTAGCATTTGCAATGCCACCGTTTAGGGAAACCCTTCACCCACTGGTGTTTATTTGTCTAATTTATTGGAACGTTTACGTTGCCTGGTAGGGGTATTGTAGTACTGTGGTACTGCCACTTTGGCAAACGGGTATGGTGGTAAACCGATGCAGGCAGAAGTGGCAGAAGCTAAATAGAGCAATCGAGCGGGTCTAAGAGATCTGAGCCAGATTGGGCGGCTTGCGGATTGCGAAAGCATTTTCCCCATCTCAGATTCGCTGGCTGGCTGGGTCTTTTGGCGGCATCATTGTCAGATTTCTGGCGGCTGGGTTTTGTAAGCGAAGATTTCCATTTTCCATTTTCATCTTCGTTTTCGATTCAAGACGTTTATTTACTCCCCAAAGCCCTTTTGTCGTGAAGCCAAAAAGACAAGAACCGCCAACGGTTTTGGCGCACTCAGGTTTTCATCGTAGTCGTGTGTTGCCTCATTGAGTTGCCAGGTTTCATATTCGCTGGGCGTCGGATTTCACCCAACCCGCTGTTTCCCCCTGTTTCCCCCTTTCCAGCTTTGGCCATTTTCAATTTTTCGTGACGGATTTGGGAGGAAGTTGAAGTCGAAACTGTCGAGAGTCAATCGAAAGTTTTTTTTTTTTTGTCGTATATTGTCTGCTGTTGTCAAAAATAAAGAAAATAACAAATGCTTAACACTGTGTTTATACGTTGCAACCCGGAATTTAGTTAGATATCTCCTGGCTTTCTAAGGCTAGTCTATGTGGACTGGGCACTGGACCCATTCTGGATCCCCTGCTTTTGCTCCTCGTTCTTCATGGCCAGCGAATGTTGCTGAAAGTCAGCCAGAATGCGGCTCTCGGGGATGTCCGTCTCCACACGGCTGCCCACTAAGTCTATGTTGCTATCCTTCTTGTCAAAGAAAATGTCTATAATAATGCGTGCGCCTGTTGGGAAACAATAATTATCAGGGGTTTGCATATATGAATCAATTGAATTTCCGATGTGTATATAGTAACTACTTTTATAATATAAGAATTTAATATTTTTAATAGAAAAACTTGTTTTTCAAAAGAGAATTTCGTCTGAGAACATTTAAGTATTAAATAAAAGTAACAAAGCAGAGTAGTTTTGCTATCGTCACATTTTCTACAAGTTTTTTTAAAGGAATTTAAAAGATAATGAAGAACTTTAAATAGTGGTAAGTAGCATTTTGAAAAATGCGTTGGAATTGTTTTACTGAATTTTCTAAATTAAGTAAATCTAAATTCATTTAGAATGTTAATTTCCTGTTAGTGCTCTTGAATTTAGTTTCCTGAAGTTGGCTTACCCTGGTTTGTGCGTCGAATGGTGGTTTTGCTCTTGTAGATGCTTTCCACTTCGTTGTTGTCCGCCGGATTCTCTTGGCGCACCGAGCACTGTCCGTCCCTGTGGTTAAGGCGATGGGTTAGTGGGTATAATAGAAGAAGACCCGTGGGCCGAACCCTCACCCTCCGTTAGCGGCGCCTTGGTCCCTATCCTCCGATAGCGACATGTTGCAGCAGCTGCTACCGCAATCGCCATCCACCACCTGCTCCTCATCCGACCTTAAGCCGTTGCCAAAGTAAATGGACTTGGCCCGCTCCAGCTCCTGGTTCTTCTGCGTGGCGAAGTTGTACAAGTTGATCATGTCGCGCACTCGGATGGGAGTCTCCATCCGTTTGCGCGCTCCTGACTGCGGTGGTGTTGCCTGGAGCTGGGAAGGGGATTGCTCCTGATCCCGATCGGAATCCTGACTCTTGGGGGAGCCATAGGTGAGGCTGCTGCAGTCCTCCTCAACGGTGTTCATGGCGATGGTTCCTATTTCTCTCTCCCTAAACAAAAATGATTACTGAAAAAAGTCCTCGAACGTTTCTTGTGGAATTCAAGACTTCCGATTTTTGTTGTTGTTCGAAAAATTCCTTTAACCTTTTGTGTCTGTGGGAAAGTTGTAACTAACTCTGAATTCGGTTCTGACAATGTCAACCGAATATGACCTTAACATCATAGAGATCTTTGGATCGTGTGAGTGTGCTTCATGTGGGTCTGGCAGCAATTCGTTAGTAATTACAGTAACGAAATGTAAATGTAATTCATCTTCGAGCTGCCGAAGACGAATCGATGGAGGGCGACCTTCAGTGCGGCAATCGAATACCGAATTCGATCGATCGCATGATTGATCCCACAGAGGGGGCAGTGATTGAGGAAGGTTCGGTGATTAGTGAAATTTGAGCCACACGCTGAATGCCAATGGAATTGTCTTAGAGCGGATTTAATGCATGTTTTTTTTTTCTTTTTTTACTCATATTTTCCCCGTTTATTTTCGTGTACAGTGTACATGTGTGTGAGTTATTAATATTTTGAAATTGGGTGAGCAATGACTTGCCGTTGCCACAGAAGCAGCATCATCGTACCAGCATCATCATCAATCGGTAGCTTGCAAGCGGCCAGCTGGAGGTCCATTTGACACACCATCCCAAATAAAAAATCCGATTTTAAGGTCAATCTATGGCGAACGACACTTGAAGATTGGCTCGACTACAACTCAAGATTCGCAATCAGCGCTGATAGTTCGAACAAGGTTTGTAAGGCTTTGATTGTAAATAATTTTCTCTGCTGACAGTTCAAATACAAACATGAGTAATTTGGTCAAATATGGTACAATAAATAATTAAAGGCAAGGTTGGTCTTTTAACAATCTTCCTTTAATGGTGATTCCTGTGCAACACAATTTATCAAACTAGAACATTTTTTATTATTGTTTAATAGGATTCTAAGAAATTAGTAGCAAAATACAAAATTTAATCCCCTTTTAATAAATCTTGTCTTGTACATGAAACACTTCAACATTCTAACTTTAAATTCGAAATTCTTTGTTCTTTCTTTAATTCACAGAATTAAATTAGGTAATAAATCTCCGCAAATTATAATTCTCCAACTATATTTGGGTACCAAAAAATGATTCCGTCACAACCTTTTTAATAATAGCTTAAGTTTCGTAACACAGAGACTAATGGCGGCTTGATGGGGTGATAATGCATTGAAGAGCCGGCAAAATTAATTTGAGCCTCGGTGTGGGAGTTCTGGCTCCCGTGATCGACATTCTTTGACATTGTATTCTTACATATCACGAACTTGGAATTCGGTTTGGCTCTGCCCTGCTCTGCTCGCTTGTGCAATTAGCCGCGATGTCAAAGGGGTTCACTCCAGTCATGGCAAAAGAACAGTGAGAAGGTGTGGGACCCACAGCAGAATTCACACAACATACGTATGTACGTATGTACATAGGTGTGTCATCATCATCATCTCTGGCTGTGATTCCATTGAAGGTCGATGAGCCACAAACAACATTTGCTTCTGCCATTTATGCTCACTGAATCTCTTGCTTTTTCTGCCTCTCTTAACTGAAAAGCCCCCTGCTTTCCGCCCACTCGTAGGCTACGGCTACTAATGTTTAATTGCCAAATTGGTGCAATTCCACATAATTCATGCCGATAGTTGGAGTCGCTACTCGGGCAGTTTTCCGCTCGCAGAGCTGTTTATTTGACAAGGTCCCCAGTGAAGAGCTTTACGAGTTAGCAACGAGCAAATAAAACCAGCCCGTGGGGGCAGATTCACACGTTTATTAGGCAGTATCGTGCTGCGCATCGAAATCGAAAGTGGAGCGGCTAAGCACTCATAATTGATAACAGTCAGTCATATGGAAATTATTGCGCATACGCACTGTGACTTCAAAAAGAGTGCTAAGAGGAAAGACAAACACCTCTGCCGACACCGACGACTGAAGAAGTAGCTCAAGTCTTAGCCGCATCCGGTCGCAGGCAAAAGTGGCAATTTCGGCTGCTAGCTGTTAGCTGCTACAAATTTGTCAAACCAACAATGCAGCAAGGTCAGCGGCTGAGCCATGATCACGTTCGCGTCCGGCGTGCGGTCAGCTCTGCCATATCATTGACCTTAAGTGACGAACATGAAGAGCAATGAATAAGCCGAGATTATCACCTTTGGCAGCATTTTATTGCACTTACACAGGCAGCCGCCAAAAACGGATTTGAAGTTCAATTGCAGGCATTTGTGATGCTCCAGCTTCTTTGGCCCCACTCTCCAATTCGATCTCCATCTCGATCTGCCCCGGACCTACCAAGACGCCCATGGCACAATGTACAACACGACTATTAAAGGTCAAGCTCCAAAGCCAGCACTGCAAACGACAAAAGCAACAAAAAAAGAAAAAGAAAAAGAAAAAAACGTTAAGTAAATCAAAGTAAACAAACGGCGCACTTTGTTAATTGTTGAATTTATTTCTATTTCAGTTCGAGTTTCTCTTTCTGTTGTGGCTGCAATCTATTAGAGAATGATCTCAAAGATGCGTCAATCGAAAGACTCAAGACACGAACTGGCCACAAAACAATAAAATGACCAATTCGGCGTAGCTAACAAGCAGTATACATTTGAATAGTCATATACCCTAGCCAGTGAGGTTATGGGACCGCTTATTGACACTTCGGCTACCTCTTCAAATTTCCCAAACAGAGCATCGGCAATTTGTGGGCCAACTGCCATTCACTTGCCGCCTCGACTTCTACTGTCAGGGGTGGTTCTGAAATGCCAAAAAGGTAGCATACACGTAGCATTGTTTCCCATTGCGACTGCTCAGCGCGACCTTCACTTGGCAATGGAGCATTGGAGCAATGGAGGAGCAGCTCCTAGCCTCAGGTTGCCCGGAGGGCATTCAGCGAACCCAAGTCAAGTGCGCGGCAGCCTCTTCAACAATGAAGCCATCAGATCGACAAATATCTTCAATGTGAATTTGGTTCAACGGTTCAATTGTATCGCACATCGGAACTGGTGCGAGTGATTAATTGGTTTGTTTTCGAGACTCAAAACACACACTGGATGGATGAGTTGTGTTTGGTCTTGGGATAATTCGAAAGAGTACGGCTGCAGAATAAATCATTTAATATGTAGCGTAAACAACACAGCCCACATCGAATTGCTTACTATTCATGTTGAGTTCGGGGCGCTCCCGCTTCGCTGGATGATTATGCCTTTGTGCTCCGTGTTAGTCTTCAAATCTGCGCCCCAGCATCGGATGAATGCTTTCCATTATCTATATAGCCAGGAAAATATGATTGTTAGGTGTCAATCAAAACTTTTGTGTGTCGCGTGTGTGCGCCACGTTGTCGTTGTCAATTAAAGGCAGTAAAGCCTCCAATTAAGTTTGGAGATGGTAATGGTTTGTGGTTGAATGGCAATTGCTCCATGGAAAATTGAGATTTACTATTGTTACACCTTGGCAAACCAAGTGATTACAGATTGGGAAGACGTGAGTTACCTATTTACATGAACTTAATTTGTCTGAGGTCCCAAAGCCCATAACCCCATACCAACTTTGTAAGAAAAGCTTTCACTTAGTGAAAAAATAAGAAGCTTCTAAAGATAGATTTATTATATAAATTGACAGGATAGAAACTTTATGTCGGGAATATAAAATTATAAATTCAAATATTTTATAGGGCTAGCTTGACTAAAACTATAAGTGTGGTATATTTTGTCTGAGGTCCCAAAGCCCATAACCCCATACCAACTTTGTAAGAAAAGCTTTCACTTAGTGAAAAAATAAGAAGCTTCTAAAGATAGATTTATTATATAAATTGACAGGATAGAAACTTTATGTCGGGAATATAAAATTATAAATTCAAATATTTTATAGGGCTAGCTTGACTAAAACTATAAGTGTGGTATATTTTTGAGGTATCTTTTTTAACGACACCTTTGTAGCATACTCTTAGGCAAAAATGATTAATATTTTCTACGCAGATTTTTAGAGGCTTCCTAGACAGACTTTTCCGCTTTCTGTATAGAATTCATATTTAAGTGGGCGGCAAGCACAACATGAAATTTTTACTTTATTTATCTTAAAAAAAACAATGCTAATTATAAACTTAATGGAGGTCTTTTATATCTAGGCAAACAAAAATATAAAGCTATCATAACAAAAATACAATCATATATTAGAACTAAGATATAACAATAATTAAATTAGGAACAACATAAAAACAAACCAAGTTTTTAATAAACCAGGTTTTTACTCAGGTTTTTAAAAGATTAAGCCACATGACTTTTAAGATATACCACTTCGAAATCGGATGTCAATTAAAAAAGCTATGGAATTAGAACTGCAGACTTTTCATCATTATTCAGCAGTAATTTTTTGGAAATTCGGAAAGGGGTAACATCATAAAAATGACAAAAAATCGATCCGCAAGTACAAACTAATTTTTTAACGCAGATTTTTAAAGGCGTAAGCCTCAAGACTTTTAAGGTATACCACTTCGAAATCGGATGCCAATTAAAAAAGTTATGAAATTAGAACTGTAGGCTTGTCGGTAATTGTTTAGCAAAGTCGACCACAGCTGAATTGTTTCCCTCCGTGACTTTTGTGCTTCGGAACCCCAAAAATATCAACTTCTTTAAGGTATAGCTTATGGTAAACGTTTTTTAAATTGTATACTGAATTGTACTCGGACCCGAAGGCGATTCGGAATACTTTTCCAATTATTAGTATTGCAGATTGTATTACGAGGCGGCCAAACCTATGGCAAAGTAATCCATTTGCTTCTGATTACTGGATGTAAAATAATGCATATGTTATCGATTTCGTAATGGCAAATTTCGCCGCTGGGACTTTGAGTTAAAAGACATTTTGATAGTTCGATTATTTTCTAGATTTATTTCGCTCTGATTGTTTTGGATAGGCGCGCTTGACATGCACTCGGGTTTCTTTTATAAATTTTTAATTGAAATTGTATTAAACGTTTTATTTTAAATAGCTGACAGATTATCTACATTTTAAATTTATTAATTATTTTTCGAATACATAATCATCGAATTTAAAGCGGTAATTTCGATAGATTTTTCATTGCTGGTTACCAGTAGTCGGTCATCATCATACAAGTAGTACAGACTACAGTATTACTTCCGAATTG